AATTGGCATTGATGTCATCATTCATTTTGTTATTTTGAAGCCCACACAAAATTCCCATAATTACAAGAACTGCCATAAACAAAATAAAAGGAAGTAGCAGGAGCCAGCTGCGGAGCCTCCTGATTTTCAGGAATTTCCTCCATGCTTGGAGTAGCCTGGCATGCACCAGCCCGCCATCCGTGTGTCTCAGCCACGCTTCCAGCAAAGCTACCCCCACATGAGCCCTGGTTTCTGTCATCAGACACAACAGCAGTCCCAGCAGAAGTCTCTCCAAGGGTGAGCTGCACTGTGGGGTGGCCAGTTCACTCCCTGAGAGACACCAAAGCTTGCACCCCTTGAGCCCAGCAGCAGGCACCCTGCTCTGTCTCACCCCCAAGGGGTGCTCTTCACATCCAGAGAGGGTCTATAAGAGTCAAGGGGGTTTTTGTGTAAAGGCCAGACTAAACATCCAGGCTGAGTGGACCACTGTTCAGTTTTGCCCTCGTAAGTGGGAGAGCAGCTGGTGCCCCCGGGGACATCGCAGGCACGGTGCGTTCCCTTGAAACTCTATGGACAGGGCCTCCCTGGTGGCGCAAGGGGTTGGGCTCCGCACTATGAAGCTGTCCACAGTCTCTGCATCACCAGGTTGATCCCCGGCCGGCCAGGGAGCAACCCACATGGCGCGCAGACCTCTCCTGTCTCCCGCTGCTCCCCTCAGCAGTGTGTTTCAGTAGATCCACCTGTTCTGCTCCCCACTCTGTCTCTGGGGAATCCTCTTGTCCCCCCGAACCTCTGGCCTGCACCCTGGTTCTTGTGTGCATAAAAAATCAATAGATATGTGTCCATCATACTCATCCGGGGATTTCCTGACCTCTCAGTCCTTCATCTTCTCCCTCCCATTTTATCGGTCCCTTTTGACCCTGCTTTATGGATGATGTTTTTCCCACTTGAAGCCACAATTCAGTGATAAGAAGTCCAGTCACAATGTGGCTGCCCATCGCCATGGCCCGTCCGAGGACTGTTCACCATCCCACATGGAATTCAGTCTTTCACACGCTACCATTCTGGAGGCACCACACAGAACGCTGATGCAAAGACACACTTCCTGCGGGCGGGCAGTGTCTCCTGCTTCTTGGGCTGCTTCACAAACACCACAGCAGGGGCCAGGAGAGGCGCGCACCCCGTGGGCCAGCTCCCTGCCGGGGAGGAGCTCGTGCTGCAGTGGCTGCAACGCCAAGCTCTCCTTCCTGACTTCTTCCTCCTTATCACATTCTACTGCGTTGCGTGATGCTGAACACATTTTAAAAATTGTATTAAAATGTATATATTTAGCCCTAAACGAGTCCGTCTAGCTCCATCGCAGTGTCTGTTTGCCAGTGAAGCCAAGGGCGGGCGCTGCCAACTCTAGTGCCGCTTCTCAACAGTCATGCTTCAGGGGACATCGTTATTTTTCAGTTCGCCCACGTCCTTACAGACACAGAGGCCAAAGGAGAAACTATCTCGCTCACATGAGAATCTGGCAAACATGAATGAAAACCTGTGACAAGCGAGGCCTCCCCCCTATTTATTAATCCATTTATTAATTCAAGATGATTTGATCAGGGTTGGCGGTGAGTGACCCAGCCCCAGAGCAGGCTGTCAGCAGCCTGGCAGGCCATTTTTCAACATTCGGTGTAATTACAAGGATCGTTATTGACATAACGGAGGGGAGAGCGCGAGGTGTCCATTTCCAGTTGTTTAATTGAAGAAATGAAAGACCTCGCAAGGCAGCGTTGATGCAGAATTTGTCAGGCCATGATCCAATGCTGCAATAGCTGTGACCTTGAGGTCAAAGAAGACCGGCCGCAGGAAAAGCAACTTACGGCACAGAAACGACTGCAGGGACTCACTGAGCTCTAGGCTGCAAGGCAGGCAGAGAGAAGACATGGCGCCTGCTGCCTCTCTGGGCCGGGAAAGTTGAGGTGAATGTTATCCAAGATCACATTCCGTCACTTGATCAGACCATTTGACTATTTCTTTCTTTTTTTTTTTTTTTTTAAGATTTATTTACTTATGCCTACAAGAACTGGGGTACAGGCCAGCGGTGGGGGTGAGACAGAGCGGGGAGCAGAACAGGCAGATCCACTGAAACCCACTGTTGAGGGGAGCAGCGGGGAGACAGGAGAGGTCTGCTGCGCCCTGTGGGTAGCTCCCTGGATTACCATATGTGGGTGTTGCCATATGTGGGTAACCTCCGCGGGTGCGTCGGCAGAGCCCTGCTTGTGCCCAGCCCCTCTTTCCCTCCACAGATGCCAATGTCTGGCCTGCCCGCTCTGCTCCTTTGCGTGTGGGACAAGCTCTGCTTGGCTTCAGCCATCCAGACTGCATGCAGAGCAGAGCAGACCCTCTGCAGGTCCTTGAATCCTGGCTCAGCACTGGCCTGATTCTCCCCCAGAATTCCAGAACCTTCCTGGGCTCTCAGCCCTTGGGCTGCTGCAAAGTAAACAAACTGCTTTGTTTCCTCCAAACTCCCTCCTCTGTGATGCTTCTCCCCATTTCCTGAACCCAGTTCCTCTTAAATGTCCTTTTTGCTCAGTCTCTTCTTCCCCCTTCCAAAGCTCTTAAACTACTTCGTTTTGCCCCAAACCACGTCCAGTTCTTCCCGCCCCACTCATGGGTTACTTTGATCCTCTTCTGCAGACAATCTTGTGCAAAAATATATACAAATACCTGTGACTGCAGGCACATGTGTGACCTCCTGGGCGGGTCCCCTGATGGGCTGGGCAGGGAGAGGGACCTGACCTATTAGCACCTCCCTGTGGGCAGGACATTGCACTCCCGGGATCAGCTTTAGAAAAAGTAATGTGTCCTTAAATAGAAGGGGACCTTGTCATGCCTTAAAGCGGCTGTCCACCTGCCCCACTGACGGCTGCGCTCCCCGTCACCCCTTTGTCACGACCCGGACACCCGACCGCAGACACCCAGCTATTGTGGCTCTGACCTCGCTCGCTCACCCCTGACTGCAGCAGGCGCAGGGCTGCCCCCCCCGCCCCCGCAGGTCCACCGTGCCCTCGAGGCAATTCTGCTGTGAAGAGCAAACCCAGCTCGCAGATTTCCTAAAGAAAAGGAGGATGTTTCTTCCACGGGGAGGGCCGCCGGTGGAGCAGCGCCCCCTCCCGCCCAGGCCTGCCCCCGCAGGGCCCCGCAGGGCCTCCAGTGCCAGAAGCGCGGAGGGCAGGTTCACACAGCGCAGCCTCCCCGCTGCCGCAGCGCGTGCGCCGCTTTCGTCCTTTTCGTCTGGGCTGACTGAGGCCCGGCCGCTCCTGAAGGGCCGCCGGGGCCTCCTTGCAGAGACAGGCCGGAGGGCGCGGGGACCGTCGAGGGCTCGTGGGCCGCGCCTGCGCGGGGTGCGGGCTGCGCTGCGCTCGCCTGACTGCTTGGGAGATGAAAAAATGGCAAATGAGGAAAAAAAATGGGAGGGACAGGCCCGGGGCGGGGCCTCTGAGGGGGCGGGGCTTCCTGGACGCGGGGGCGGGGCCGAGTGGTCGCGGGGGCGGGGCGGGGGCGGGGCCCTTGGTGGGTGGGGCTTATTGGATGCCAGGGGCAGGGCCGACTGGATGCACGTGGCGGGCGAGGGGGCGAGGCCTCTGCGGGCGGGGCGGGGCTTACTGGATGCGAGGGGCGGGGCCTCTGCGGGGCGGGGCCAGCGCTAACGGTCGCGCGCGGTCGTCTGAGGCGGCGGCTGAGGAGCGAACGCGAAGCGCGGGGCACGCGCCGGGTGCCGCGTGGGGCCTCGCGCGCGGTCGCCATCCAGGCCGAGGAGCGGCCGGCTGAGGTGAAGGCCGGCCCGGGGGCGCGCGCGGGGCACTGGGCGCCGCTCCCGGGTGGGGGTCCGGGCGGCGCGCGGGGGCTCGGGCCGGCCGGGGTGGGCCCGGACGCCGGCTGCCACCTGGCGGGAGGCGTCCTGCGAGCGGCGCCCCCCTGCTTAGGTGCATCCCCTTCAGGGGCACCCGCACCCGGCACCCCAAGTCCCCAGCGCCTCACTGTGCGGCCCCCCTGTGGCGCGCCCCGCCCTGAGCCTCCCTCATCGCGGCGTCCCCCTGCACCCCCCGCCCCGCGCCCCCCAGCACCCCGCACCCCCTCGCTGCCGCTCAGCCGAGGCGCTGGTCGGCCTGAGGCGGGGCCGCCGTCGGCCTGAGGCGGGCGCGTGGTCTCTCCCGCTCCCGCTCCCGCTCTCTGGTCGCAGCGCGCGGGCCTCCTGGGGCGCCGGGCGTCGGCGCGCCCCGGGAGCCCGCCTGTCCGCAGCCCCTGCAGCTGGGGCTCCCGCGCGGCCGGCAGCTCCCCCAGGCCGCGCCCGCTCCCCGCGGCGCCCCTCAGCAGTGGGTGTCCGTGGACCCGCCTGTTCTGCCCCCACGCTGTCTCCGGGCGGCCTGTCACCCCCGCCCCGCGGCCTGCACCCCGGCTCCCGTGCGCGTGAAGAAATGAAGCGGCCGGGAAGGGCCCGGCGCGCCCCCTCGGCCCCGCGAGCGGCGGGTCAGCCGGACCCGGGACCCCGAGGAGATCCCGCGCGCCGCCGGGCCGAGCACGCCGCCGGGTGGGGTTCGCGTGGGGAATTGAAGGGCGCTGTCCCTGCGCGAGGCGGAGGCCGGCGGGGGCGGGCCGGGGGGCGGGTCCGCCTGGTGCCAGCTGGCGGGCGCGGGAGTTCCCGCCGGCGGCGGCGCCCACGCGCCCCCCCAGCCCAGGCGCCCGCTGGCCGCGTCAGGGCCCGGACACGCGCCCGCGCCTCAGCGGCTCGCCGGGGGTCTGCCGCGGCCCGGCCCGCGGCTGGAGGCGCGCCCCGCGGGCAGAGGGCGCCCCGCTCTAGGGACGAGGGAACGAGAGCCCAGCGGCGCGGAGCGCCCCCCGCGACGTCGTGGGTGACGCGCCCGGAGCGCCCCGCCGCCGCGAGAGGGGCCACGCCCGGAGCGAAGCCCCGCGAGGCCCCAGCTCCGGCCAATCTGTTATAGGACAGGGAGAGGGGCAGCCCAAACCCCGCAAACCTGCCTATTCTAAAAGGGTTCTGCCATCCGCCGCACCAACACAAAACATAGGAGACTTTAATGGGAAGGAACTTTAATAAAACTAGGAAACCATACAGGTAAGGCAAAGAGTCTAGTTTCTAGATGAAGCACCCAAAGTTACCCGTCCCCTCGTGGGTAAAAGTCCATCCATATGGGATCGGCCCAGAGCAAGGCCCCAAAGCCTGCCGCAAGTCTAAAGCATCTTCCAGTGGGGACCCACAGAGAAGGGTCAGAAACAACCAGACAAGCCCGGAAGGAAAAGAGCAAAATCAACATCAAGATAAAAGCTGCCATGGTCACCTCCCCACGGGTCTCCCCCACATCTGTGTCACCCCGTCCACGACCAAAAGACAAGCGCAGTTTCTTCACGTGTCTCTAGGCTCCACGCGCCTCCTCCAGGGCTCCTGGCTCCATCCTGCTTCCTTCCTCAGTCTCTTCTGCAGCTTCTCCTCTTCCTGCTCAGCTCCACCCTCCCTTGGGTGGGGCAGGGAACCTCCCCCTTTCCTGGGGACCACCCTGTTGCAATCCACCCTGTTGCAATCCCCCCTTTTAATTTTTATTCCACCATATCTATGGTGGCACAGATCTCATGGTGCAATCTTAGGAGACAGTCTTTTTTCAGGGTTACAATGTGTGTAAGAGAAGCAACAATTGGCCGCGCTGCGCAGGGGGGTGGGGTGGGGGGTGGGCTCTCGCGGCTCAGGGAGCGCCGGGGCGCGCGCCCGGCCTGGGCCGAGCTTAGGCCCACGCGTCCCCGCGCGGCGGGCGCCCACGTGCACTCCCGGAGGCATTTGCAATAGCATTTTGCTTTTTTTTTTTTTTTTAGGTAAATACACGCTAATAAACACTTCACTTCACAAACGTCCAGCTGAATCATCCCTCGTCCGGAGCTCTCCACTTACAGGGCGCGCAAACATCGCTAAAGGATACACATTTTTGGACAGTGAGTTAAAAATCGAAACCTAACTGTCCCTGGAACTGCAGACAGCCGTCCGGGGACTGGGGCAGGGCTGGGGGGGCCTTGGCAGCGCGTGTGGTGCGGGGACGTGTCCGGAGCGCTGTGAGTCTGGACCTCCGAATCACGTAGTGTTGTAAGCTAGTGTCAGCTCAACAACATCTTCCATATAAAAAAATAATAAAGTATTTGAAACAAAAACCCTAAAAAGGGCATTTTGAAGAATGCTTTTTAAAATATTTATTTAGGGCCTCCCCGGTGGCGCTGCCGTTGAACGCTGGGTTGCGAAGCTGCCCGCAGCCTCTGCAGCACCAGTTCGATCCCCAGCTGCTCCCCGGCCACCGGAGGAGGGTCCCGCATGGCGTGCAGACCTCTCCTGCCGCCCGCTGCTCCCCTCAGCAGTGTACCTCGGTCCTTCTGCCTGCTCTGCTCCCCGCTCTGGCTCTGGTGAATTCTCTCACCCTCCCGCGCTTCTGACTGTACCCAGTGCTTGTATAAATAAATAATAAATAAATAAATCTTTAAAAAAAATAAAAATAAAATAAAATATTTATTTATGCGTACAAGAGCTGGTGCACAGACCAGAGATGCGGGGGGATGAGAGGATTCACCAGAGACAGAGTGGGGAGCAGAACAAGCAGATCCACTGAGATACACTGCTGAGGGGAGCAGCGGGGAGACAGGAGAGGTCTGCTGCGCCATGTGGGAATCTCCCTGGCTGGGGATCGAACTCGTGCTGCAGAGGCTGGGGACAGCCTCATAGTGCTGAGACTTAGCCCCTGCACCACCAGGGAGGCCCCTTCCTTGAAGGATGTTTTTCACAGGTTGGATCTGTATTAACTGATGATTCACTGTTATTATAAAAACTTTGCCCAAGAATAAGCGTTTCCTAAATTATTTTGATCTTGAATTTTCTCATGGTTTATTTCAGATATGTAATTTATACATCTAAATTATATTTTCTACAATGCAGATAAAAGAATGGCAAACTCCCTTGCATCAAAGACCTTCACTGCACTGTCAGACCTGCATCCAAATATGGCTAATGTGGTAGGTCTCGATGATATGGCGGTTTGTTCTCTCCTGGAACTTTATGCCGTGATATTTCAGTCAGCATTATTGGTCTATTTGATGTACATGTATGTGTGATTGACAGGTATCACATACTCATGACATAATTTATCTTTTTATCTACAGAGTAGGAGATGTAGGGATGACTAGTAAAACAGCGATTGTTCAAAATCATCAAATTTTTTGATATAATTTTAATTAAATACTCAGTAACTGCTCAAATGTAGCACCGTGAAATGAAAACATTTTTGTTCAGCAGCATGTGTTCTGTATGCAAACTATCCATGTTAGAGAGTTGAATACTTGTGCAGTTTTACGGCATAAAGATACACAAGTGTGTTTCTGAAACGATGATGTGAGATTCATTTTGGGGACAGGGAGAATTCAGTAATTTCAAATATGCCAAGACTGTTATTTATGTGAAAGCAATCTCGGTGGAATTATCTTCTAAGGTGAAGGAATTACTGGGCAGTGTGACCACGGCCCCTGCTTCTGTGCCCCTGAGCAGTCTGCTGTTCATACCTGATGCCTGGAAATCAGATTTCCTAAAATGGGTTAAGTTTACATGTAACTTTATTTTTTCCTCATTTTATTTTTACATGTAACTTTAATAATCTGCAATTTAAAGTCTGTCAATGTTAAAAAGTTATTGCTGTTGTATTTGTTAGATGTTTCTTGAGTCAGAAAGTTTAACTCAACATTTCCACTAGTTGTGTTTTTCTGACAAAATCCAGTGAGCTCTGCATGCACATGGGATGCAAAACAACATTAGGAGTCTCACTGTGGTGAGACCAACAGCTCAGCTGGGAGCGGCAGTTTTAGAGACCTTCTGGATTTACTTTTTTTTTTTTAAAGATTTATTTATTTATGCATGCAAGAACTGGGATACAGGCCAGAGGTGCAGGGAGTAAGAGGACTCACCAGAGACAGAGTGGGGAGCAGAACAGGCAGATTGACTGAAATACACTGCTGAGGGGAGCAGCGGGGAGACAGGAGTGGTCTGCTGCACCCTGTGGGTTGCTCCCTGGCCAGCCGGGGGATTGAACTTGTGCTGCAGAGGCTGCAGACAGCTTCATAGGCTGCATCTTAACCCCTTGCGCCACCAGGGAGGCCCCTAGCTAGGATTAGTAATAGAAGTTTATTCTTTCAGAAACAGGTAGTTATTTTTATTTCTTACAACACGTCTTTAATATTTAATTTTTCTTTCACAGTCACTAAAGAGAACATTAAAATTTTTTAGGGAGATGATACAGATTTAGGACTTGAGAGCTCAGATTTTTTAGCAATAACACACAAATTTTGTTTTTTTTTATTTTTTTTTATTTTTTTTTATAGAGGCATGTTTTATTTATTTATTTGTTTGTTTGTTTGTTTGTTTATACATGCACTGGGTACAGTCAGAAGCGCGGGAGGGTGAGAGAATTCACCAGAGCCAGAGCGGGGAGCAGAACAGGCAGAAGGACCGAAGTACACTGCTGAGGGGAGCAGCGGGCGGCAGGAGAGGTCTGCGCGCCATGTGGGACCCTCCTCCAGTGGCCGGGGAGCAGCCGGGGATCGAACCGGCACCGCAGAGGCCACGGGCAGCTTCACAACCCAGCGCTCAACCGCTGCGCCACCGGGGAGGCCCAACACACAAATTTTGTTACACTATATATTACTACCCAGCATGTTTGGATTAAGAAACTAAGCAATTTTATATGGATTGTTAGAAAACCCTAGATAAAAAGAAAGCTTTGAGGATGGTGCAAATTAAATTGTGTGATACCTGTGCTTTGAATATGGCGGGCAGGACTGATGGCCCAGGGCAGTTTCTGTGCGCCAGCTAGTGGCCGACAGCAGCAGAGGCGGGAAGCGTGGGTGAGACAGCAGTTAGCTGTCACTGCCTTGTACTATTCCTTGTGGAAGTGAACTTTAATAAGGTCTTTTAGATGTTTCTCTGGAATAAATAAATTTAAATGGTTTCTAGTCAAAAATGTTGTCAGAGCCAATACAATATATCAAGTCATGAAATTAAATGTATCATCTACATCTGTGTTTAATATCTTCTATAACCTTTTTGTTTTTCAGAAAATAATCGGTATAGTTATTGGGAAAACAGATGTCAAAGGCTTTCCAGACAGAAAAAGCTGAGTTATATTTAAGTCTTCGCTTCCCTTTTCATCAGCTGTGGCTTATGACTACAGCAAACTATATTCAAGTGACTAAAAACCTTGTGCCTGTTTTTTTTTTTTTTTTTATAGAGGCATGCTGTATTTATTTATTTATTTTATTTGTTTGTTTGTTTTTGTTTATACAAGCAGTGGGTACAGTCAGAAGCACAGGAGGGTGAGAGAATTCACCAGAGCCAGGGCGGGGAGCAGAGCAGGCAGAAGGACCGAAGCACACTGCTGAGGGGAGCAGCGGGCGGCAGGAGAGGTCTGCGCGCCATGTGGGACCCTCCTTCGGTGGCCGGGGAGCAGCCGGGGATCGAACCGGCGCTGCAGAGGCTGCGGGCAGCTTCTCAACCCAGCGCTCAACCGCTGCGCCACCGGGGAGGCCCCCTTGTGCCTGTTTTTAAGAGCAATGACCACGCTGTCTATTGTATGGTAAAGTGCTTGACTCAAAGCCATATGTGAGGCTAGTAAGGTCTTTTTTTTCTGATTTTCTTGATGTTTCTCAAACATAATTTTAAAGGCTTTTTTGTATAGAGTAGGGAAATTATAGCTGAGTGCCCAAGGGCTGCACTTACAGCTAGATTGACTGGGCTTGTCAGTGCTGAGAGATCTGCGATCTGTGTGTAGCTGTGACGTTGGGCTAAATAAAGCTCCTACGTGGCAGTGTCAGGTCCCTGGGGTCCATGGGAGAAATTCCGTTGTCACCGTCACTCTCAGCCTGAGAGTGTATGTACACCTGTCTTCTCCGCTGAGGCTGAGAGTGACAGGAGGAAGGGTTCGCAGCAGGGATGTGGCCCGCGCCCTCGCAGCGGTGCCTATGTTGACTCAAACAAGCAGAAAATTTAGTGAAGAGAAATACAGTTAACTCTAGCTTAGTAGTTCTTATCACGGTGCTTGAGTTCTGCAAGAGTTTTAGGACTGTGGAAACATAATCTAAGACTAAAATTGGCATTAAAAAATCAACTCATCTTCAAGCTTTTGAAGTTGACATGTAAAGACACCAGGTAGAAGCCAACACTGCCATTTAAAATTTGGGTGCTTTTTATGGAGGCCATGGTATGCCTGCTTCTCCACACCTGGTGGGTCAGAGTTGGAGCCCGGCCAGCTAGCCAATAGTTTCAGCACAGAAAGTCATCATTTTAATTCTTTTTTAAAGATTTATTTCTACATACAAGAGCTGGGGTATAGGCTAGGGTTGTTGCGGGTGAGAGGATTCACCAGAGATAGAGTGGGGAGCTGAACAGGCAGACTGACTGAAACATACTGCTGAGGGGAGCAGGGGGCGCAACAGAAGTCTGCTGCGCCCTGTGGGTATCTCCCTGGCTGGCCGGATGGAACTCGTGCTGCAGTGGCTGCGGACAGCTTCATAGGTTGCGTCTTAACCCCTTGCGCCACCAGGGAGGCCCCATTTTAATTCTTGAGTAATCTAGTTGTGTTGTTTGACTCACGGTATAGTGATAGGTACCTTTATTTTAAAATTATTTACCATGAATTTTCTGTTATTATTTTTGAGATAAAGAGCAAAAATGCCATTTTTGGCTCGTACTTGTTTGTATCTTCACTTTACTTCATAATTAATTAGACTAGAATTCCTATTTGAATAGTTTGAGAAAATCTGTGTATCTCTTTTCTAAAGTCTACCGGAAATAATTTAAAACCCACGAATTAGAAAAAAGTTAATATTAGAATATTTGCTCAGTTTACAACAATAAGGGTAGGGGACCACTTCTGCATTATTGGCTACTTGATGATTATGTATGTAGCATTCCTTGCTTAGAGAAGTGATGCCTGCTTCTAGAAACATCGCACATATAGTATGTTAATGTTTTCGTGAAAAATTCAAGTAGTCTGGAAGGTCATTGAGTTGAAAAGTGAAATTCTTCATTCAAACCCCAGCCCTCCCCAACCCCATCCTTTCCCCAAAGGCAGCTCTAACAGCAGCTTGATGGGTAGCTATAATTTTTATGTCTGTGTTAGGTTGTATTACTTTTTTAATTATCAAGTGATAAAACGAACTTGGGCTTAAAAGTGTGCTCGCTGGCCCTAGTGGTGATACTTAGCGCTGCACCTGTTCTGAAACAGCCGGGATCTGCAGGCCGACCCAGGGAGGACCAGGGCGGGGAGAGGACGGAGAGTCTAAGCTAGCTGATGCTTCCGGCCCGCGCCCCTTTTCCTGCAGCTGCACAGGCAGGAGAGGAGGGTACAGAGGCGTCAGGGGGGCGAGTTGCCTTTGAAATTTGAAATTCATGACAGCATGACAGTATAGAATTTATATCTGAATTATATTTTATACCATGTGTTTATCACCGTGATAATCATAGAACTTCAAAACGGAAATGAAACTTTTCATTTGAAAAATAAAATAATTGGTTTTCCCTCAGATATTGGCTCAGAAAGGTACACTTTCAGTTTCACCATCCGGGACTCACCCGCCCACTTCGTAAATGTGACGTCCTGGGGCGCCGGAGATTACATCAGATCCCTGTCTGACAGCTTCAGGGTCGGCGAGTGTGGTAAGCTGCTGCGGGACTTAAGCTCCGATGCTGGCGTTATCCTTGTGACCTGCTTGTGGCGACTACACTCGAGGGGTCACGCTGAAGTAAGACCCAACTCCTGCTCCTCACGAGCCTTGTTGGGGAAATGGCCGGCGGCGCGGCGTGCCGGCAGCAGTCAGCGTTTCACTTGAAACCTGCAGATGTGGTAGTCGCGTATTTTCACGGGGTCGCTTTTAGTCTTGGGCTTATTTCACGCCTCAGCGTGGGCCGATCCTTGCTGCTATCGTAGTTTATCCTTCCGTGGACATAATAGGACTTCGAGGTAGGTTTGGGTAAAAGATGATATTGGGACCGACCTTTGAGAGTTCCTCTTTGGCTTTACTGAAGTGGCAGAGGGACTTGAAAGAGAAATCCGATCAAAGGTTCAAGCAAGGAACACTTAGTTGTGGGTCACAGCACAGGAGAAGGTGTAGCTGCCCTGAGCCACACTCAGGCCTGAGGGCAGGGGTCCTGGGATACGGGGTGCCAGCAGGGTGGGGGCACAGGCAGCTGGCTGGCCGGGGTTACCAGGTTTCCTCAGTAACAGGAAGGGAAGGGCGTCCTTTAACAGTGTGTGGATTTTTATTAGATTTTAAGAAATTTTACCTTTACTTTAAACATCAAATCTTTTTGCATCCTCTACGTAGCCCACGCCCCTGTAGCTCAGGGCAGAGTAATAAAATAGCAAGGATTTCCATGGCAGGCAGACAGGTCTGGACCCAAGTCCTAGTTCCAACCTTTATTTTCATTGTGGCTTTGAGAAAGTTTCTTAACCGGCCAGGCCCCTGCTGCTGCGCCCACTTCTCACAGTAGGCGGCAGCGCTGGCCTGGCGCAGGGAGGAGCACGCGTCGCGTGTGCGCTGTCTTCCAGGCAGGGCCAAGAAGGGAAAACCTACACGGGAGCTCCGCTTGTGTCGCTGACTTCCAGGGCGCAGGGGCTGTGTCCAGCCAAGTAACCAGCCTGGAGCATGGGGATGAAGCGGGCGGCTGCCCCTGGCCCAGCGCAGTAGGAATGTTGCTGGGCTCGGGAATCACGTCCACCAGAGCTGACGTCGGCCTGGGCACCGCCGCCCGCTGCTCGCTGTCCTGCGTGCAGATGCCACTTTAACTGCAGGCTCCATGTGTGCAGATGGGACCATTACAGACTTTGTTTTTTTTCCCATAACATTGTCCTTAACAATTTTTGTTTGTTTTTATTTTTTTAATTTTATTATTTTTGCATAGAAGAACTGGGGTACAGGCCAGGGATGCGGGGGGTGAGAAGACTCACCAGAGACAGAGTGGGGAGCAGAACAGGCCGGTCCACTGGAATGCACTGCTGAGGGGAGCAAGGGGGAGAAAGGAGAGGTCTGCTGCACCCTGTGGGTAGCTCCCTGGAGGGGGATCGAACTCAGGCTCTAGAGGTGATAGCACTGAGACCTAACCCCTAGGCCACCAGGGAGGCCCCCCCATTACAGACTTTTAAACCAGAACGATTCCATTTCTAGCTCTGCGGCTCTGTACATGGATAACCCACAGCTGGTCAGTAGCCTTTGTGGGCTTCAGAGTCTTCCTTTGAAAGGGGCACTCGTGGGCCTCCCTGGGGGCACAGGGGTCAGTCTTAGCACTGTGAAGCTCTTGCCAGCCACTACAGCCTGAGTGCCATCCCCGGCCAGGAAGTTACCCACAGGGCGCGGCAGACCTCTCCTGTCTCCCCACTGCCACCGCAGCGGTATGTCTCAGTGGATCTGCCTGTTCTGCTCCCCACTCTGCCTCTGGTGAATCCTTTCACCCCCCCGCCTCCACACCTCTGGCCTTCACCCCAGCTCCTGTATGCATAAATCAATCAATCTGAAAAGGTACTCGTGAGCCTCTGTGTGAGGAACTAACAAATGACAACATTGAAAGGCCCAGCTTTGACCACAAGGAAATGGAGACCCCGAAGTGCTAAGCTTCGGAGCTGCAGGCAGGACCCGGGCTCGGGTTCTGCCTCGCACGGAGCTTGTCCACTCCTGTAATCATGGAGAGGGCCAATTGAGGTCACGTGAAGGGCTGAGCTCCAGCTGGACCCACCTCTTTTGCTTTATGCAGGGGCATGTTATAACCAAATCAAATGTGCAGTGTTTGCCATCGGTCGGGTAATATTACTACCGCTCGTCTTGGGGTTTAAGCACAAAGCGTGAGAACTGTCACCTGGGGTCACAAGGATTTCCTACCCTGGGACTTCATTTCTCAGGGTCATCAGGAAATAATTGTGGAGGACAGAGAACAGCAACTCAGAAGGTAGAAATAGCATTATAATGTTCTTTTTAAAAAAAAAGATTTATGTATTTATGCATACAGGAGCTGGGGTACAGGCCAGAGATGTGGGGGGTGAGAGAATCCACCAGAGACAGAGCGGGGAGCAGAACAGGTGGACTAACTGAAATACACTGCTGCGGGGAGCAGCGTAGAGACAGGAGAGGTCTGCTGTGCCATGTGGGTTTCTCCCCGGCGGCCAGGGCTGGAACTCATGCTGCAGAGGCTGCGGATTGCTTCAGAGTGCAGTGCTTAACTCCTTGCGCCACCAGGGAGGCCATATAATGATCATCTTTACGTACACTTATTTGTCATTTACCCTGTTGCTATTTTGAAATCTCGTCATGCTCTCCCTCTATTTTAGTGACAATTGAAAATCCCCTGATCCAAAGAAAGGAGCTAGAAAGGGAAGAAAAATTCAGCCCGGCCACCCCGAGGTAGGTACCAGCGCAGCAGCCTTCGTGCCAGAACCTCGCTGCACTTCTTGTCAGTCAGCAGAGTGCTCACCTGGTGTAGATGTCTGCGCGAAAATTAGGAGTGTGATTCTTTCTACACTATTTATCTTTTTTTTTGTTTAAAGATTTATTTATTTATTTATGCAAGCACTGGGTACAGTCAGAAGTGTGGGAGGGTGAGAGGATTCACCAGAGACGGAACAGAACAGGCAGACTGACGAAGTACACTGCTGAGGGGAGCAGCAGGTGGCAGGAGAGGTCTGTGCACCATGTGGGACCCGTGCCTGGCGGCCGGGGATTGAACCAGTGCTGCAGGGGCTGCGGGCAGCTTCGCAACCCAGCGCTCAACCGCTGCACCACCGGGGAGGCCCCACTGTAACAGGGTGGTCCCCAGGAAAGGGGGAAGTTCCAGGTTCCCTGCCCCACGTTGGGCGCCAAATCTGTTATAGGACAGGGAGAGGGGCAGCCCAAAAACCCTGCAAACCTGCCTATTCTAAATGGGTTCTGCCATCCGCCGCATCAACACAAAACATAGGAGACTTTAATGGGAAGGAACTTTAATGAAACTAGGAAACAATACAGGTAAGGCAAAGAGTCTAGTTTCTAAATGAAGCACCCAAAGTTACCCGTCCCCTCGTGGGTAAAAGTCCATCCATATGGGATCGGCCCAGAACAAGGCCCCAAAGCCTGCCACAAGTCTAAAGCATCTTCCAGTGGGGACCCACAGAAAAGGGTCACAAACAACCAGACAAGCCCGGAAGGAAAAGAGCAAAATCAACATCAAGATAAAAGCTGCCATTGTCACCTCCCCACGGGTCTCACCCACATCTGTGTCACCCAGTCCACGACCAAAAGACAAGCGCAGTTTCTTTACGTGTCTCTAGGCTCCATGCGCCTCCTCCAGGTCTCCTGGCTCCATCCTGCTTCCTTCCTCAGTCTCTTCTGCTTCTCCTCTTCCTGCTCAGCTCCACCCTCCTTTGGGTGGGGCAGGGAACCTGGAACTTCCCCCTTTCCTGGGGACCACCCTGTTACACCACTATTTATCTTTGATTATGAAATAAGTTACTTTGATACAGAGTCACACAGGAGTGGGCTTTGTCTTCAGTACTTTGATCTTAGATTCTTAGATTTTAAAAAATGTGACTGGTCAGGTAAAGCTTCACCACGAGAGGATACGGTAGGTGGTGGAGGCGGGCATGCACTCTGTTCATGCCCAGGCATGTCCTGTCCTGGCTCCAGTGTCCCTGGAGACAAAACTTGGGAGAAAGACTCCTGGGTGAGGTGATTTATTAGGGAGAGCTCTTGGGAGAAGTCTGCAAAGATGGAGATGGGGTAGTGGGCACTGAGCCAAGAGGTGGGCTCAGCTGGAGCTCACGTGACCTTAGTGTTAGGGGGAAATGATGTCCTGAGTTAATCCCATACAGGCTTTGTGGACCCCACCCCCACTCCAGACCAAAGCCATCAGGACATTGGGAAAGACAAATCCCATCACCACCAAAGGGAGGGTGGCTGGGACCTGAGGGTGGAGTTGGGCAGCCAGGTTGGATATAAAAACCAAACACGTGGGCCTTGGGGGCTCTGGCTCGCGATCGCTCGCCTCCTGGCTTCACCGCTCCTGGCTGGCAGCCAACCCTGAGAGCGCCATTTTGGGATTCCTGATTGGCGGATCGGGTGGGACGCATTTAAAACTTTGTCTCCCGCTTTTCTCCCAGAGCTGTCCATTTCCTCCTTTCCCTTCCCTTGTCAATAAACCTTTTATTAACCTTTCGCGTGCGCCTGCAGTAGAGCATTGATAAGTCCTTTTAAGCGCGCGGGTGAGGACCCACAGTCAGGCACCCCGTTTTGTATCGGGGTTGCTCTACAACATTAGGAGCGTGCCCTGGAGCCCCGTGGCCCTCAGAGTCGTAAGCCCTGTGGGAGGGACTGGGCTCTGTGCCCCTCCTGGGGTGGGGCCGCATGAGCTCAAAGGCATCTCTGGCTGAGGCATCTTGGGAGATGGAAGCTGGTGAAGGGCTCTGGGTGCGGTGCCTCAGCCGCCCTGGCGTCCACCTGCGCCCACTGTCACCTCCCCTCTCATAATGTTGTAGAGCAACCCCGATACAAAACGGGGTGCCTGAATGTGGGTCCTCACCCGCACGCTTAAAAGGACTTATCAATGCTCTACTGCAGGCGCACGCGAAAGGTTCATAAAAGATTTATTTACAAGGGAAGGGGAAATGAGGAAATGGACAGCTCTGGGAGAAAAGTGGGAGACAAAGTTTTAAATGCGTCCTACCCGATCCGCCGATCAGGAATCCCAAAATGGCGCTCTCAGGGTTGGCCGCCAGCCAGGAGCGGTGAAGCCAGGAGGCGAGCGATCGCGAGCCAGAGCCCCCAAGGCCCACGTGTTTGGTTTTTATATCCAACCTGGCTGCCCAACTCCGCCCTCAGGTCCCAGCCACCCTCCCTTGGTGGTGACGGGATTTGTCTTTCCCAGTGTCCTGATGGCTTTAGTCTGGAGTGGGGGTGGGGTCCACAAAGCCTGTATGGGATTAACTCAGGACAGCCTTTCCCCCTAACAATAACAGCATCCCCCAGGCCTCGCCCTCGCACTGCACAGAGCTTCCTTGCCCTTTCTGAACGACCCGGGCTCCTCTGCACTAGGAGCCTTTGCCCTTTAATTCCCTCCTCATAGAACAACCTTCTCGCACCTGCTCTGAGTCCTGGTGTGCAGGGGCCAGCCAGGCGCAGGGCAGGGCCAGGAGGCTTGGGTGGCGGCCAAGAACCCACCCCTTCGCAAGTGTCCACACGCTCCTCCCTCTCTGGCGCTCTCCCCCTCAGTCTGTCTTCCAGGGGTCTCGGCACGATAGCGCCCTTTAACCCCTCGGGCACGCGCCGTGCTCTGGGCCCAGGTGTCCGTAACCACGGGCGCGTGCCCTGTGCCCACGCCTCTCGACCCCGGGCAGCCGCGCAACTTAGGAGGGCGAGCCCGCAGGCGACAGCCGTGGAGGCCAGCGGCTGGAGGACGCACCGAAGCCGGACCCGCACCGAAGCCGTTCACCTGGCAGTTGGCCTGTCCCTTCTCGTGGGGGCACCTTCGCGGGCCTCCGGTCTCCTCTGCCGCGGCGTCCTCCCGGCCCACCACGGGCTGGCCTGTGCTGTCGCGGCCACGGCCCACGCCACCCGTGTGTTCGCGTCACTGTCCTTGCGCGTCTCCCCTCCTGCTGTGAGCGCCTCGAGGCCACGGGACTGCCTTCTCCACCCCACCTGAGCCTCCTGGGCCCGGCTCAGCTAGTATTTGTTGGGTGAGGCGGGGGGAGGACTTTCTTGGCAGAGGGCACAAGCATGAAACCCCGCAGCCTCGGATAGTCAGGTTGGACAGCGCAGAGCAGGTTGGACCACTCGACGCTGTTGATGTCAGCGCACAGCCTGGCTGTGAGAGACGCTGGCACTGGGCAAGGGCAGGCCCAAAGGGAGGAGGTAGAAAGAGCCGCAGAGACACTTCCCAGCTCTGCCTGGCACACTGACTGTACCCTTTGGTGATGGCCGACCCACCACCAGAAGGCCTTTGCGCTGGGCAACAATCTACCCCGGCTGTGGTTTAGGGAGCTCCCTCTGGCTCTGTGAGGGGGTGCGCTGTAGGGTGCAGGGGACAAGGCAGTAGTTGGGTTGACACGTGAGAGGCGAACACTGAAAGCAGCAGGAGGGAAGAAGTAAGAACAGGGCCGGGAGTAGAAGACCGGTTAGGGCTCAGGGGGCCTGGGAGTTGACTGGCTAGTGGGGGCAGAGCACCCCAGTTCAGAGCGTCAGCATCGCACACCTGCTCCAGCACTGGGAAGTGAGCAAAACATCGGCAAGGCGTCACGATGGAAGCAGCCCCCCCACACTTCAGGGTGCTTCTATGCCCCGGCTTGACCCAGAGGGGCCTGGGCCAGAGCAGACAGCCGGCACGCCCAGAGCCCAGCACAGGCCGCACGCGAGGGTTTCTTCATGAAAATGCTTGCTGGGCAAAAAAACCATTTTTCAACATTCCTACGAATAAAAACAGTGTAAATTTTCTAAATGGAATCTAAATTACAACCAACAAACATGAATGTGTCATCTGGGAGTGTTTTCCTACTGGAAAATCATTGGATGCTTTTCGGTGTGCCCTTTCCATTTAGTGACTATAAACTCTCGCTCAGTGAGAATCACTCCAAGATGGAAGTTTGTTCCAGCTACGAAGTGGACCCGCAGCTGCTGTCTCTCATACACTTGCCTGTCAAAGAGCCCCGCGACCACTACTCGCTGGGCGACATCGTCGCGAACGGACGCAGCCTGGACGGGAGAATCATCAACGTGCTTGCGGCTGTGAGGGCGGTAAGTGAAAGCCCAGAACGCCAAGTGCGGTGAGGCGGGGGACACTAGCGCTTAATTTGTGTTTGGAAAACAGTAACTAGTCGGGGCTGTCCCCCCCCCCCCCCCCCCCCCCCCCGTCTGGGCCGGTGGGGTGGTTCCGTTCAGAAAGCGGTCCCATCTCTCTTTGAAGAGAGAGCACCTCTCTTCAGTGAGCTGCAAGCAAATCGCATTTGAATGCCGCGCAGCAGGACCTTCTGGCCCAGCTCAGCATGAGGCCAGCAGGGAGGGCCACTGGTTGGCGGGGGAGTCCCTGGCCTGTGGAGTCCCCAGAGGCCCAGCTCTGTGCCCACCTTTCCGCAGTGACCTGAGAAGCAGGGAGGCGGCCCGAGTTGTGCTGGGAGGGGCCACCGCGGGCACTCAGCTGCGCCAGCTGTGGGGCCGCAAGGGTGTTTGTCACAGATTTAAAGGCAGACCTTGAAAGTGAAGTGTCCCCGAATAAAGTACATGAGACATTTGACGGACAAGACGCCCGCCCCTCGGGTTGTGGAGCAACAGTCATCGAAGGTTAAGGAAACAGAAAGGAACAGACCGAGATCCTGCTCTCACCAGTGCGAACCAGCACTGGGCGCTGCTGGGCGGGTGAGGAGCCACCACGCAGGCACGACAGGTGGGGACAGGGGCGGCCACGCCCGCCCTTGTCCGCTGCCCCCGGAGCACTCTGGGTGGGCGAGGAGCACGAGGCCCTCTGCAGCAGCGCCGGCCTGGGTGAAGTCTCTGGGCCCTGCGGGGTTGGGCGTCCTGGAAGCCACGATCCTGTTACAGGGCAGCCCCGATATAAAATGGGTGGCCTGACTGCGGATCCTCACCCGCGCGTCAAGGGGACTTGTGAATGCTAAACTGCAGGCGCGCACAAAAGGTTGATGAGAGGTTCATTGACGAGGGAAAGGGAAGTGGGAAATGACTAACTCGGAGAAAAAGAGGGAGATAAGCTCGTAAATGCATCCTACCCGCTCCACTGACCTGGAATCCCAATGATCCGCTGAGCTGGCGGAAAAACCTAGCACGGCTCGTGGCCAAGGGGGTGACACCCCTCTCCCCCGTCACAGGGCCTGTTAAATACTCAAACCTAGAGCCTGGCTGCTTAACTCCGCGCTCAGGCCCTCTCAACCCTCCCTTTGGGGATCGTGGGATTTGTAGTTCCCAGTGTCGTGGGGGTGGAGTCCACACAGCCTGTATGGAATTTGCTCAGGACGTCCTTACCCCCAACACTCCGGCCCCCAGGTTCCCGTGATTCTAGAATAACGCCGGACTCCTTCTCCTGCAGCTTCCTCACACTATGGGCTGGCGGGTCTCTCGCCCTTCGGCTGCCCTTCCCTGCTGTCCGCTGGGAGTCTCCCTTGGGCTCCTTCCCGTGGGACTCAGCCTTGCCTGTGGGTCCAGCGGTGGCCCGGGCGGTCAGCCAGCTGCTGGTGCTGGGGCCGTTGCTCTGCGGCCCAGGGGTGCAGGCTGTTCCCATGTAAGGTCCCTGGGGAGCGGGCCCTGCGTTCCCAGCCGCCTCAGTGACCTTCTGCCTGCACGTGCGTGGGCTGGGCGTGTCAGGCTCTGCAGCGCGCCCCTCACCTGCCACTGGCTTCCTGAAGAAGGCGGCAAAGGAGGCGTCCGTGTCCCTGTGGGCTAGCAGGGAGGCCAGCGCCGCCCCACGCCCCTCTCTGTGGTTCCTGCACCGAGCCACGGTGCACTCCCCCCCACCCCCACCTGCTGACACCGAGACTTGCCCGGGCCACCTGGTGGGCCGTGAAGGGCCGCAGTGGTAGCTGACAGCGCGCCTGCGCCCCTCGCCGCGGATCACCAGCTGCGGGTCCCGCGCTTTGATGTCCCGTGGCTGTTGTTTCTGATTTGCTGCTTGGAAGGCAAACAGGAGGATTTGCATCAACACGCAGGTTAGGACCTCCGTGGCTGCAAGTGGGGAACAGGCCTCTCCTTGCGTTTCTCAGGTCGGGGAACCCAAGTCCTTCACGACTTCAGACCGGAGAAAGGGCCGGCGCTGCGAAGTGAGGCTCTACGACGAGACGGAGCCGTCCTTCACCATGATGTGGTACTGCCGTGCCCCGGGCCCTGCGCTCCTGCTGCCACCCGGTGGGGTCCTCTCAGGGGCCAGCGATGGGGGGATGGTGTTGAGAAAATGAACCCCGCTCTTGTGGATGGGGTGGGTGCGTCCCTTGTGCGGGACCCGGGGTGGCGTGGGGTCGCGTCGGAGACCCCCTCTACTGGGCTATTGTGCGCTGTTTACAGCAAGTGGTGCTTGTTCCTCCCACTGTTCATGGGGAGACAGGCCTGCGCCTCCTCGGCAGTGAGTGCCCAAGGGCCGGGCTGGGAAGGTGGCAGAGAAGCAGGTGTGGTCACAGGCGGCTCTGAGGCCTTGGTGTGCCGGGGGCGTGCTCCAGACGCTCGGGTGCCAGAGAAGCTCCTCATCTGAAATGGGCCTTCTGCCTGGTCCCCTGGGAGGCGTGTCGTTGTGGGGCCCCCGGGTGGTCTGACTTGCGGTCACTCAGTTCTCACCAGCCTGGAGCGGCCCAGGTGGGGACAAGAGAAAGTCCGGAGTTGCAGGAGACAAGCGGCGTGAGGGGCGTCTGACCTCTGTGGGCAGGCGCTTTGGGAAGCGGGGAGGGGCCTGTGGAGCCCGGGGAGCCGCACCCTGGCTCGCGCCTGGACCAGGTGGGGCTGGGAGCCAAGCCACAGGGACATGCTCTTTGTGGTGGGTAGTGCGGGTCACTACTGTTTTTTCCTCACGTATTTGACTTTTTTGTCACTTCTTTAAAACAAATGCAGCTGGGATAGTGAGTCCATCCTCCTCGCGCAGCGCTGGACGCCTGGACGAACAGGTGCTGCGCTTCACTGATTACGCGCCACAGTTGTCATTTTCCACCCCCACCCCCCGGAATAACTTTACAATGGGTTTCTCCCCAAATAGTAATATTTGCCTCCGATGCAAGAATAAATTTCGACAAGTTTCGGAACTGCATGACGGCAACCGTAATCTCAAAAACCATCATTACAACTGACCCAGGTAAGAGACTTTCCAGAATTATGTTTCCCCTTTGGAATTGATAGTATCTCATATTCCAATGTGTACTTAAGAATAAAAGTGCAGGGCCTCCCCGGGGGCGCAGCAGGTTGAGCGCAGCGCTGAGGAGCTGTCCCCAGCCTCTGCAGCACGAGTTCAATCCCTGGCCAGGGAGCTGCCCACAGGGCACAGCAGATCTCTCCTGTCTCCCCACTGCTCCCCTCAGCAGTATATTTTGGTAGATCTGTCTGTTCTGTTCCCCGTTCTGTCTCTGGTGAGTCCTCTCACCCTCCGGCGCATCTGGCCTGTACCCCAGTTCTTGTATGCATGAATAAATAAATCTTAAATAAATAACACAACTGTAAGGGCCTCCCCGGTGACGCAGCGGTTGAGCGCTGGGTTGCGAAGCTGCCGGCAGCCTCTGTAGTGCTGGTTCAATCCCCGGCTGCTCCCCAGCCACCAGAGGAGGGTCCCACATGGCGTGCAGACCTCTCCTGCCGCCCGCTGCTCCCCTCAGCAGTGTATTTCATCACTCTGCCTGCTCTGCTCCCCGCTCTGGCTCTGGTGAATTCTCTCACCCTCCCGCGCTTCTGACTGTACCCAGTGCTTGTATAAATAAATAAATAAATCTTTAAAAAAAAACCAAACAACTGTATTAAAAAAAGAATAAAAGTGCAGCTTGGGTTTAATTTGAATTGAAAAGGAAGATTGCTTTGTATGACTTGAAAAACTTATCATGAGTGCAGTCTTTGATATCCTTATTAAAGAGATGTAAAAAATAATCAGACTCATTTTATTTTTTTAATGATTTATTTATTTATGCACACAAGAGCTGGGGCACAGGCCAGAGATGCAGGGAGGTGAGCGGATTCACCAGAGACAGAGCGGGGAACAGAACAGGCAGACTGACCAAAATGCACTGCTGAGGGAGCAGCGGGGAGACAGGAGAGGTCTGCTGCGCCCTGTGGGCAGCTCCCTGGCCAGGGATTGAACTTGTGCTGCAGAGGCTGCGGACAGCTTCACAGCGCTGTGCTTAACCCCTTGCGCCACCAGGGAGGCCCTCAGACTCATTTTAAAAGCATCATTCCTTGTGATGATTTTCTGAAAACATCGATGATATTGGTTGAATAACCTAAATTGTGGACTATTTAAAATATAAATTGTTTCGCTACAGTCAAGAAACGCGCTACCGGGGCGGCGAGAGCACAGTGCCCCGTCGTGGCTTCCTAGCTAAGTTGAGCGCCCCCTGGAATCTGGGCTGGCAGGTGTCGGTTTATTTCACAGCGAAACAAGGCTGTGGGGGTCGCCCTCACGTCCTGGGGGTCCCGGTCTTTGGTCTTCTAATCGTGGCTCTCGCTCTTGGCCAAGCGGCGTCTGCGCTGCAACAGGCTGTAACATGATTTCAGGCCTTGGCGCTATTATGAGGATTTTAAAAGAATTGCCACGAGGGGACACCATCGGAGACCCGGCTTTTAGGCTTTTACACAGTGCGGGCATGGGCGGTGGCTTGGCCCCCTGGGCCTGGGGCGCCTCAGGGCTGGTCACAGGCAGAATGTGCACCGCGCTCCACTCTGGGGTCCGCTCTGGGATCCGCTCTGGGGTCCACCCTGGGGTTGGGTGACCAAACACGCTATCCCCACAAACGCAGCTTATGCCCTTGCAGGGGCAGGTAATAAACAAAGGCAGCACATCCATGAATTGTGAAATATTGGAGAGGAAAGAGAGGAGAATGGTTGGGGTCCAGTGTGTCTCGGGGTACAAGGCAAAGGCCAGGGCCAAGGCCTGGCCAGGTGGCAGAGGAACGAGGCTTTCAAATCACCTTGAAGGTTTTCTTTTTCCTAATGAGAAACAAATGCCTTTGAAATTCAGAGACACACAAAAGGGTAAAAAGGAAAGCCAAGATCCCTATGATCTCACTGTCCTGTAAGAGTCATTTCTTTGGCATATAGTCTTCCAGTTTTTCATAATTTTTAATTGTAAAGGGTATCAGCCACAAATTTGCAGGCTGCATCTGCGGGTGTGGGCAGAAGCTGTGTGCGTCTCCTGGGCAGCGCAGGGGGGCTTGCCGGTGGAGGCGGTGCCCTCTGCTCTCTGATGTGGTCTCTGTCTCCACTTTTCATCTTTGAAAGAATTTTGGGTTATCTGCAATAATTTTAAAGGTAATAAATTTGCTTTTTACTTAATTATTTCTAATTTAAGATATACCGGAAGCTAACATCCTCTTGAATTTTATAAGAGAAAATAAAGAAGTGAATCCTCTGGATGATGAAATGGACAGTTTTTTAAAAGACTCCATAAATTGTAAGTGACCTTTAAGTATTATTTGAATTTTCAAAAGGACAAAATTTGGGTTTGTTTTATATAGTAAAAGATACAATCATCTTAGCCTATAACTGCTCTATTTCCACTTTTTAAAAAAAGATTTATTTATTCATGTATACAAGAGCCAGGGTACAGGCCAGATGTGTGGGAGGGTGAGAGGATTCACCAGACAGAGCGGGGAGCAGAACAGGCAGACTGATGAAATCCACTGCTGAGGGGAGCAGCGGAATCTCCTCGGCCGGCCGGGAATCAAACCCGTGCTGCAGAGGCTGTGGATAGCTTCACAGTGCTGCGCGCAACCCGCTGCGCCACAGGGGAGGCCCTGTTTCCACTTTTAAAAAGGTAGTTTAAACTTTTAGAGGTTCAGGTAACCTTTTGCCAATCTGATGGGAGCCAACGCGCCTCCCCAGGCAAACAGTTGTGCCCTCGCGTGGGACGCCACCGAAGGTGTGTTCATGGGCCCAGGTCCATGCAGCCCAGGTGAGACCCTGGAGGCACCTCCCAACATAAATAATGCAAAGTTAAACATTCAGGAAAAGAAAAAAATTAGAGGCATTCTGTGTGCCGCTGTCGATGGCCTATGCTGTCGATGGCGGGTGCTTGGGAGAGCCAGGAGGAGCACAGGACCCCCCAGGTCACTCCTGTGGCAGTTCTGCCACCTGGGAGCAGGACAGGCCCTCCCTGGCTTAAATTGTAAAAGGAAACTTTGGTATGTTTTTGGGGGGATATTGAATAGATTTCCTTTCAATAGCAACCACTGATAGAAAAAAATATCACAGCAGCAGAATCTTATCATCTTTTTGCCTATGAGAAAGAACAAACTCGAAGTTGTAGTATTTATCAGAATTAAAGCAAAGGGGCTGTTGTTCCTTGGAAGCTTGCTTGTGAATGCAGGTGGTCTGCAGGGAACGGCATCTCCGCAACGGCCAGAGCCCCCACGGTGCTTGGGCTCTGCCTCCTGCAGGCCTGTCCTGGCACAGCCCCCCAGGCCGTGGGAAGCTCTCCTCCTGGTCAGTACACCTATCAGCCTGTCCCAGACATGTGCTGACTGGCTTTGGAGACTTTTATAGTCACATTTACTCAGAGGCAGCAAGGAGCTGCTGTCTTTTCAAACGTTCAGTATTCCCATGAAAGACCTACAGGGTGAAATTAATATTTCAGGGAAAAGCTATCATCATATATTTTTTTAAAGATTTATTTATTTAAGCATACAAGAACTGGAGTGCAGGCCAGAGGTGCGGGGGCGTGGAGGGGTGAGAGGATTCACCAGAGACAGAGTGGGGAGCAGAACAGGCAGACTGACTGAAATCCACTGCTGAGGGGAGCGGCAGGGAGACAGGAGAGGTCTGCTGCACCATGTGGGTCAGCTCCCTGGCCGGGGATCAAACTCGTGCTACAGTGGCTGCTGATAGCTTGATAGCGCCGAGACTAACCCCTTGCGTCACCAGGGAGACCCTTTTACTCCTTTAATGGTGCCCTCTGATGACCAGAATGTCTTCATTTTAATGAAAACTAATTCTCATTCTCTCATAATTTTGCCTTTTTTTTTTTGCTTTTATGTCCTTTTATATAATTGGTCTTAAATAGCAAATATAATCATTTTTCTGTTACTTAAACGACTGTGTTCTCCTTTGAACTTTGTAGCTTTTCTAGTTGGATCTAGGGCTTTGGAGTTCTTAGGATCTAGGCAGACCGTAACAATGCCTTTTTATTTTTAGTGACGACAATAGTTGATGTCTACACAATCGAGCAGCTAAAGGCAAAAGTCCTGAAGGACGGAGGAAAAGCCCCTCCTTTCTGCGGCATTCTCTATGCGCACGTCTCCACACTGAACATTGACGACGGGGTCACAAAAGTGGTTCGGAATAGATGGTAAGAGGTAGGCCACTTCTGGCGAATTCACTCTCATGAGGAAAAAAACAGTTATTTTTAATAAATTGTATGTTCTTTTAATTGAAGCTTGCCTTTCACGTAGCAGTGGTTTATTTTTGAGATAAATATGGGAATAAATACCTATATTGAAGAATCCATGATAAATTATTTAGAGTCAAAGATTATAATTGTCTTTTAAAGTACAATTTAATTGACTGTTGCTGCAATCTTAAAACATAAAGATTTAATGCTGCCAGAAACTTAACTGTGATGACAAACTACTGTCTTATAATGTATCAGAAAATTCTCGTGGCTGTCATGTTGTATAGCAATACAAGTGACAACACTAAAAAACATTATTTTCAGCTGCATGATTTCCAGCCTCTCCTGGGTTAAGTCAATACCTGGTTGCATAAAAATGTAACTTCAGCCCAGAGGCCCGGTGAGAAGCATCTGACAATGCTGTGAGTCTCCCCAGGGATCTGTAGTTCAAACTTTTACGGTGATAGTTCTAGACTCGTGTCGTGATGTAAGAAATGACACAGGGACCCCATGGGCACTTTCCCCAGTCCCCACAGTGGCAACATTTGCAGACCTGTAGGCTCAGTGAGAGCGGGGTGCAGAAGAGAAGGCAGAGCTGTGCAGAGTCAAGAGACGGGTCACAGCTGCAAGACACAGCTGTCCCGGGAGCAGCAATGGCAGGCTCACGTCCAGAGGGCAGGGGGGTGGGGGTGGGAGAGAGCCAAGGCGGCCCCTCCTGAAGCCTCTGCCAAGTGGAGTCAGACTTCCGACCGGACGGAGCCTCCCCAGGAACCTGGAGGACCCGAAGCCACCCTCCCCACCCCACCCCACCGTGGCGAGCTCTCCTCTCAGACCCTCCCAGCCTCCCCAAGAGGCCCCTTCTGCAGCCAGAGCTCTCCCCAGCCTCTGCTCCCCCTCCGGGCGTCTGCCTCTCTCCTCTGGGGGTCCATTCTCCAAACCCAAGCAAGGTTTCCAAGACCTTGCTGGTGCCAGCGGGAGCCCAATTGGTGCCAGTGGGCGCTCGGGCCTGTTGACCCATTTACGAGACCAGCTCAGGCTTCAGATCCGAAGCAGGAGTGCGTCCAGCCTGCCTCACCCTCCACGCAGGAGCTGGTGACCTGCAGGCCAGCATCAAACTCAACCCGTGAGTCTCCAAAACTGCCACGGGTTTTTCTTTCTCTCCTGTAAGCCCAAACCTGCCATGCTGAGTCGCCATCACACCAGCCGCCCTGGCCAGTCCGGGCTGATGCTGCCGGGCTGGGGGCTGCTGTCACCTGAAAGTGGGGCCGGGCCAGGCAGATGGAGCAGACCCCAGCAGGAGCGCCGTGGCGGGCAGGGCTGTGTATCTGGTTTCAGGGGAACCCCCAGTGCTGACAGGTGCCTTGAGTGACTGTGCCCGGCCCTGCTCGGCACCCGCGGCCCCGGTTGCGTTCATTTGGACTTTGGAGCCCGACTGTGGCTTTGGCCCAGCACATTCATCGCTCCCTCCTGCTCTCCTAGTTCAGGCTGTGGCTGCCTCGTCCAAGAAGCGGCCAGCACCTGCCCAGCTTGCAGCAAAGACTCTCGGGAGCTCAGACCGCTTTTCCTCAGCTTCGATATGCTAGTGGCTCTCACAGACCACACAGGCACCCTCCCCTCCTGCAGCCTCGCGGGCAGTGTGGCCGAGGAGACGCTGGGCTGCACGGTGAGTGACCACAGGCATGTCGCGTTTAGGCCTCTCCAGGTTGCATTCTTGGCGCGAGGAGGGAGGTCATCTTGATGAACATTGAGAAAATGAACAAAGACGTCTGAGAAGCGTCAGTCTCCATCTAAGCACACCTGACTCCACCACGCTTTGCATGTTGGGGGTCACAGATAATATTAACTCTCAGGCCAGTGGTGGAGGCAGCGGCAGAGGGTGAGCCCCACATCTTATGCCGCCAGATGGTGCAGGGTGGGGCCTAGGGGTCGGTGGTTACCCCTAAAGCCTCGAGTTACCTGCCTGGGTGGGCGGAGCCTCTGCCGCAGGAGCAGCAGGTGGGGCTGTGGTCCAGCCTCAGCCAGTGGGGCCAGCGAGGGGGGTGGGGGTGGGGCCGGACAGCACTCCCCAGGCTGCAGCGCCCTGGGCCGAACTCCCAGCAAGCGCACTGAGCTGTCACCACTCTGAATAAAACTCAGAGCCGGGCCTCCCCGGTGGCGCAGTGGTTGAGCGCTGGGTTGCGGGGCTGCCCGCAGCCTCTGTGGCGCCGGTTCGATCCCTGGCTGCTCCCCGGCCACTGGAGGAGGGTCCCACATGGCGCGCAGACCTCTCCTGCCGCCCGCTGCTCCCCTCAGCAGTGTCCTTCGGTCCTTCTGCCTGCTCTGCTCCCCGCTCTGGTGAATTCTCTCACCCTCCCACGCTTCTGACTGTGCCCAGTGCTTGTATAAACAAACAAACAAACAAGCAAACAAATAAATAAATAAACATGCCTCTATAAAAAAAAAAAATTAAAAAAAAAAACAAAACTCAGAGCCAATGTAAGTTTCACACGGTGGTCACGACAATTGTCTGTATACACCCAAAAACCTGGAAATACTTATTTGATTTTTTTTTTTTACCAGGTAAATCAGTTTCTTGAGATGACGGGTGGACAGAAAACGGCACTGAAGTGGCAACTTCTTTTGGAAAGAAGCAAAATTTATTTAAAAGTTAGTGTGTTTTACAGTACTGTGCTCTTCTAGATGTTCAAGTGCAGGGAAAATCCTTGAGTTTGAGCTAATGAGTTAGGGAATTTGCTCGTCTTGCTAATGTCCTATTTCCAGATGTGCAGGAGGCGCCAGCAGTGGGAACAGGGGAGGTCCCAGCCCCTTTCGTGTAGCAGAAGGGGTCACAAGTGACGCCAGGGCAAGCTTCTGCTCAGCCGATCCCAGCAGGGCCCTCCCCCATCGACTTGGCCACTGTCCCCGCACCCGGCCAGGTGCTCACTGCCGCCGGCTACCCCGCTAGCTTCTGTCACCCCGACGGTCAGTGAGCTTCCCTGAGCCCCCCCTCTACGGCCCCACAGCTCTGAAGGCCAGGCGGGCGCCCTGCTTTCGCAAACAAGAGGAAATGGAGCCGGAGCTGGGGCCGCCCTGCAGCCCCTTCTCTCTCCCTCCGTCCTTCTCCAGGGTCTTCCTTGTGCTTGAGAACATTTCCGGGCCTCGTTACGTGGGTTACAGCTGGCGAGGGTTACTGGGCCCGGACTCAGGAGCACGCAGGCCCTCAGCGGCCAGGGCGCCCGCGTCCTCGCTGCAAGAGCTGCCAGGCAGTGGGGAGGTGGGGAGGTGACCCTGGAGCAGCGCTCTGACCCTGAAGCTGGGGTGGGGCATGAGGTGCCCCACTCTGCGGCACCCCTGCCACATGAGGTGCTGGGGAGTCCCCACCTGGGGGAACGACAGGCATCACTTGTGGGGTGACCGGCGCGGTCCTGCCCTTTGCCCTCTAGCAGGTCACGCTGCGGCCTGGCGGCGATGGGCGCAGCTGGCTTGGGCCCCTCGGGCCCCTCTCCCGCACGCTGGGTCTGACACCCCGGCCTTCCCGCCACGGAGAAATGCCACGGAATGTGTTTTTACAAAATCGCTGTCAGAGCCTGGCCTGTGGCGTCTCCTCGGAGCCCCCGGCCGGAAGCGCAGCCGCCCCGGGGAAGGTCTGGACACGGACTCAGGCCTCCCTGCGTCCGGGTGCTCAGCCCCGCCCAGGCTGCCGGTGAGCCGCTGTCTTCTCCCCGCAGTGCTGCCCGGCGCCCAGAGCCCGGGCCGGGCTGAGGATCAGCGTGCTCTCCTGTCGGCGCGCGGACCCCGGCGAGGCCAGCAGGCGCCTGTGTGGGCAAGGAGCGTCCCACCCGTCGCCGTAAACCCCGGAGCGGAGCGGAGCAGGGGCTCTAACCGCCCAGAGACACGCGGCGGGTCACTGGGTGGCGGAGAAAAGTGTGTTTCCTTCCAAGGCAGCAAAAATGTTTCTGTGAGTGCCGGGGTCAGCCTCAGCCCTCCTCCCGCGGCCTGCCCGCCGGCGCTCCCCGCGTGCATAAACGTGCCCGCCCTTCCTCACACACGAGAACGGTGCCTTTTCTTGAGCCATTGCTCCTGTTTCGCCGGGAAAGGGTCGGGACCTCCAGCGCGGGTGACCTGGAGGGTGGCGGCGCTCGGCTGCTCGCCGGAACCGGAGGGCGGGGCGCGGGGCCGCTGCTCTCACCCCTGCCGGCTGTGAGGACGGGGCTTGCGACGGCTTGTCTGGGTCCGCGTCTGTGGCGTGAATCACCTGGGAGGAGACAGGCTTCAAAAGCTCCCAATCTGGGAACTTGAAAGCGTGGCCCGCAGCCCCCGAGCCCCGGCCGCCACCACGGTCAGCGCCCGCCAGCCTGGAGACCCGGCCAGCGCAGCTCGTCTGCTCACAACGTCCCGAGGGGCAGAGGGTGGTGAGTACACGAGGAAGCCCTAGGGGAGCGCGTGAGGTGACCCCCCGTGGGTCCGAGTGTGGTGATAAACACCCCGGGAGGGCCCTGACTGGCTGTGCAAGCGCGGTGCCCTCCCTGCTGGGCCCATACGTGCATCAGGCAGGGCGAGCCCGGAGAATGGGCAGAGCAGCGGGGGTGAGGGCGATGCCCTCCCGCCCAGGGAGTGGAGCGTAGCCTGGGGGAGAGGACTGTGGGACCAGGCGGGAGACAGGCCGCAGGCCAGGTGGCGTGCCAGGAGTCCGGTGACTGGGCTGCAGCAGCTGGTCCGGAGCGCCAGGGCCTGGGCTGAGGGCGCCTGAGCCCACAGCCTGGCCTGGTCCCCGCTACAGCGCGCACCCTCATGGCAGAAGGCGGCAGCCACCCAGGAGCCACGCGGAGGAGTCAGGCACTCCCTGCGGTCTGGTCATGGTTCCGAGGTGGAGGTGATGGGCTGCGGGCACCGGTGGAGGCTGGCCAGGACGCAGGGCCCCACGCACAGCGCCTCCCGGCCTCCTCGGCGGTGCCTTCTCACCTCCGGCTTCGCGGCACTGTGAGCCCTGAGACTGGCCATCAGGGCCCTCCACCCACTGCCCCTGGGGACAGGGCACCTCTCCTGCTCTACCCACCCACGACTCACCTGAAGAGCTCTGGACGTGTGTCTTGTTGAAATACAGATTTTTGGGGGTTTTTTTGAAAAATTTATTTATGCATACAAGAGCTGGGGCACAGGCCAGAGGTACAGGGGGTGAGAGGACTCACCAGAGACAGAGTGGGGAGCAGAACAGGCAGACTGACTGAAATACACTGCTGAGGGGAGCAGCGGGCGAAGCAGGAGAGGTCTGCTGCGCCCTGTGGGTAGCTCCCTGCCTGGGGATCGAACTCAGGCCGCAGTGGTGAGAGCTTCATAGTGCTGAGACTTAACCCCCGCGCCCCCAGGGAGGCCCCAAATACAGTCTTGTTTTAAATATTTTTATTATAAATTTCTACGTTTATTGTGGAAAAATTAGAAAATACCTGGTATGAATCAAAGGGGAACCCACGCCCCGCATCCCAGCTTTTTCTAGCTGGCAAGTACAACGCCCCTTCCTTGTGTGAAATCACAGCACACCCACCGATGGGGAGGACACACCCCAGGCTTGCCTCTGGCATCTTGGGGTGGGTGAAAGTTGGGGCGGGTTGGGGGGGGCTTGTTTTGCTTAACCACGTGCATGCGTTAGGTCATTAAAGAAGGAAACTTGGGCCTCCCCTGGTGGCGCAGCGGTTGAGCGCTGGGCTGCGAGGCTGCCCGCAGCCTCTGCAGTGCCGGTTCGTTCTCCGGCCGCCGGTCAGGGTCCCACCAAAAAAATAAAATAAAATAAAAAATAAAGAAGGAAACTTGATTAAAAGATGAAAGAACTTGAGCCTCAGAACATCTCATAAACTAACCCGTCCTGGGGTGGCCTTGGCACAGTCCCGCGTCCGTCTCGGGGGACGCAGCCCGCCTGGGCCGGGCTTCACTTCTGGTCCTGGCAGAGCGGGGCCAGGCTGGCTCTGGCCCCCTCGGGTCTCCTGGTCCTCCGTGGGAAGGGACCGGCCTTGCAGCCTCGGTGGGGCTAGCTGGGCACAGGGTGCCCCAGCCCGCAGCCTGGCGGCGCTAAGCATAAGCCACGCGGCCGAGCGTCAGGGCCCCCGCTTTCAGAGGCCAGGGGTGCCTTCCGCCTGGCCGGAGCCCAGGCCCCGGGGGGGCGCTGACAGCTGTGCTGTGGGCCCTGCTCCAGAGGAAGCGGGGTACAAAAGCAGCACCCCTGGCGCTCAGCTTCCCAGAAGCCACTTCCAGCCTGGTCGCAGGGTGAGGTCCTGACCAGCTGGAGACAGCACCACGGACGACAGGTCTGAAAGCCACGTGACGAGCGGGTGCCCTCCGCCCGCTCCCCGGAGGAACGGAGTGGACTTCCAGGCCGCGTGGGTGACAGCGTATTTATTTTAAAAACAAGTTTCAAGATGATCTGCCCAACTCAGCGACTGTGCCCGCGGCGCACTCGGGCGCTCTGCATTACTTGCTCACCCGCCAAGGGTGATTCCCACTCCCCGACCCTGCAGGGCCTGGGCGCCTCCGGTGACACAGCCGCGGGCAGGGCCGGAGAAGGCTTCACTTCCTCTGCAGATTTCAGGTCTTGAGCTACGCACCCAGAGTGCCCCACCGGCCAGGCCCGGGCCGAGGGTCTTAGGACGGTGGGTGCGGCCATGTGGTCCGCACACCCTCCTTTAGAAGCCTGGCGCCTGCTCTCCTTCCGCTTCCAAGCAGGTCTCGGCCACTCCCCGGAGGTCACCTTCCCTCGGCCGAGCCCAGGCCCCAGGCACGTCACTGAACACGGGTTTCCTGGGGAAGGGCTGCTCGCTCAGTAGTCTGGCCTCTCCACCCGGACCCTCATCGTGACCACCCCGTCGATGCCGGCCCGGATCTCGTCGTTCTCTTTCACCGGCCCGACTCCCTTCGGCGTCCCCGTCAGGATGAGGTCCCCTTCTTCCAGGGCCATTATCTTGGAGACGTAGCTGATGATGTAGGGGATGGAGAAGATCATGGCCGACGTGTGTCCCTCCTGCCTGAGCTCGCCGTTCACCTCGAGCCAGAGCCTGAGGTTGTGCGGGTCGGGGACCCTCTCCTTCGGCACGAAGGCGCTGACGGGGCAGGAGGCCGTGAAGCCCTTGGCCAGGGTCCAGGGCAGCCCCTTCTTCTTGCACTCGTCCTGCACGTCCCTGGCGGTCATGTCCAGGCACAGGGCGTAGCCGGCCACGCAGTCCATGGCGGCGGCCTCGGGCACCGCGCGGACGCGCCGGCCCATCAGCACGCCCAGCTCGAGCTCGTGGTGCAGCAGGCGGCTGTGGGCCGGCAGGAGCGCGGGCGCGCCCTCGGGCGCGTAGGCGCTGGACGGCTTCAGGAAGAGCAGCGGCTGGCGCGGCAGGGCGCTGCGCATCTCCGCGGCGTGGTCGGCGTAGTTCCGGCCCACGCACACGATGTTCTTGCCCCACTCCCAGAAGCGGGACAGCGGCCTGGCGGCCGCCATGCTGCGGCCGTCGCCCTTGGCGCGCGAGGGCGCGCGGGGCCGGCCGCCTACGGGCGCCGAGCGGGGCCAACTGCCCCGCGCCGGCGCCGCGCTTCGCGGCACGCCCGGGTGGGACGGGACGCGGCGCGCCGATTGGCCGACGGCGGGGCGGGGGCGCGCGGGGGGCGCCGATTGGCCGGCGGCGGGGCGGGGGCGCGCAGGGGGCGCCGATTGGCCGGCGGCGGGGCGGGGGGCGCCAGGCGGGCGCCGATTGGCCGGCGGCGGGGCGGGGAGCGCGCAGGGGGCGCCGATTGGCCGGCGGCGGGGCGGGGGGCGCCAGGCGGGCGCCGATTGGCCGCGGCGCGCGGAAGACGCGCCGGGCCGCCGCCGCCCTCGCCCGGTCATGGTGCTGGGCCGCGGGCTGCTCGGCCGCCGCAGCCTCGCCGCGCTGGGAGCCGCCTGCGCCGGCCTCGGCCCGGGTAGGTGCGCGGGCGGGCCGCGGGCGCCGTCGCGGGCCGGCTCCGGGCGTTGGGCCCGCGCGCCGACGCCGTTTTCCGAGCGCCGGCGGCGGGGCCGAGGGTAAGGACGCGCGGCGCGGCCCGGGCTCCGAGGCCGCCGGGCCGGGAGCGGCTCCTGCCCGGCGCGGCGCGGGGCGCGGCCCGGGGCGAGGGGGACGGGCGGCCCCGGCTTCCGGCGAGGGCCCCGGCAGCCGGTGGGGGGGACCCCGCGACCCGGGCCCCCGGGCCCCGCCTGCTCTGCCGGGGGACTTGGGCCCCGACGCCGAGCCCGGCCCCGCGCCGGCCGCCCTGCGGCCTCTGAGAGCCGCCCGGCCCTGAGCGGGGCGCCCCGGCCCGGCCGCCGCGGGCCCAGAGGCCGCCCCTTCCCCGCGTCGGCCCTCGCCCGGGGAGTCCCGGGCGGCGGAGCCCACCCGAGGAGTCTGGGGAAGGAAGACCCTTCCCGGCGCCGGCCCTTGGCGCCCGGCACCTGCCGGCCGCACCTCTTTACTGGGCAAGACTTGCAGGAAACTCGGGGAGCTGTCAGCCTCTGCTCCCCGCTGTGCCCCATCCCGCTGGCTCTCTGCCCTCTCCTCCCAGGCGCGGGTGGGCTGCCCAGGAACCTGACCACACCCGAGCCCGCGAGCGGGGCCTGGAAGGCACCGGCAGGCTGTCAAGGAGCCGCGGTCGGGGGTCCTTGGGCCAGACTGAGGCTGCGGCTCACGCCACCCCCACGCGGCTCCAGACCCGCGGGCCGCCTCTGCCACTTGGTCCGCTGTCGTGCTGCCAGGGCCCCGTGTCGCGCGTGGGAGCTCTGTACGCCCCGGGGCCCCCCACTCGGGCGGTTCCGGCTCCACACACTCAAGCCAGCGCCGCTGTGGCTGCACGGCCAGCCCGCGGGCCCGGTGGCTCCGCGCCTTCTCTAGAATCGTGCGTCCCGCCAGTCCTGTTTTCTCCTCTGACTGGCGGCGCCGGGTGGCAGCGAGCCCATTGCTCTGCTCGTCCCAGGGGTGGCGGGTGCCGCGGGGCTCGTGTGCACACCCCAGCCTGGCCGCGACCTCGGCGACCTCGTCGGTGGTGAGAGCCGCAGCCCCCTGAAGGCACGTGGCCGGGAGCCCCGAGGGGCGTTTCCTGCGGGAGGGGCGGTCCTGGGGGCTGGCCGCGAGGTCTCGGCCCGGGCGGCCTCCGGGGACACTGCCGCTGCTCTCAGGTCCAGCCCTGCTGGGACGCCTGCTCCAGCACACGGAAGCAAGGAAGAGCCTGACCGTGGCACAGGGCGCCATGAAGGTCGAGCTGCTGCCGGCGCTGACCGACAACTACATGTACCTGATCATCGACACCAACTCCAGGGAGGCCGCCGTGGTGGACCCCGTGCAGCCCCAGAAGGTGGGCGGCCCAGCCGCGCTCCCCGAGGAGGTTTCGCTCAGGGCGCTGGCAGCTTGCCTGCGTGAGGGTGGAGGAGACCGAGGCCGGGGCGTGGAGAGGGCTGGGCCTGCAGCAGGGGCCCCCAGGCTCACAGCCCCCGCCACGCCCCGGGAGGGTCGCTGTGGGTCCGGGCGAAGCCCGTCGTCTGCACTGCTGGAGCCGGGGCCCAGCCTGGGTTCCACTGGGTGCTTCAACCCCTGACGGTGCAGGGCCCGTGGCCGCGGCCTCAGCCTCGTGCCCGGTTGCAGGTCGTGGAGACGGTGAGAAAGCAGGGCGTGAAGCTGACCACGGTGCTCACCACCCACCACCACTGGTAAGGGCGGGGCCCGCCTGGCCCGCACCCCGACGCGCCGCCTGGCCCGGGCAGCGAGAGGACTCCGGGGACCTGGGGGCCCTCCTGCCCCACAGCTGTGTCCCCCGCCGACGGCCTGCCCGATGGGGCTCGAGAGGCTCCCAGGCAGGCCCTGTGGGCTCTCCCTGCGGGGGATCTGCTGGCCGGACCTGGGGAGACAGGCGCACGCCCCCCCCCAAGCGTCCCCGTTTCTGGGCGCCGGGGCCATGCGGGCGGCTGTGCGGGCTGGGAGCGCGGGGAGGAGACGGCGCCGCCAGCCGTGGGGCCGCGTCGAGACTGGCCCTCGTGGGTTTCTGACGCTGAGCTCCCGCCGCTCGGCTGTGGGTGTTCCCGAGTCACTCCCTGAGGTCGCCGTCCCTTGGGCCCCCGCAGCCGCGATGCCCCGCCCGGCGGTGCCGTGGGCTCCCGTTTACCCCAGCGTCAGCCGGGCCCTGCCCCGGGAGGCGGGGTGTGGCCCCACACCCCACTTATCGGTGTGTGCCCAGCGGCCTGTGCATGAGAAGCGGGGGGCGGGGTGGGGGCAGCCCTGTGCTGGGCATCAGGCTGTGTCTGTCAGGCCAGTTCCCGGTGCCCCGTGGGCCAGTCCCGGCAAGGCCCAAGGTCAGGGCCGCGGGCTCGCGGTGGCGTCTGAGCCCCAAAGGGGGGATGCAGGTTTCTCCTGACCCCCTTTGGACGACAGGTCCAGCTGATGCGTGGGGGGGCCCCCTGGATGGTGCCCAGGAGTACCGAGTGCCACGTGCGGAGGACCTCCGGGCCGGCGCAGACACCCCGCCCTCGGCCCCCAGGCTGCTCTGGGGACGGCGCCCTGGGCCTGGGACCCGCTGGCCGCCCCGCTGGAGCCGGCCTTGCCCGAGGCTGGGCACGTTAGCACTGAGGACCGCGCGGCAGAGAAGCCCGGGCTGCGGTTCAGAAGGAGCACCCCTCTGCCTCGCAGGGACCATGCTGGCGGGAACGAGAAGCTGGTCAAGCTGGAGCCAGGGCTGAAGGTGTATGGGGGTGATGACCGGATCGGGGCCCTGACCCACAAGGCCACGCACCTGCTCACCCTGCAGGTGAGGCCAGCGGTCCGGGGCCCTCCTCAGGACCCACCCCTGGGCCCGGGTCCCCTCTGTGGAGATCATCACAGGCCCGTCCGCAGGCCGGCACTGCCAGACCAGGGGCGGGGGGAGCGGCGGGGGGTTGGAGGGGGCTCGGGAGGAAGGGGCGGGGGGGGGGTGGAAGCGGGCAGCGGGGGCTCTGCAGGCAGCGCGGCTCCCTTCCAGGTGGGGTCTCTGAGCGTCAAGTGCCTGTCCACGCCCTGCCACACCTCGGGCCACATCTGCTACCTCGTGAGCAAGCCGGGCAGCGCTGAGCCCCCCGCCGTGTTCACAGGTGCGGGCGCGGGCCGGGCTGCGGGCAGCGGAGCGGGGCCGGGGTCACCGCGGGGTCCCGGCGAGGGCTGAGGGCGCCGGGGCTGGCGGACGGGGCGCTGACCGGGAGGCGAGGGCGGCGGGCACGGAGGGGGCGCCAGGGTGGGCGGCCTCCTTGTTGGGGCAGCTCCCCCTCGCGTGTGAGCAGGTGGGGGCGGGCAGCAGCGCGCGCGGCCCTCCAGCCCCCCGTGTCTGCAGGCGACACCCTGTTCGTGGCGGGCTGCGGGAAGTTCTACGAAGGCACGGCGGACCAGATGCACAAGGCCCTCCTCGAGGTGCTGGGCCGGCTCCCTCCAGACACGGTAGGGGCGCCCTGTTCCCCGGGGGGACGCCCTGCCCGGCGGGAGGGGCGTGGGGGCGGCCCCTTTGGACGCGCAGGGTCCTGGAGGGGTGCCGTGGGGAGCCGGCCCGATGCGGCCTGCCGAGCGTCCGGCCTTCCCCCAGAGAGTGTACTGCGGCCACGAGTACACCGTCAGCAACCTCCAGTTCGCGCGCCACGTGGAGCCCAACAACACCGCCGTGCGGGAGAAGCTGGCCTGGGCCAAGGTGAGCCCCGCCCGGCGCCGGCGCGCAGACCCCCGCAGAGCTGGCCGCGGCCCTCCAGGCTGCCCCAGCCGGCTCGCACGGTCGCCGGGACGCCTTTATTCCTTCCCTTCCGGTGGGAAGTCCAGGGGGGCGCCCTGCATGTGACATCAGCGTGCCGTGGTACATCCGCCCGGGGGTCCTCTCTGCCCTGGGGGAGCCGCTGGGCCGGGAGTCGCCTCACTGCTGAGCCGGGGGCTTGCGCGTGACGCAGGGACCGCGTCTGGGGGTCCTTTTCTGGCAAAGTCTCGTCTGCCTGAACATCAGGGTAGCGCTGGGCTCCACCCAGGGGCTGGGACGTGTTTCCTCCCCGATTCCCTGCACGCTGGCGGGGCGGGGGGTGGGGGTTGCGTGCTTCTTCCTGGAGGCCCTGGACCGTGGCGCCTCTGTGGAGAGACACTTCGCCACAGAGTCCACTGTCCCCCGGGTTGGGCTGTCGGGCTGTGTCGTCTTGAAGTCATTTCGTTGGCAGCGTGTGTCTCAAGGATCTGTCATTTCATCGGGGTTTTTGGATGCTGACAGTTTCGTGCGGTCCCCACTGTAAGATCAGCGAGGCCGCGACGGAATTCACATGGGCCCCGCAGCAGTTTATTTATTTATTCATTTTTATTTATACAAAAGCCGGGGTACAGGCCGGATGCACGGGAGGGTGAGAGGATTCACCAGAGCCAGAGCGGGGAGCAGAGCAGGCAGAAGGACTGAGACACACTGCTGAGGGGAGCCGCGGGGAGACAGGAGAGGTCTGCCGCGCCCTGTGGGATCTTCCCCGGCCGGCCGGGATCGAACTGGAGCCGCAGACGCTGTGGCCGGCGTCACAGAGCGGCGCTCAGCCACCTGCGCCGCCAGGGGAGGCCCTGAACTAGAGCAGTTTAAAGGAGCAGCTGAGGGGTGGAGACAGGTGTACATGCTGACCAGTCGCCACGGCCGTGAGGAGGAGAGAGCTCTTCCCCCGCCCATCAGCCTTGCGCTCTCTGCCTGGTCCAGGCAGCTGCTGACCTACTGTGCGCCATGAGAGCGGTTTTGATTTCCTAGAATTTTACTCCAGCGAAGGACAGGATATGCACTCCTGTATCGCCTTTCACTTAGAATGAGTTTGAGATTCATCCATGTGGCTGCAGTTGCTTCTTCTTTTTTCCCGCCGTGTAGTGTTCTGCCGTTTAGATCTCTGCATTGTGCTGACCAGTTCGCTGTTGACAGACTGTGCTGTCGTGGTAGTCGCTGGCTGTCGTGAGTTAAGCTGCGGGAACATCTCTGCCCAGAGTCTTCATGTGCCACGTGCTCTCACGTGCCTGGAGGGAACCCCTAGCGGTGGTGTGGCTGCTTGTGGTAGGTGTTTGCCAGGCTGCGCTGCTTGCATCCCCCGCAGCGAAGCGTGAGCGTGGCTGTCGTCAGTGTCCTCCACACCAGTCGTCTGGCGGGCTGCGGTGGCATCTTGCCTTTTCACCTGCATGTCGTGATGCGGGGCCGTGGTCCCCGCCGCTCGCATCCTGATGCCGGCGACCCGCGCTCTCTCCCCCTCGCCAGTTCAGCTGTCCTTTTACAAGGCCAAGTCCTGTCTTAATTTTCCGTGACTCAGTTGCACTGGTTTCTGTTCCCTTTAAACTTCCCTCCACTTTGGATCTATTTTGCTGTTACTTTTAGAGCTTCTTCACGTGGTGCCTCAAGTCATTGATTGATTCTAGACCCTTCTTCCAACATCGGCTCTTCCTGTGGACGCACCCCGGGTGCTGCATGAGCAGCGGCCCGAGCCTGTGTTGTCATCTCCTTCCATCTGAGACACTGTAAAGCTTCCCTGTGAAGTCCTGACGCGTGGGTTATGCTGAATTGCGCTGAACTTTAGTCTTTCCAGTTTTTATGTTGAGTGTCCAGAAACGTGAAGGCTGGAGGACACTCACTGCCCAGGCCTGCTTCCCGCCCTCAGTGCTGTGGGCGCCTGGCTCCGTCCAGCCGGTGCCTCACTTTCTTCCCCGTAGCTCCACGCGCTGCTGTGTGGGCCCCAGCGCCGCCCCCGTGGGGTGCCGAGGCCGGAGGTGTCTGCCTCCCAGGCCCTGCCCCTGCGCACCGACTTCTGCTGGGCGCTCATCCCCCGCCCGCGCCTGAGGGCCTGTCCTAGACTCAGCCACACACGAGCTTGGGTGTCCCCCGTGGGCGGTGGAGGCCTCTCTGGAGTGAGGATGGGGGCAGAGAATCTTCTCGCGGCCCCTCCTCCAGGGGGGCCAGTGACACCAGCAACAAGCCTCATCCTGTCTCTGGCCAGACCCTGCCGGACGGGCCTCAGTGGCTGAAGGGTCAGTTCCTGCCCCAGGGCGGGTGGGACTGGGTCTCAGACCTAGGGCCCTGGGGTCAGGGGCCTGGGCTGGGTGCTGGCCCACAGCTCCGCAGGTCAGCTGGCGGCGGGAGGCCTGGGGGGACCCCCAGACCCCCCAGCGGCTAACACTGGCCTCAACAGGCACCCGCGGTCCACAGCTGCCTGTCCGGCCAGTGGGGATCAGGGCAAGGCCGTCCCTGCTTCCTGGGAGCCCACAAAGGTGGCACCTGCTGGCCCGTGGGTGATGCACCCCCACCAGTCATCCTGGGGGGGCCAGCACCTGTCCTGCCCGGCTGGGCTGTGGCCCCCACGCTGGCTGTCTGTTCTCCATCCAGGTGGCATGACGCAGACACTTCCCGGGGGTGAAAAGGCTGCCTGGCCCCTCCACCCCGGCCACCGCCCTTCCGGGCAACGGAAAAGTCGTGCTCAAGGGCGGCGTTTGTCTTGCAGGAGAAGCACAGCGTCGGGGAGCCCACGGTGCCCTCCACCATCGCCGAGGAGTTCACCTACAACCCCTTCATGCGGGTGAGGTAGGCGCGGCCCTCCGGGGCACTGGGGCTGGCGGCCGCCTGCCTGCGGGCTCCCGGGGCTGCAGAAGCACCTGCGCTCCCGCCCTCAGCCGCGCCCGCCCCCGCAGGGAGAAGACGGTGCAGCAGCACGCCGGGGAGTCGGACCCGGTGGCGGCCATGCGCTCCATCCGCCGCGAGAAGGACCACTTCAAGGCGCCCTCCGACTGAGGCGCTGCCCCTGGCCGCCCCCGCGCGCACTGTGGGGCGCCCCAGCCTTAGGTAACTGACTTCCAGCGAGGAGTGCCGGCAATTCCTTGGTTCCATTTTAAATTAACTTCGAGCCCTTGAGCCCTCCGCGTGTGCCATCGCGTCTTCTAACGCGCCAGTGCGGGAAGCCGAGCGCGTCTGTGCCTCTGACCGTGGCTCCCGCCTTTTCCAGGAGCCTCGTGGTCTCCAGGGAGCCCCCCACGGCCCAGGAGCGCCCAGGCTGGTGGCCCTGTGCTGCCACGCTGGCCGGGCGGGCTCCCCCTCCCCCCTCCCGCCTCCCCCCGCGCCTGCCCTGGGGCTCCAGGCTGGTCCTGCAGAGACTTGAGGAGGGAGGGAGGGAGGGGGACGGGGTGGGTGCAGGCGGGCGCGGCCGGGTTGGGCGCGGAGGCCTGTGGGAAGAGGCGGTTGTCCTGCCAGGCCCGAGGTTTCCTGCGGACCTTCTCCCTCTGAGCGACCGGGACCGACCAGCAGGGCCGAGCTGGAGGCACTGGGGCTGCTGGGGTCTCTTCTCTTGGGGCTACTGCAGACCGTGGGGCCAGACCCCTTGGGGCCCTGTGTGCCCGAGCCGCGCAGGGGCACGCTTGTCTGGGGACAGGAAGCACCAAAGGGCCCCGATAGCGCCTGTCCCTGCTGCCAGGGGTGTCGCGGGCCGGGGGCGTCCAGAGGCAGGTCTCTCCACAGTTCTGTGCCAGCTGCTCGGACCCCGCGCTGCTCCCAGCAGAGGGCGACCCGCCGCAGACCCGGGCCGAGTCCTGTCCACCGGGGCCTGGCCGCTGACCGCCCCTCAGCAGGGCCGGTGCAGAGGTGCGCGAGGCCGGGTCCCCTCTGCTCCCGCATCCCCACGGCTGCGCCCACCGCCACCCCGGCCCCTCCGTTGTGCCTGCTGGGGTCTGACGAGGCAGGTTCATGTTTGCGGACATGACTTGGAGGCGCCCCCCTAGACGGGGCCTCCTCTGGGTCTCTCCAGTGAAGTGGGGTGAGCCTGCGGCCCACCCCTCCCCCCAGGCTCCACAGCCCTAACTCTGCCCCCAGCCCCGGGGCGTGGATGGCTCAGGAGCCCTGGCAGAGGCACCCCTTTCCTTTCGTGAGACACGCTCCTCCTGCCCTTTTCCTCTCAGGTGTCCAGTTTTGGGGGGGTCTGCTGCCCGTGGCCGGGCTGGATCCCAGGGGTCCTGCAGCTCTGCGGGTCCACGTTCACTTCCAGGCCGCCTGGCCTGTGCTCCCGTGTGACGCCCTGGGGCTGGGGGAGTGCGGCCATGCCTGGGGGCGAGAACAGCCTTCGTGCTGGGACCCCTCCCTGCCCGGAGTCCCCCCACTTCCGACACCAGCTGCAAGTTTGGGGGCCCCTGCGCTTCTGCCTGGTTCCAAATGCAGGGTCCCCCCCTTTCAGTGGAACCGCTCAGAGCCAGGTCGGTGCCTCCTCCCGCCACAGCGCCCACGCGGACAGAGCCCCTCAGGGGGAAGGGCAGTGGGGGGCCGCGGGCCGCGGGGTCTCTCGTGTGACCCCCTCATCCAGGTCGCTCATTTGTGACCGCTCAGGCACCCCGCCCGCCCGGAAAGTGGAGGCTCCCTCAGCAAGGCCTGAGGCGTCAGGCTCCGCCACCCGCCCCTCCCCCCCAGCGGCCAGCTCCAGCCCAGCTTCCTGGGGGGCGGGGGGCGCCGCGGCCCACTCCCCCGCTGGGTCAAGTAAGAGCTGAAGGCAGACGCTGGACTCCACGCGAAACTGAACTCCACCCCAGAAATCCGGCCCTGGGGCGGACGGAGAAGCCGCGAGAAGCTGGCCTCTGCCGCTGGGGCCGCCGGCCCCTGGCCTCCGCCCTGGCCTCCCGGGCTGCGTGGGTGGAGTCGCCTGTCCAGGCGGGGCCGGGGCCGGGCGTGTCCGGGCTGCCGGCCACTGGGACGGCTTCTACGGTGTGTCCCGCCCATGGCCCTTCTCCTGCCCAGGGCGCGCAGCTAGGCCGGCCCTTTGTGGCCACCCCCCCACACACCCCACCCGCCTCCTTCCCAGCCGCCGGCCCCTGCTGTGTGCCGGGCCCGCTGGGACGGGCGGCTCCGCCGTCCAGGTGAGCGCCGGTTCCGGGCCAGCGTGCAGCCTGGGCGCGGCCCCTCTCTGGGCCTGAGACGGCGCGGCCTCCTTTCACGCTTCCACACCCCCCTCCTTCCCAGCCCGCGCGGAGGAGCCCCGGGGCCAGAGGCCAGCAGGCTGGACCCGCACTCACCCGTGCGCCCACATCCCGGCCGCGGGCACCACCTGCCTGAGCGTCTGCCCTCGGCAGCGGGCCAAGGCACGTCACCTCAGTCCCGGGGTCCCTCGGAGGTCAGGGTGGGACACGGGGTGTTTCCTCCGACTTCTGCTGACGCGCCCCTGTTGAAGCCCGGCGACTGCGGGTCCAGTTTGAATAGGAAGGGGGTGGACAGAGGAGAAGGAATTTTGCAAACTAAAAGGAAAATGACAGAACTGACGCCAGCAAGGCTACCGGGCGACGCGCCAGGGGGCCCATGTACGGAACAGCCCGCCAGTATCTCCTCAGGTTCTCCAGGGCAGACCACGCCTCGGGCCAGTCAGCCACAGGAAGCTTCAAAGAGCTGACATCATGGGAGCTGCTGTTCAGCCCCACTGTAACGTGGACATCAAACCACACTTCTAAATAGCTTGCGGGTCAAAGGAAAGTGACGCTGAAACAGGAGTGTGGGGTGCAGCCAAAGCAGCGCCTGGAGGGAAAGCAACGGCTTTAAAATGCCCGCAGGAGACAAGACGGCCTCAGGGAAACACAGAAAGGCCGGCTGTCTCCAGCTGGAGGGCAGCCCGAGCCCAGGGGCCAGCAGGAAACCCCGAAGACTGGAGCGGAAATGGCCGCGCCTGCGGCGGCCACCCACTGAGTAACACGCGAGTCACCCCAGCGCGCGAGGGGGCCGCGGCCAGTCTGTCAGCAAACCAGAGCGCGCGGCGGGCGCCCGAGCTGACCAGCCCCCGTCCCCACCGAGGAGCCAGCGCCCAGCACAGCCGCGGAGGAGGCCCGGCCGGCGCCCGGGTGCTCAGGGCTCGGCAGAGCCGCAGAGCGTCAGGGCCCCTCGGCGCCCCCCGTGAGCAGGCCTGAGGCCCCGAAGCGTGGGCACCCCGGGGCCGCGGGGCCGGCTGGGATTGCGGACCCCGCCGGGCCACCCCGCTCGAAGGGAGAAAACCCCCAGCGTCGCCCGCCCGTGCTAGGAAGCGGACACCGCGGGCGGCAGGGGGCCGTGTCGCCGCGAGAGGCGCCCTCGGCCGGGCAGCGCGGTGCCCCAGCGCAGGGGTCAGTGCCGGTTCTGCCGGGCTGGAGGTGCGGGCGCGCCCGGCCCCTCCCCCGGCTTAGGGGGACGCGCCCGCTCCGCGGCTCTGACTCGGCCTTCACAGCCAGCGCCGCACTGACCTGACCCCGCCCCACTCTGCACCCCGGGGCGCGCCCCCTCCAGGCCGGGCGAAGCGAGGGCGCAGCTGGCCTGCGCCGGGGCACAGGGCGGAGGGCAGAGGGCGGCGCGGGGACAGTCGCTGGCGGGGCCCGGGGCGCAGCACACCTGGACCGAGTGTCCAGCAAGGGCCCGGCCGACGCGCGCTGGTCCGGCTGCGAGCAGGGGCACCGGCCGCCACCGCGCCGCACGCTCCCGCGGGGGGAGGCCCACAGGCGCGGGGCGTCCGCGGGCCCGGCTCCTTGGTCAGACTCGCCACCGGTTCTCCCCGAACGGACCGACGTCCCAGACAGCGCCTCGGCTTCCTGCCGGCGCTGGGGGAGAGTGGCCGTGCCCCCCCAGGGCGCTGCAGCCGGGACAGCGTCCTCTCCCAGCGCCCCGGACGACCGGCCGGGACCGCCGCCAGCTCCCGCCAGAGGGGGAGCGGCCCGGACCCCAGCCCTCCCCCGCCAGGCCGGGGAAGGCCCCGAGGGTCAGGCGACCTCAGCCCGCGAAGGCGGCGCACACGGGGAGGGCGGCCCACACGCCGCCGAAAGCGCGCTTGACGCCGCGAATCAGCGGCCGAGTCGGCGCCGGGAGAAGCCCTCTGGGCTGGCCGGGGCCCTCGCGCCGACCCCCGCGGGGACGAGTGGGTGACCGCTGTTCCCCGCTGCTGACCCCCGGGGGTTCCGCCGGGGCCGCCCTGGCGCTGCCTGAGGGGCCTGAGCCCAGGGCAGCGGATGCTCGAAACTGGACCTGGGGTTTGGTCCAGAACCGCCGTCTGCACCAGGAGTCGCCGAGCCGTGCCCTTCCGGGGCCCCCGCGGTGCGCATGCACACGTGCCCCAGCACCGGAGGGTCGATTCCAGCCCGACGAGTGGACTGAAGGGGCGGGGGCTTCCCGGGCAGCGCCAGGCGGTCACCACGGCGGCCTGGGCTCATCCCCGGCCAGGAGCTGCCCCCCGGGACGCGGCAGCCCGCGCGTCTCCCCGCTGACCCCTCAGCAGGGTGTTCCCGGGCATCTGCCTGTCCCGCTCCCCGCTCTCTCCGGTGGGTCTTCTCAGTCCCTGCGACCGTGGCCTGTACCCCGCTTAAATAAAAAATAAACCCCCAATAAATACCCGGAGGATGAAGAAGAGCAGCCTCATGCAGACAAGCGTGACCCCGCGGCCAGCGCGGGAGCAGAGCCTGGGGGCGCCGTCCGGGCCTGGCCGCTCTGCAGCCCGGAGTGGCCTCCTGGTGTGGGAGGAGCGGCCGCCGGGGCCACCCGGGCCACCCTGACCGCCCCAGGGCCGCGCTCATGCGCATCTGCTGGACGGCGGCCACACGGGCTGCGCTGCCCGCACTGCCAGCGCCCCTTCCCTCCGCAAGGCTGCCTCCTGGCCCCGCATGCAGCGGCGCGACCGCGCAGAGAACCGCCTCCGGGCAGCCGGCCGGCCAGCAGGCCGGGCGGGGGCGCGCAGTCCAGGCGCTGCCGGCGCGCGGCGTGGACTTTCCCCGGCGGGTCTATGATCTCCCCGAGGAGAAGCCGGGACCGGCCTGGACAAGAGCCAGAGCCCGGCGCGGGGGAGGAGCCGGGGCGGCGGAAGCCCTGGCCGGGGGAGGCAGGCCCGCAGCCCCCCGCAACCGAGGGAGGGGCTCGCCCCCGGGGCTGGCAGGCGGGGGTCCAGCCGCAGCGGCTCCCACCAGCAGGGCTGGCCCTCGCCTGTGCCTCGGGCCCCAGACCGCTCTGGGGGTGGGGGCAGAGCCGGGAAGGCAAACAGCGGGGAGCAGCCCGGCGCCCCTGCAAGGGAGGAGGAGCAGCGCCAGACGCCGGCTGCCCGGAGGTCACAGGAGGCTGGGCCGGCGGGGAGCCAGGAGAACCCCACCCGGCTGTTAGGAAACGGGGGGGGGGGGGAGGTCAGCAGTGCTGACCCCGGGCGCTCGGGCTTAACTCCCGCGTGGCCATCTGCCGAATGGGGGGCCGAGCAGCTGCCCGAGGGCCCCCACCCTCAGCAGGGCGCCAGGCAAGCATAGGGGCTGCTTCTCCAGGGTCGCCCAAGCCCACCCGAGCACCAGCCTTCCAGACTGCTCCAAGGGCAGCCCTGGCAGTCGTCCCGCGACCCCTCCCACCCCGCAGGCGCGAGCCCTGTGGGCCCTGGAGCAGCCCCCCCGCCCAGAGGCGCTTCCGGGCACTGGAGCTGCCGCTGGCCCCTGGCACTAGGGGTTAACGGCCCGGGGCCAGCAGGGCTGGACTGGCCAGGGGCAGGCGCCCCAGCGGTGGGGAAATCCAGAGGGCAGGAGCAGCGGGCGCTGCAGAGGCCCACTCGCTGCCCACCTGCGCCAGCTCTGCACCGGGATGGCCCCCAGGAGAGGTGAGAGCTGAGCCCGGGCGGGGGCAGCTGAGGGCTCCAGGGGTCTCTGCTGCTGCAAGGGGGGGGCCCAAGGCCCAGGTCCCTCCTCCGCCTACCCCTGTGCGGTGCCCAGGGCGAGGGCGGGGGCGGGGGCTCTCCCCACACTCAGGCCTCACCCTGGACCCTCCGCCAGCCTGGGCGTGGGGCCCCACTGGGACTCCAAGGTCCGAGGGCAGGGGTGGCCTGGTGCCCAGCGGAGCATTGCAGGGGAGTCTGACGCCCTTTGACCGGAGGCACTCCCGGGCCCCCGGAGAGTCGGGGTGCGGGCTTCCTGCTCACCCCAAGCGAGGGCCGTGCCCCTTCCTCTCCTCACATCAGCGCTGGGCCCCGTCCGGGCGTCGGCTACAGCCCCAGGGAGCAGGTAGGTGAGTGTCCCCGCCTGGGAGCTGCACCAGGGCAGCCGCCCCCCACCTTCCATTCACTGTCCAGCCCCTGGCCTCTGCGTGCCCCGCTCCTGTCCACCACCCGGCCCGGGGGGACCACCCCACGGGCCCCGGCTGAGCAGGCCAGGTGGGCGCTGAGCCCAGAGGCATCAGGTTGGCTGCCTGGCTCCTGACCACGACACACCTCCCCCAGCCCCGAAGCCCTCCCAAGCTGCTCTCCCCGCAGGAGGCTGGGCCCTGCTGCTGCCGCTCCTGTGGGCAGCACTGGGTATCTGGGGTGCGGAGCTGGGAGCGCCGGGGGCCGCGGAGGCACCCCCCTGCCCGGTGGCCTGCACCTGCAGCCTTGATGACGGCGTGGACGAGCTCAGCGTCTTCTGCAGCTCCCGGAACCTGACGCGGCTGCCCAGCGGCGTCCCCACGGCCACCGGGGCCCTGTGGCTGGACGGCAACAACCTGTCCTCCATCCCCGCGGCCGCCTTCCAGAACCTGTCCCGGCTGAGCTTCCTCAACCTGCAGGGCAGCGGGCTGGCGGGGCTTGAGCCGCAGGCGCTGCTGGGCCTGCAGCGTCTCTACCACCTACACCTGGAGCGGAACCAGCTGCGCAACCTGGCAGCCGGCACCTTCCAGCACACGCCGGGCCTGGCCTCGCTCGGCCTCAGCAACAACCTTCTCACCCGGCTGGAAGACGACCTCTTCCAGGGCCTGGCTGGCCTCTGGGGCCTGGACCTGGGCTGGAACGGGCTGGTGGCGCTGCCCGACGCCGTTTTCCGGGGGCTGGCCAGCCTGCGCGAGCTGGTGCTGGCGGGGAACAGGCTGGCCTACCTGCAGCCGCCGCTCTTCTGCGGCCTGGGCGAGCTCCGCGAGCTGGACCTCAGCCGCAATGCGCTGCGCGGCGTCAAGGCCCAGGTCTTCGTCAAGCTGCCCCGGCTGCAGAAGCTCTACCTGGACCACAACCTCATCGCGGCCGTGGCCCCCGGCGCCTTCCTGGGCATGAAGGCGCTGCGCTGGCTGGACCTGTCCCACAACCGCGTGGCAGGCCTGCGGGGGGACAGCTTCCCCGGGCTGCTGGGCCTGCATGTGCTGCGCCTGTCGCACAACGCCATCGCCAGCCTGCGGCCCGGCACCTTCCGCGACCTGCACGCCCTGGAGGAGCTGCAGCTAGGCCACAACCGCCTGCGGCAGCTGCCAGAACGTGCCTTCGAGGGCCTGGGCCGGCTGGAGGTGCTGACGCTGGACCACAACCAGATCCAGGAGGTGCAGGCGGGCGCCTTCCTGGGCCTCCTCAGCGTGGCCGTCATGAACCTCTCTGGCAACTGCCTGCGGGACCTGCCAGAGCAGGCCTTCCGGGGCCTGGGCCAGCTGCACAGCCTGCACCTGGAGCGCAGCTGCCTGGGCCGCGTGCGCCGCCACACCTTCGCCGGGCTCTCGGGGTTGCGCCGGCTCTTCCTGCGCGACAATGGCATCACCGCCATCGAGGAGCACAGCCTGCAGGGGCTGGGCGAGCTGCTGCAGCTGGACCTCAGCGCCAACCAGCTCTCCCACCTGCCCGCACAGCTCTTCCAGGGCCTCGGCAAGCTGGAGTACCTGCTGCTGCCCCGCAACCAGCTGGCGGAGCTGCCACCGGACGCCCTGGCGCCCCTGCAGCGGGCCTTCTGGCTGGACGTGGCCCACAACCGCCTGCGCACCCTACCCCGGGAGCTGCTGGCGCCGCTGGGGCGGCTGCGCTTCCTCAGCCTCAGGAACAACTCACTGCGGACCTTCGAGCCGCAGCCCCAGGGCCTGGAGCGCCTGTGGCTGGAGGGCAACCCCTGGGACTGTGGCTGTGCCCTGCGGGCCCTGCGGACCCTGGCCCTGCAGCAGCCTGGCGTGGCACCCCGCTTCGTGCGGGCCGAGGCCGAGGGGGAGGACGGCCAGCCGCCCGCCTACGCCTACAACAACATCACCTGTGCCAGCCCCCCGGGCGTGGCCGGCCGCGACCTGCGGGACCTGGGGGAGACCCACTTCGAGCACTGCTGAGCCGCCCGCGCGACTCCCTCCCAGGCCCGGCGGCCTCGCTGGGGGGTGGGGGAGGCGGGAGGAGGGCGCGGCAGCCTCCCCCCACCCCCGCTGCGCTGGCATTAAAGTACTTTGCACGCTCTGTGGCGGGTGACCCGGAGCCAGCCCCTGCGCCGCCCCCGCCAGGGCCCCTCCCTGCCACCTGCCCCCTCCTTGTCCCCAGAGGCGGGGGACCTCCAGCCACGTGCAGCCTGCGCACCCCTCTCCCCGCGCTCGCTGCCCGGCCAGCCTAGCCCGGGACAGGGGCACCAGCCGCTCACAAACCCCCCCCGCCCCGCCCCCAGGGCGCCCCCGCGGCAGAGGCTGAGGAGACCCGGGGTGAAAGCCCAGACGGGCACGTTTAATCGCCGCCTCCCACGAGCTCCCAGTTCCCGCGACGACCCCTCAGCGGCTCTGGCGGCGGGACAGGGAGGGCGCAGAGGGCCGGCCCACGCCAGGCCTCCGCACCAGCGCGCCCCGCGCCCGAGGCTCTCAGGACGGCCGGCTGAGGAGCTTCTGGACTATGGCGCGGAGCGCGGGGAACGCGGGGCTGCCGGGGAACTCGCTGATGAAGTCGCGCCCCTCGTCCAGGCGCCTCGTGAGCTCGGGGTCCAGCGGCACGGAGCCTGCGGGAACCAGAGGGGTGAGGGCGGCCGGGCGGCCAGGGGCCCCCTCGGGAGAGAGGGCGGACCCGCACCAGGACGCTCTGCTGGGCCCCGCTGGAACCCCCCACGGCCCCGCCCCGCCGACCCCCCCACGGCCCCCCCCACGCGCTCCGCCCTGGGCCCTTGGGGCTCACCTAGGAAGGGCACCCCCGCGAGCCGGGCCAGCTCCTCACCGCCTCCCCGGGAGAAGACGCTGGTGCACTCCTGAGGGCAGAGCGCAGTGACTGGGGACGCCCACTCCGCACAGGCGGGCAGCGCCACCCCGGACGCCCAGACTCACCGCACAGTGCGGACACACGAAGCCACTCATGTTCTCCACGAGCCCCACGACCCGCAGGCCCGCCTTCCTGCAGAAGGTCAGCTCCCGCCGCACGTCCCCCACGGACACCGCCTGGTGCGAAGCAGCCGAGGACACGGGGGTGGGCGTCCCGGGCCTCGCCCGCCATGGGTGCCCGCGGGCTCAGCTACTCGCGATACCTGGGGCGTGGTGACCACGAGCGCGTCCAGCGGACTGTAGGGGCGCAGGGCCTCCAGGGCGGCCGTGTGCTCGTCAGAGGTTCCCGGGGGCGTGTCCACGACCAGGTAGTCCAGCGGCCCCCAGGCCACATCGCTCACGAACTGCTTTATCAGCGCTGCAGACGGCGGGAGTCGGCTCAGAAGGGCGCCCCCAGCCTCCACCCCAGGGCCTTGCTGGCCTGGGCCCGGTGGCCGGGCCTCAGCAAGGGGTGGGACCTGTGGCCCTTCGGGGCTCCTACCGGGACAGGAAAACCCTGCGCTGAGCGCCAGGCTGTCTGGCCCTGAAGCAGCTGCCTGCTGCCCAGCCACCATGGCCCCGGCGGGGAGAGCACCACCCGCTGCCAGGCCCTCGTGCCCTCCTGCCCATCTCCCACCCCCGCCTTCCCCAGGCCTCGGAGGGGGCTCTGCGGCTCTCCTGGGCAGGGGCAGGTGGGAGGACAGGGTCCCTGCTGCCGTTACCACTCTTCTTGGGGCCTCTCCACACCACGGCCTCGTCCGGCCGCTCCAGCAAGAAGCCCACAGACATGAGGGCCAGGGTCTGCTCCTGGTCCAGGAAGACGGGCACCCAGCCGGCGGCGCACTGGTGCACGGCCCTGCCCTGCGCCCCGAGCATGCGGGGGACACTGGGGCCGCACAGGTCGACGTCCAGGATCCCCACCTGCAAGCGGGCAGCGTGAGGCGCCCGGGTGGGCCACCCCGTGAGGGTCTGGGGCGCCAGGCCAAGGCGGGGTGCTCACCTTCTTGCCCGCGTGGCGCAGGGCGAGAGCCAGCTCCGTGGAGATGGTGCTTTTGCCCACACCCCCCTTCCCGGAGAGGACCAGGATGACGTGCGGGACGCCCGCCAGGCTTCCGGGCTCTGTCGAGGGGACACAGAGGTCGGGCAGGATCCCCGCCCCCCACCCAGTCTCGAGGTCAGGCCCAGGGCGGGGCCCAGATGGGGCCCTGCAGCTCGAGCAAAACCCCCATGGAAGGGCCCCAGGGGGCTCCCCTGTGCGCACAAGCCCTTGCACCCCATTAGCAGGGGGCGCCAGGCCGCGCCCCCGGAGGAGGTGCTCCTGGCGGCCCCTCGCGAGGAGGCTGCGGCCAGCACTGAGGGCCCCGGCGGCCGCTCGCCCGCTGGCAGGTTCAAGGCCACGGTGTGCCCCGCGCCTGCCGCCCAGCGAGGCCCACGCGAGGCCGCGCTGCCCCCGCCGTCCTGCCGGCCCCTCCGCGCCCAGAGCCCCGCGGCCGCGCGCCCCGCAGCAAGGCGGCCTCTGGGGCCCGGCGCCCCTCGCCGGGCAGCTCAAGGCCTCCCGCCTGCAGCGAACTCGGGGCGCGGGGCCTGGCCTTGGGCAGTCGGGGGGCCAGGCCGGGGCCCCCCAGGCGCGCGTGACGGAGGCGAGGCGCCCTCCGGCGGGTGAAGCGGGCTTTACCGACCCGCGCTTCCCGGCCCCGCTCGCGGGCCTCGCCGCCAGGGACGGGCCCAAGCCGCGCCCGCCCGGGGCCCCCGCCCCGCGGCCCCGGCCCCGCCCCGCGGCCCCGGCCCCGCGGCCACTCACCCGCCGCCGCCTCCATCCCGCCGCCCGCGCGGCCCCGCCCCCCGCGGCGCCCGGGCCAATGGGCCGCGAGGGCCCGCCCCCGGCGCCCCGCGATAGGCCGCGCGCCCGCGCCTCAGCCAATCAGCTCGCACGGGGCGCGCGCCGCTTCCGCCGCAGGACGGCCGGGCCGCCGCACTTCCGCGTCCGCGCCCGGATGCGGGGCCGCCCCGCCGCGCCCCGAGCCCCCGGGGCCGCGCCCCCCGCCGCCGGCGGCCTCGGGCGGGAGCGGGGGGACGCGGCGCCGGGCCCGCCGGCCCCGCCCGCCCGCCGGCCAGAGGTGCGCGCGCGGGGCTGTCTGCGGCGGGCGGGCGGGGGTCGGCTCGCCGGGGGCGCGGGCCGGCCCGTCCGCGCCCGGTCCCGGCCCGGCCCGCCCCCCGCCCGGGGCCGTCCCCCGCGGGGCCCGGCGCTGCTGCGCGCGGCCCGCGGCGGGGCGGCCTGGACACCCCCGGGCCGCTCGGCCCCGCGCGCCGGAGGCCCCGTGTGGGGGCCGCGCGGGCGGGGGGCGCCGGAGGCGCGCGGAGGTCGCCGGGCCGCGGGCACCTCGGCGGCTCGCGGGCCGGGGTTTCCGGAGGGGGCGGCGGTGCCGGGGCCGCCGCGGCGGGCGGGCCTCCCGGGGAGGGGGAGGCGGGCGGGCCGGCGGCGGGAGGGCGGGGCGGGCGCTGAGGCGCCGCCGGTCGAAGTGGACGACAGAGGCGGGGCCGGGGCCGACCCGAGATGCCCGAGGGACGTGCTCCGCCGGCGGCTGGCCGGGCTGGCCGGGCCGGCCCTGGGAGCTCAGCGCGGCCCGGCTGCGTGGAGGGCGCTGCTTGCCCCCGCCAGGGCCTCCTTGAGCTGCGCGGCCACTGGAGTGAAGTCCGGTTGCCGGGCGCGGCTGTGGTCACGGCAGCTCGGCCTGGCCGGGCGCCGTGGCCACGGGGGTTGCCGGAGACGCCGGGTGCCCGTGTCCTATGTTCTCAGAACCTGCGCCTTCTTCCAGATCCTGCCCACCATGGCCAGGCGCCCCCGGAGCAGCAGGGCATGGCCCTTTGTCCTGAGCGCAGCCCGCCGGGACACCGACACCCGGCCCGCGGCTCTGGCAGGGACCGGCCATACCTGCGGGTACAACTCTGATGGGCAGGTAGGCCCAGCAGGTGAGGCGGGCATGGTGGGCCAAGGTGTGGAGCTCCCTCGGCGCCCCCAGGGGCAATGGACACAAAGAGGAAGACGCCCCGGTGTCCAGCCAGCCCGCCCCGGACCTGCTGCTCCCAGCACTTCGGCTCCCCCCTGCGTCTTCCACTTGGACCCAGGGGCCCTGGGGTGCCTGGACCTCAGCAGATCCCCTGCTGCAGCTTGCTGCTCTGGTCAGCTTGCTCAGCAGAAACTTCTGTCTCCTCCACTCCGCCGGTTTCCGGAGCGGTGGCGTCACGGTGCCGTGGGTCCTCCCAGACGCCTGCACAGTCTCGCCGTCCCCGGCGCGGCACCTCCTGCGGGGTGGGGTGGGGTGGCAGCCGGAGCAGCGGGTGTCTGCGCTGCCTGGTCACCGTGCCGTGGCCTCCATGCCTGGTGGGCGGCGAGCAGAGCTGGAGGCAGCTGTGCCGAGTCACCTGCGCCACTGGGCTCAGTGGGTGGCTGGGGCTGCCTGGCCTGGGGCTGAATCAGAGGCCGTGTGAGCAGCCCCAGCCCTTCCTGGGGCCTCCGCCCAGGACAGCTCGGCTGGCCCACGTTCCTGTTCTGCCTCCGGCTCCCTCACATGGCCTGGAGCTGTCTGGGCCGTGGTCCTCTCGGCTGTGGGTGTGGGGCTCTGGGCAGGGCATGGTCTGGCCACTCAGCGCCCAGGTGGGGTCACGCACGCCCCCACGCTCTGTGGGTCTCTTGCGCTCAAGTCTCCCTAGGGCTGGTGATGGGCTGGGCGCCCACCTGCTGGCTGGACCTTGGGGCTGCAGCGCTCCCGCTGGGTCCCTACTCTGGTTGCCGTAGGGCACCTGCTGTCCTGTGCTTGCGGGCACTTGTGCTCCACACTCCCCCGCCTCCTGGGCTTTGCCTTCCTTGGACTCATCCACTTATCTCAGTTTCTGTGTGGCTGCCGTGGGCCGGGCTGCTCCTGAGCCCGGGTTACGGGAGGGGGCAGGGAAACAGGAGAGCAGGGGTGCAGGAAGGACAGGAGGGAGGCGGCCCCCCGGTCGGGGCGTCTGGTGCCTGCACTGTGGAGGAGCAGGGCTCTCCCCCGGGGCTTCGGAGCGGATGCGGCACAGGAGCCCGGGGTGAGGGTGTGGGCTGGAGCCGGCCGTGGCCTGTCTGCGCCCCGGCACCGGGAGGCCCCTGCCCCTTTGAGGCCGGCCAGAGCCCACAAAGCTTGTGTCCAGCTGGCGGGGTCTGCCAGTGGGGAGGCCAGGCCCCTGGGTGTGGAGCCCTGCGGGGGCGGAACCGTTGGGCAGGTGGGTCTCCGGGGGCCTCTTCCTGAGGCTGCGAGGCTCACAGGCTGCGGGAGGTGGGGTGAGAAGAGCAGAGGCCGGGCAGCGGCCCTCATGAGGGCCTCCCTGCCGCAGCCCACTCCGCGGAGCCGGGGGGCCGTGGAGCCCGCGGGGGCTGCTGTGCGCGGGCCGGGGTTGCCCTGGGAGGGCAGATCCTCTCCCCGGGTGTCAGTGGCCGCTGCGGGCGATGGGGCGGGGGGGGGCGCATCCTCAGCCTCCTCTCCCCCAGCACAGCGACTCAGACTCGGACCCCGAGTGCGCGGCCCTGCCGCCGTCTGTCCCCAGCGCCGTGCCCGTGACCGGGGAGTCCTTCTGCGACTGCGCCGGCCAGAGCGAGGCCTTCTGCGGCAGCCTGCACGCCGCACGCCGGGGCAAGGACTGCCGCTGCGGGGAGGAGGACGAGGGTGGGCGTGGGGAAGGCGGGCGGGGAGGCGGGCGCGGCCAGGAGGGTGGACTGGGCGGGTGGGCGGGCGGGCTGGGAGGGAGGGCGCGGCCGGGTGGGCGGGCTGGGAGGCGGCTGTAGCCCGGCTCCTCCGCAGACTTCGACTGGGTGTGGGACGACCTGAACAAGTCCGCAGCCGCCCTGCTGAGCTGCGACAACCGCCAGGTGAGCTTCCACACGGAGTACAGCTGCGGCACGGCGGCCATCCGGGGCACCAAGGAGCTGGGGGACGGCCAGCACTTCTGGGAGATCAAGATGACCTCGCCCGTCTACGGCACTGACATGGTAAGTGGCCGGCGGGGCGCGGGGGGTGGCGGGCACCTGGCCCGGCCCCTGCTGCCCGCGCCTCGTCCTCAGATGGTGGGCATCGGGACGTCGGAGGTGGACCTGGACAAGTACCAGCACACGTTCTGCAGCCTGCTGGGCCGGGACGAGGACAGCTGGGGCCTGTCCTACACCGGTGCGTGCGGGCGGGCGGCCAGGCGGAGGGGCGTGCGGGCAGGGGTGCCCGGCTCACGCGCCCGCCGCCCCCAGGGCTGCTCCACCACAAGGGCGACAAGACGAGCTTCTCCTCGCGCTTCGGCCAGGGCTCCATCATCGGCGTGCACCTGGACGCCTGGCACGGGACGCTGACCTTCTTTAAGAACAGGGAGTGCATAGGTGAGGGCGGCCGCGTCCGGGCGCCACAGCGGGGCGGGGCGGGCCTCACGCTGCAGCCTGAGGTGCAGCCACCTGCGGCCCGGCTCAGGCTGCGCGTCCCCCAGGAGTGGCGGCCACCAAGCTCCAGAACAGGAAGTTCTACCCGATGGTCTGCTCCACCGCGGCCAAAAGCAGCATGAAGGTCATCCGCTCCTGCGCCAGCGCCACCTCCCTGCAGTACCTGTGCTGCTACCGCCTGCGCCAGCTGCGGCCCAACTCCGGGGACACGCTCGAGGGCCTGCCCCTGCCGCCCGGCCTCAAGCAGCTGCTGCGCCACAAGCTGGGCTGGGTCCTGAGCATGCGCTGCGGCCGCCGCCAGCCCCCCGCGGCCGCTCCCAGCAGCCCCGAGCTCAGGCGCTGTCCACGGAAGCGCTGCCGACGGACCTAGCGGACCCTCCCGCGGACCCGGTGGGGCGGCCGCCCCGGGAGCCCAAGAGGGCCCAGGCTGGGCGGCACCGCGGGCCCCCCCGGGCGGCCTGGGGTGGGGCCTTCCTGAACTCGCCGTGCACGCGGCCGCTGCCGCTCCTGTCACCGAGATGGACAGAATAAACCCGGCGCTCGCGGCTGACCTGCACGGAGTGGGCGGGGCCGTCCTCCCGCTGCGGCTTTTCTCGCCCTAGAGCAGCCCCAGGCAGGGGTGCGCCCCCCGCTCCCCCGGGGTGTCCCGTGACTCGCCTGCGGGCCGCCTGTCCCTGCTGGGTTTCTGCAGGGAGAACCTTCCCTCCGGGGCCCATCCCAGCCACCCAGGCCGACCTCAAGTTCGTGGGCACAGCGAGGAGCCCAGGTCCAGCAGGAGGTTGCGGTGGGTGCTGGTCAGCAAGAGGCAGATGCGGCGGGAGAGGTCAGACCCCACCCTCCGGGGCCGTGCGCCCGCCTTCACCGGGAGGTCAGCCAGGACGGCCGGGCGCTCTTGCTCTGAGCTGCAGGCTGCGAAGCCTGGGCGGGCACAGGAGAGGTGGGCTGGGGCCTGGGAAGGAGGGGGGCTCACCTGCTGCAGCAGGTGAGGGGGGTGGGAGGGGAAGGCGGTGATGATGGCTTCCGCCACGTCCTAATTGAGCTGTGTGATCTGCCGGCCGCCAGACCCCCTCAGCCCCGCCCCTGCCCTGTCACCTGCGGGCTAGGGAGGGGGAGCAGTGCCCAGGGGCCATTGCACCTCCCCAGCCAGCCCTCCGAGGCCGTCCTCCCACAGCCTCTGCCACGCACTTGAGGGGCTGCTGGGCAAGGGCCCCGGGTAGCGCACTCATGTGCCGGACCAGCTCCTGCCAGGCGGCCACCAGCAGCATGTCCAGGTCCACCCAGAGCTGCAGCAGCACCAGGGCCTAGGGGGCCAAGCAGTGGCGTGGGGTGCAGCCTGCGCACCAGGGGACACCAGCCAAGCCCACCCCACCTGCTCCCTGGGGCCCAGCTGGGGCACCACAGCCAAGCCCCTCGCCAGGCCTGACCGCCTCACCTCCTCCACCTCTGCCCGGTCCGCTGGTGGGCGCCCCGGTGGCCACATCCGGGAACTGGGCTGGCGAGACTTGTGCAGAAAAGGCCACCCCCCAGTTCCCACGCCCCAGCGGCACCCCCCCTTCTTGAGTTCTTCCCCCAGACCCCCCCCTTCCCCAGAATGCCCTGGCCCAGCCAGGTAGCAGGGGGAGGTACAGCAGGTGGACGTCCAGGCCGACGACGACCAGGTGGGAGGCGGCAGGGCCCTCGGGAAGGAGCTGGGGCACCGGACAGGTGGCACTGTAGGTCTGCAGACCAAGAAGGCTCGCTGCACCCACTTGGGGCTGCAGCGAGGGCCCACAGACCGCTGCCGGTTTGTAGAAAGGAGGCGTGCTCGGGCAGCCCGCGGCGGGGCCAGGCTGTCAGGCTCCTGCGTGTCCCAGGCCCGGGGAGATTTGGGCTGCGCTCCCCACTCCCAATTTGCCTCTGAACTCCAGCCTGGCACACAGCAGGCGCCTGATAAATGCTGAACCTTGGACACTGGGGCCTGGTGCCAGCGTCTGCCAGTGGCCTCCAGTTCTCCGGGCGCAGGAGCCTGGGCTACAGGACAAGGGCTGGGCTGGCATCTGGGGTGCACCTGAGCCTCACCTGATGCCCTGGCCTGCTGCTGGCCCCAGCTCTCAGGGGATCTGCCCGGTGTCTGCGCCTCACTCCCAGCTGCTTCGTCCACCCCGACGCCCCCAGGGGCACTGGGCAAGGAGCTCCAGCCATGGCGCCCCCTTGGCCCCCTCCCCCTGAGCAGGACGGCAGAGGGGGACGGCGCCCCGCGGAGCAGGCACCTGCATCAGCTGCTCCAGCCCTGCAGAAACTCCTCTGGCTCCAGCAGCAGCAGGATGTGCTCGGCCACAGCCCCGGCCTGGGGGGAGGGGGGACACCTGCAGGGACTCCACGGGCACTGCCATCCTCGGCCCAGCCCAGGGGCGTTTGCTCAGAGGTCTCGGTCACGTCCTGCCCAGGGCTGTGTCCAGCGCCTCCCCCTGGCCAAGACCAGCCGGCCCGAGACGGAGGGCGCAGCCCGGGAGGGGCTCCTCGGCAGCGGCGGCCGAGTCTGCCTCTGGCCGGCCTGGCCTCACCCGGTTGGCGGTGGCCGGGGCCCCGCCTGCCAGGGCCACCCGGGAGGGGCGCGGGGCCGCGGCTGCTGCCCTCCAAGGCGGCAGCGCCTCAAGAAACGGGCCGGGCGGCACTCGCTCCGCGGGGGCGAGGCCCCGGCTCCCCCGAGGCTGCGGGCGGGGAGCTGGGGCTCCAGCAGGCACTCGCGGCCCAGGGCGGCCAGCAGGGCCGGGGCGGGAGGGGACAGCGCGGTCCCGCCTCCACCTGCGCGGTCGCTGCCCGGGGAGGCGGGGGGCGGCGGCCCGGCGAGGGGGCGGCGACAGGCGTGCGCCCGCGGCTCGAGCCGCACCTGGGTCCGCGCGCCCGGCCCCGCCCCGCCCCGGCCCGGCGCCCCCCGCTTCCGCCGCGGGCCTCGGCGCTTCCGGCGGCGGTTCCGGCCGGGCGCGGGCGGCCATGGCGCGCGGGAGGCCGCGGCCGATCGCCGAGCTCGCCCGCCGCGTGCGGGCCCTGCGCGAGCAGCGGGAGCGGCCGCGGGACGCGCCGCGCCGCGCGCTGGACCCCGAGGCGCTGCCCGCCCGGGCGCGGCCCGACGCGCGCCGCGAGAGCCGCCTGCTGCCGCTGCTGCGCCGCCTGCCGCTGCTCGGCCTGGGCCGCCTGGTCACGCGCAAGTCCTGGCTGTGGCGGCACGACGGCCCGAGCTACTGGCGCCTCACGCGCGTGCGGCCCGACGGCGCGGCGCAGGTGGGGGCCGCCCGGGGGGCGCCCGCCGCGGGCTCGGGCCGCGGGCTCGCTGAGCGCCCCTCGCTGTCTCCGCAGGGCCTGGACGGCGGCAGGGCCTGGGGCGTCCTGACCTTCAGAGGTGAGCGGCGGGGGCCGGCGGGGGCCGGGCGGGGGCGGCGGGGGGCGCCCGGGGGCGGGGGGGCGGGCAGCGCGCGCCACGGCCGGCCTCCCCGCAGGCAGGACGGAGCGCGCGCCGCGGGAGATCGCGCAGGCCGCGCACCACGACTGGCGGCTGGTGCCCAGGCACGCCGAGGCGGCCTTCACCGCGCCCGCGCCCGCGCCCGCGCCCGGCCCCCGCGCCGCGCCCTACCCGCCGCTCCTGCGCGCCATGATCCTCGCCGAGCGGCAGAAGAGCGGGGACCGCGGCGCGGAGGAGCCGGCGCTGAGCCTGGGGCGCGCCCCCGGGGACCCCTGGGACTACCCCGCGCCGCCGGGGCGCAGGCGGGCCGGGGGCGCGCCCGTCTAGGCGCCCCTGCCCCGCCGACCTCGCCCCTGCCGAGCCCCCCAATAAAGACACGTGCGCCACCGGCCTGTGCGTCTGCGTGCGGGGCGCCGGGGGGGCGGGGCGCCGGGGGGGCGGGGCGCCCGGCCGGGGCGCCGGGCCGAGCGGGCCCCTTTAAGCCGAGCCCCGCCCGCCGCCGCCGCCATGATCTGCCTGGTGCTGACAGTCTTCGCCAACCTCTTCCCGGCGGGTGAGCGGCGCGGGGCCGGGCGGGCCGGGCGGGGCGCCGGGGGGCGGGGCGCGGGGGTCCTGACGCCCCCGCCCCGCAGCCCGCGGCGGCGCGCACGAGCGCACCTTCGTGGCGGTGAAGCCGGACGGCGTGCAGCGGCGGCTGGTGGGCGAGGTGGTGCGGCGCCTGGAGCGGAAGGGCTTCCAGCTCGTGGCGCTCAAGCTGGTGCAGGTGGGCGGGCGCGGGCGCGGCGCGGGGGCCGGGCGGGGCGGGCGGGGCGGGCGGGGCTGAGCGCTCGTCCCCAGGCGCCCGAGGAGCTGCTGCGGGAGCACTACGCGGAGCTGCGCCAGCGCCCCTTCTTCGGCCGCCTGCTGCAGTACATGCGCTCGGGGCCCGTCGTGGCCATGGTGAGCCCGGGCGCGGCGGGCGGCGGGCGGCGGGCGGCGTCCCGGGCCGCGCTGACCCCCGCGCCCCGCAGGTGTGGCAGGGGCTGGACGTGGTGCGCGCCTCGCGGGCGCTCATCGGGGCCACGGACCCGGCCGACGCCCCGCCGGGCACCATCCGCGGGGACTTCTGCGTGGAGATCGGCAAGTAAGGCCGCGCCCCGCCCCGCCCCGCCCCGCCCCGCCCGTCCCCCCCGCGCCCCGGCCCGCCGCGCCCCGCCCCGTCCGGCCCCGCCCCGTCCGGCCCCGCCCGCCGCGCCCCGCCGCGCTCACGCCCCGCCCCGCCCCGCCCGCGCAGGAACGTGGTCCACGGCAGCGACTCGGTGGACAGCGCCCGCCGCGAGATCGCGCTCTGGTTCCGCGCGGACGAGCTGCTGTGCTGGGAGGACAGCGCCGGGCACTGGCTGTACGAGTAGCCGCCGCCCGCCCCCCCACCCCACCCCCGTCCCGTCCCCGTCCCCGCGCCGGCCTCTGGCGCCCGCCCCGCCCCGGCTCCTTTTATAATAAAGCGAAGGCGGCCCCGGGCCCGGCGGTGCTGTGTGGACACGTTTATTTCGCGCGGAGCAGACCTGGGGGTCACTTGCGGGGTCAAAGCCTGAGGGCGGCCCCGCCCCTCCCGCGCAGCACCCGCCCGCCCACCCTGCGGGACGGGCCCTCGGCGGACAGCGCGGGTTGGGGCGGGGCGGGGCGGGGCGGGCGGGGGCGGGGGCCGCCCCGCGGAGCGGGAGGGAGGCCGGGCAGGGGCGCGGGCTGGGCCCGGGCACCCCTCGAAGCTGCCGGGAGCCGGCTGGAGGCGGCCCTGCTGCCTGGGCCCGTGGGGCGGGGCCGCGCCGCCCGCCCTAGGCACTTGGGCGCCGTCTGCGGGCCGGGCCGGCTCCGCGGGACCTCGCCTGAGGCCTGGGCCGGCCGGACCGCCCGGGGAGGGCCGCCCCTGGGCCGCGGGGCGGGCCGGGGTGCGAGGGGCGGGGCGGCCTCCGCTCAGGAGGGGCGGCTCCGGCGGGGCGGGGCGGGGCGGGGCGGGCGGGGCGGGGCGCGGGCCTCACTCGGGGCTGTAGGACACCTGCCACACGATGACGTGGCTGCGCTCCGCCTTGGACAGCGCGGGCTTCCCCGGGCCGCTCGCGTCCCCCGCGCTCTCGTCCGCCTCGTCGTCCTCGCCGTCGCCTGCGGGGACGGGCGCGTGACGGGCCGGGGCCGGGGCCGGGGGCCGGGGGCCGGGGCCGGGGGCCGGGGGCCGGGGGCCGGGGGCCGGGGGCGGGGGGCGGGGGCCGGGGGCCGGGGGGCCGGGGCCGGGGGCTGGGCGCGGGGGGCCGGGGGGCCGGGGGGGCGCGGGGGCGGGGGGCCGGGGGCCGGGGGCGGGGGCCGGGGGCCGCGGGGGGCCGGGGGGCCGGGGGCCGGGGGGCCGGGGGCCGGGGGGCCGGGGGCCGGGGGGCGGGGGGCCGGGGGCCGGGGGGCCGGGCGCGGGGGCCGGGGGCCGGGGGCCGGCCGCACTCACCGATGCGGAAGTCGATGTAGCCCTCGCCGCCGCTCAGCACCAGCGCGCTCCGGAGCCGCTGCGCGTCGGCGTCCGCCGCGGGGCCGGCCGGCGCGGGGCCCTCGGACGGGCTGTCCAGCACGCTGCCGTTGAGCGTGGCCAGCACGTTTCCTGCGCGGGCGGGCACAGGGCTCAGCGGGCGCGCTCGGGGCTCGGGCGCGGGGGGCTCCCGCCGCGGGGCCCGCGCCGACCCTCACCCGGCACCGAGACGAAGAACTTGACGGCGTCGCGGTGCCCGTGGAAGCAGAGCTGGGCCTGGGCCATGGAGCAGTAGGGGATGAAGCTGCTGGCCGCCCTGTCGCTGCTGTCGTCGCCGTACACGTGGATGACGCCCCCGGGGCGCGCGCCCTCCCCGGCCGTGGGCGACGTCTTGTTGGCTGGCGAGAGGGCGGGGGCGCTGAGCGGGGCGCGGGGCGGGGCTCGCGGGCGCGGGGCGCGCCTCCCGCGGCGCTGGACTTACCGCGGAGCCCCAGCAGCTGGCCTCGGTGCAGGACCACGGCTGGGGGCGGGGAAGAGGGGTCAGGCGGGCAGGTCCGGGACGCGGCGGCCCAGCGCTGGGTCTGGGGCGAGACCGGCAGGGGGGGCGACCCGGGGGAGCCCACGAGGCCTTCCGCGGCCGCTGCCCCCTCCCCGCGGACGGCGGGTCACTCACTCTCGGTCAGCGGGATGGAGATGACGACTCCGTTGCCGGTGCCCACCCAGAGGCGGTTGCCCGCGATGAGCAGGGCCGTGATGCGCACGAAGGAGAAGCCCAGCTTGCCGGTGCCTGCGCGGGCGGGGCCGGGGGAGCGGTCAGCTGCGGGGGCGGGGCGCGGGGCGGGGGGCGGCGGGGCGGGGCGGGGCCCCTCACCCAGCATCTTGCTGACGTAGGGCTCGATGTCCACGTCCTGCAGGTGCTGGTGGGTGTGGGCGTGGTAGAGACGCAGCGTGGAGTCCAGGCGGATGGACACCCACACCCCGTCGCCGATCCATGCCAGCTGGCGCACCTGGCTCTCCCGCCGGGGGTGGGCATCAAATGACTTCTGTGGGGCCGGGCAGCCCGTCAGGGGCCTGAAGGAGGGGCCCTGACCGTCCTCCACCAGGGCGGAGCCCCCACCTCCTCGGCCTCACTGGGCTTTGCCCAGGGGTGGGCGGGAGGGGAGCTGTGCGGGATCCAGACCAGTCCACCGCCTTGTTTCCGGGCTGAAGCTGCAGCGGGCCCCGGACTGGCCGCCCTTGACCTGCTGGGACCTGGGACCAGCGGTGACTCCGGGGCCGGCCCCTCACGCACTCCCCCGGGGCCAGCAGAGGCAGGGCGCCCACGCACCTCAATCTGCATGGTCTTGGGCTGGATCACGTGCACCTTGTTCTTGTAGCCGCACCACACGCGGTCGTCCACCACGGCCATGCAGCGGATGGAGTGGTGCGGGTGGCCCAGGTCCATCAGGTGGTAGTTGCTCAGGTCCCACTGGCCGTCTGCAGAGCCCAGGACAGCGCTCAGGCCGGGGGCCCGCGACTCCCGGGGGCAGCCCACCCACCAGCCCAGGCTCACCTTCGCCCCGGTGGAAGATGGCTAGAGTCCCGTCCGCCAGGGCCACCAGCACCCGCCCCTTCACATGCCTGCAAGGGAAGCGGGTGAGCAGGCGGCAGGGTGGCGGGTCTGGCGGGGTGGCCCTGCCCCGCGCCGCGAGCCCAGCACGTACACCAGGCTAAGCACGGAGTCCTTGAGCTTGATGGCGTGCAGGCACGTCTTCCAGTTGGCCACGGCCGAGTGCACGTACAGCCTGCGGGGAGGCACGGGTGGTGGTGGGCAGCGCTGTGCTCTCCCCAGGCCCCACCCGCCTGCCCCGCCCTGCCTACCAGCCATTCTGGGCCCCCAGCCACATGGTGGGCGCTGCGCTGCTGCCTGCCCCTGCGGGGTCTGCGCTGGGCTCCACATCGGGCTGTGCCCCGCTGGCTTCGGCCTCCGGCCCGCTCTCACTGCAAGAAGGGTGGCGGCTCAGGAAGCGCGTCCCCCAGCCCTGCCGGCTCCCCTCCATCTCCGCCCCCGAGCACCCACCTGCCAGGCTGGGCGCTGGGGGCCGGGGTCGGGGCTGGGTCAGTGAAGACGTGCTCCGTCAGAGGCCCTGGCCGCACGGCAGCTGGTCCTGCCTCGCTCTGCCCTGAGTCCGGCACCTCGGTGGCCTCAGTGGCCTCCTCCGTGGACTGTGATGGGTTGACCTTCCCATCAGCGACAGCAGCCACCTCCCCTGTGGGAGGGAGGGTGAGCAGGACGGGCCGGGAGAGGAACAGGGCGCAGACGGTGCGGCCTCCGCGTCGGGCTCAGGACTCACCCTGGCCCTTGTCCAGCACCGGGGTGTCCCCTCGGGAGGAGCAGTTGCTGCGTGGCACGTTGCAGCGGGTGGCACAGCCCACCAGGGTGATGCCAGCCAGCACGCCATCGGCGCTCGAGTCCTCGGGATTCATGTCACTGTCCAGGAAGATCTCCCCCGGAGGGTAGTCACTGCTGCTGGCCGCTAGGGGACAGTCACCACCCATCACTCTGTGCGGAAGAGCCCCTCCTGCCAGGCCATGCCGGGACCCCTCGCATGGGAGAGTCGGGGAGCCGGGGTCTCCCTGCTGATGCCCCCCCCAGCCAGCCCAGTCTGGACATGGGCGCCCAGGGCCTCAGCTGGGCAGTGGTTGGCCCCTCCCCCCCACCCGGCAGCGGCCAGCAGGGTCTGCCATGGTGGACAGACTGAGGGGCGGGCGCTCACCGGGGATGCTGGAGACGCACAGCACATGGGCGTTGCAGACTGTGAACTGGTCCACGATGGTGCCCGGCTGGTTGGCATCCACGATCACCACTTTGCTGGTGGTCAGCGTGCTCGTGAGGATCCACACCCGGCTAGACGTAGCATCCGTTTCCGGCAGCTCCTTTGCCTGTTCGGGAGCAAAGGAGACCGAGACCTCCACCTGCAACGTGGGCGTCTGCCTGGAGGGGTCAGGCCCGCCACCCCTCGGGCGCCCTGCGGGGGGTGCCCCACACCCAGCGCCCGGCCTCCGCGCGCGGAGCGCCTCCGCGGGCCCCTGCGCAGCCCGCCCGCGCGGGCAGAGCCCTGTCCCTTGGAGGGGGTGCAGCACCAGGGCAGCCCCCGCCCCGCACCGAGGAGCCGGCAGGCAGGGCCACCGGGAGAGGCGCCGTCCCGGAGAGGACGGGGTCCGGCCGCGCCCAGGCCCGCGGTGCGCCCCACCGCCCGCCTGCGCCCCTAGACGCGGCCGCACACACAGACCCTGGCCGCGCAGACCTTCTTCTTTTCGGGGGACGTGTGGTTGCTCCGGGGCTCTCCTTCCACTTCGGGGTCACAGGTCAGAGGGTCCCGGCCCGGTGCAGGTTTCACCGCACTCCCAGGGTCGTCCTCACTGGGCTTCCACCCGCTCAGGTTCACGCCCGCGGCGCACCACAGCTGCGGGAGCGGCCGGGAGGGCGGGCGCTAGGCATGGGCCCCGGCCCCGTCCCTCCCCCCGGCCCGGCCCCGCCCCTCCCCCTGGCCCGGCCCGGCCCGGCCCGGCTCGGCCCAGCCCCGCCCCACTCCTCCCAGGCCTGCCCCGCCCCACTCCTCCCAGGCCCGCCCCGCCCCTACTGGCCCCGCCCCTCTTGCCAGGCCCCGCCCCTCCTCCCGGCCCCGCCCCACTCCTTCCAGGCCCCGCCCGCCCTCCTCCTGGCCCCGCCCCTCCGCCCGGCCCCGCCCCGCGCCCGGCCCAGGCTCACCTTCATGGTCGGGTCCTTCTCCACCAGCGGGCGGCAGTACACGGGGACGGGCACGTTCTTCATCCTCGTGTCCTCCTGGCCCCCGTTGGGGCTCAGCTGCGAGCCCCAGGCAGAGGCGGTGGGTGCCGGGCTGGGCCGCGGCTACCCGCCCTGCAGAGGGGCTGGGGCTGGCCGAGCAGGAGCGCGCCTCCGCGGGGGCCGCCCGGGGTGCGCCCGCCCCGGCTCCTCTGCGGCGCCCACCTGCGGCCCAACCTCCCCCGCGGCCGCCCGGGCCAGCCCCTCGGCGCCGCCCCGCCCCGCCCCGCCCCTCCGGGCCGGCCGCCGCACCTGCTTGTACTTGGCGGGCAGGCTCCAGCCGCAGGCCTGCAGCCGGCCGTCGTCGTTGCGCACGTGCTCCCGCACCTGCCGGTACTGCTCGCGCTTCTGCTCCCGCCGGGCCGAGGACGTGCAGTCGCTGCGCGGAGGAAGGACAGGTCACTGCTCGCCCCGTGGGCCCCACCCCACTGGCCTGCCTCGCAGGGCCCCGAAATCCACCCTGGGGCTGCGGCCCCCTCCGCCGGTGTGGGGCCCCGACTGACTGGAGGGCCCTGGCGCTCTCAACGCCATGTCCAGCCCTGTTCCCCGGCCCCCGCGCGCCTTCTGCCCCTCCCCGGCCGCCTCACTGGCAGGCACCTCCCATGCAGCGCCCCTCCCGGGGAAATTGCCCAGGAGCCAATTCTTGCCGTCAAAACCAAGGAAAACACAAAATCCCAAACAAACTTGTTTCCCCGGAAGGAACCCCAGCCCTCAGGGCTCCCAGTCGACGCCCTGCCAGTCCTAGGGGCGTGGCAGCGGGCACAGCCCCAGGATGGAGGGGCTGGGGCAGCCGCAGGCTGACTCCTGGCGCTGCGCCCTCACGCCCTCCCACTCACTCGTCGGGGAAGAACTCCAGCGGCCGGCCGCCGGCTCTTGGGCACAGGGCGTGGCCGCGGCGCTGGCTGAAGCCGGCGGTGGTGGGCGACTTGTAGTGGATGTTCACCGGGGGGTAGGGCCGCTTGGCTGGAGGGGGGCTGGAGGAGGAGCTGAAGAGGCGACTGAAGCTGCCGGCAGAGGCCCAGGAGGTGAGGGCGGGCACGGGGTGGCCTTCCTGGCCCCCGCCCCGCAGCCCTCCTGGCCCCTGGGCCCCACTCACAACTGCCAGATGGTGGACTTCTTCTTCTCCTGGACAGACGGGTGCTCTCGGGATGCTCTGCAGGGGCGGGGGGACGGCGCCCTCTTGGCCACTGCCCAGCCTGGCCATGCCCCCACTTCCTGGGCCCCTCCTCGGATGGGGGTGGCCCTCCCCAGAGGGAACAGCAGCAGAGAGCTCCTCAGAACCCCCGGGCCCCTCCAGCCCCCAGGCCCACCCCCTCCAGGCCCTGGGCTGTGCGGCCATCCCAGGACAGGGCCGGGGCGCGGGGCCCACCGGATCATCTCCGTCCATCTCACGGCTTCCTGCAGCTCCATCAGCCGCTCCTTGTACTGGTTGCGCTCCATGAGCACCCGGGCCATCTCCACCCGCGTGAAGCGCCGCCGCTGAGCCATGGGGATCTTGTCCTGCGGGCGCTGCTGTCAGGCCGGGGACGCGCCCTCCTGCACCCAGCTCCCCCACCCCTCGGCCCAGGGGCCTGCCTCGGGTTCCCACAGATAAACGGGGCAGGGTGTGGGCAGGGAAGAGAGATGTGGCACCCACCCACCCGAGGCCACCTCCTGTCTGGAAGTCACCCCACGAGCTACAGCAGAGACAGAGTCTCCTGCAAGTCCCTGGAGGCCTGTCCCTGCCCAGGGTGGGCTGGTGCAGGGAGGAGCAGGGGTCTGTATGGGCCCGCCCTGGGGCAGGATTGAGGTTTACTTGGTGCAACCGGGCCAGCGCCAGGGTGTGAGGGGAAGCTGAGTGCCTCCAGATCAACCCCCTCCAGGGTGCCCCCCGCTGCCCCCCACCCCCCGCCGCTGAGTGCGGCCGCACGCACTAGCTCGGTGCAGAGGGGGCCGCCTGTGTCCTCCAGCTCCTCCTTGGGCTCTCTGCGGGCGATGAGGGCCTCCGACTTCACTCTGCGGGGCCGGGAGGGCAGGTGTGAGGGCCCAGCAGGTGGGGAGGGCGTGCGGAGGGGGGCACGGCTGCCCCGGGGGGGTGGCCCGCGCGCTCACCGCCGCAGCTCCTCCTCCAGCTCCCTGATGCGGCCCTCCAGCCTGGCCTTGGCCTGCCGGGCCGCCTCCAAGTCCCCTCGCAGCGCCTCCTGCTCCCCGGACAGCTGGTCCACCTTGGCGATGAGGTCGTTTTTCACCACGTTCAGTGCATTTCTGGGGGGAGGGGGTGGGCGGGGCTCCCGTGAGCGGGCAGGTTCAGGGCTGGGGCGCACCCAGCAGGGCCTCAGCCCGCGGGGCCCTCCCGCAGCCGCCTCTTCCCCCGCCAGGCGCCTCTTACTTGGTCTCCAGAAGCTGGGAGTTCTCCAGCAGGAGGTTGCCCACTTCCTTACCCATTCCTGGAACAAACAGGGGTGCTGCGGGCCCCGCGGAGCCAGCCCGGCCCACCCGCCCACCGCCCAGGGACCTCCGGCCACAGCCGGGCGGGCTCACTGCTGTACCTCGGCGGGGCAGCGCAGGATGGCAGTGCCTAAGTGGCCCTTGGTGCCCCAGAGTGGCCACCTTCATCTCGCCACCCCAGCCCCGGCCCAGCGCGAGCAGACACCCTTCTGAGCTGCCCCGGGCGGGGGACAGAGGGGACTGTGCAGGGCACAGACAGCCCTGGCTGAGGAGCCGGTGGCCCCAGTGGGCGCGGGCCTAGAAGGGCCTGGAGGCCTGGCCCCAGCAGGCAGAGGCGAGGAGGGAGGTGCGCGTGGCCAGTGCCCCAGGGCGAGTCCCCGCAGAGCAGCCCCCCGCAGGCCTGACAGAACCACCAAGCGTCCAATCCAAGCCTCTGGGGGCCGAGGGCCGACCTGTGTCCTGGGGCCTCCCCACAGCCTCTGCTCAGGGCCCTGCGCTGCCCCTCACCTCCTGGCCTCAGGCATGGCCTCCCCTCCGGCAGGACGCTCAGGGCACCCAGGGGCCGCACCCTGAGCTGATGGGGGTTCAGACAGGCTGGGCTGCCCCTCCGCCTGCCCAGGGCCTGCCCGCAGGTGACCAGCTAGCTGAGGGCCGCTGCCAGGACGGGCTCGGCCACTGTGCCCCCTAGGGCCCGCCCCGGCGCCGCCCCCTTGCCCCGGACCCCAGAGCCGCGGCCCCTGCTGACCACCCGCAGCCCCATGCAGGACACAGCGAGGGCTCGGGAGGCAGAAGGGGGGTGGGCGCAGGGAGCCAGCGGGCACGTGCTCGAAGGGCCTCAGCCTTACCAAAAAAGTCATCACGCACTATGGGGGCGTCCGGGCCCCACGGGAAGGGTACCAGGGCGAGGCGCGGGGAGAGAAGACAAGCACGTTAAGCCCAGAGGATGGGCCCTGGGGCCACTTTGGGGGTTGCGGTGGACACAGGAGCGGGGTGGGCAGGCAGGGGATGGGAGGCATCCGCTCCTCCTTCCAGAAAGTGGACGCTCGGGTTGGGCACAGGAGGCCCCGGACCCAGGGTGCGAGCAGGGGTCGGAGGGTCGTGAGGCAGCGGCCACCACACGCCGGGCCCTGCAGGGTGGCTGCAAGGCGCGGCGAGGGCCGGGAGGCGCCATGGGACCGGCCTGGTCCAGTCAGCCTGCGGCAGCGGCCTTAGCGAGCCGGGCGGGCACGGCGGCCTCCTGGGGGTCAGGCAGGGGAGGACCGGCACCAGCGGCTGCGGACGGGGGGCCAGCGAAGCGCGCGCCTGGTGGCCGGGACAGCCAGCGCAGCCACGGGACGGGGCGGGCGGGCAGCAGGGGCCGGGAGCCACCTGCCGCCTGGACCCCCGTAGGGCGAGACCCAGAGAGACACGCACCTGAGAACTCCCCTGGCGTGTCCACACGGCGGCGGCGAGGGAAGGAAGCGACAAAGTGAGTTGGTGACTGAAACCAAGACGAGGGTTTCCCGTTACAGAAGCAGCGCCGCCCCGCCCCGCCCCCACCAGGGCCTGCGGGCACAGGCCCGGAGCCGCCTCGGAAGCGGGGGTCGGAGCCCCTGCCCAGGGCCGCCGGCCTCAAGGTGGCCTGTGCCCCTCGGGCGCGCCTGTGCCGGGTGTGGTTGCGCAGACCCGGCCCCCGGCCCGCCCACGGACAGGCCCACCTTCAGCCGAGGGGGCGCGGGCCACCCCCAAGCCAGGCTGACCACCCTTGGCCCCCGCTCCTGTGCTGGGCAGCCACGGCTCTGAGGGGCGGGGGAGCCGCCGGAGTGGGCAGCACGGATCCGCTCGCGGGCGTGGGCGCCTGCCCTCCAGGCCGGTCGGGTGCAACACACCCCAGCTCGCGGCTCCGGGGTGGGGGCTCCGCGTGGGGCGTTGTTGGTCGGGGCACCCGCGGGCAGGCTGGGCCTCGCGGAAGCGCCGCTTTCTCTGGCTGGACGCGTCGCGGTTGGGAGCCGAGACCTCCCCGCGCCGCCGGCCCGCAGCCCTGCCCTGACCCCGGCCGGCACCGCGGGCCCGGGCAGCGCCAAGGCCTCTTCTTTTTCTTTATCTTTAAAATCTTTCCTGACTCTTTCTACCTCCCTCTTCGCGGTTTTCGGGGGGAGGTTTTCTTCCCACTCGCGGTGTCACCGCCCGGCACGGCGAGGCCTGGGGCCGCGGCGCTCGGCTGACGGCGGCGGTCGTGTTAGGCTTTGGGGGGTCTGCTGACCGCCAGGCGTGGGCGTCCGGGCCCGAGGTCAAGCGTCGGCCGTACGCCACACCCGCGGCCCCTGCGGCCCCTGGCGCGGGCGGGTGTCCCGGCTGGCGCGGGCGGCCCTGCGGGGCAGGGCTCTCCCTCCGGCGCCCTGTGCTTGTGAGTGTGGCTTCGGCCAGCGAGGCCGCGCGGAGGGGGGCTGGTCCCACGGCCACTCGCCCGATGAGCGCCGGGGAAGTGCGTATCCACCCGCCGCGTCCACCCCTCTGGGCTCTCCAGCTCCGTCTCCTGATCCTGGCCCTGGCCCAGCCACTGTGGAGGCTGTTTCTAGGCAGCCCCGTGGGCTGGTGGCCACGTGGCCACTGGGGTGCGGGGAGGGGCACGGGCCTCTGGTGGGGGCGCCTTCCCCTGCAGGTGGCTCTGGGGCGCGGCTCCTGCCCAAGCAGCCACGTGGGCCAGAGGGCCAGGGCTGGGCACAGCGAGGCTCGTGGCTGCTGGGAAGGCGTGGCCGGGGCAGAGCAGCCCTTGTGCTGCCCAGCTGGCCGCGGGGCCAGGACACCCTCCTCACTGCGCACTTTGTTATAATAAAAAAAAAGCCGCATCATCTGTTCCCTGGCTAACCATTCAGGCCCCCATTCAGGCACAAGGGGGAACAGTGCTGGTCACCCCACATAAGGCACTCTCTGGGGACCCCACATGCTAAGCAGGGCAGCCAGCCTGTGCCAGAGACCAGGGGGATGCCTGGCCAGAGTGCTGGTGGCCTGACCGCCCTGCTGTCCACACCAGGCCCAAGCGGAAGCTGCTCCACGAACACCCTTGAGATCCTGGCGGTCAAAGGGCACTGGTGTGGCCCCAGGGTGGCAATGGGAAAGAGGCCATGATGCCATGGGGTGCCTCCCCCTGGGCCACGAGCCAGCCCACCCGTGTCAGAGGCCCTGGCCCTGCTGGGTGGGCAGCCAGTGTCACTGGTATTGACAGCAGGGCGGAGGGACAGCCCAGCCACAGGGCCACGCTCTACCCCCAGTGCTGCCCACCCTGTCTGCCCATCGCAGGCCTCGGGGGCCCCTTCCAGGCCAAGCCCCTGGCTCCAGCCGGCAGCGCCCTCAGAGGGGCTGCAGCAGGGGCCAGCACAGCTGCCCGGGAGCAGGCTGCTGGGGGAGACGGGCCTTGGAGGCGACCCGCGCCGGGGAGGCTGAGGGGCTGACTGACGCCCCCCGCACAAGCGGTGAGCAAGGGAAGGCCGGCCGCGGGCTGCTCACCTAGCAGGTCGGCCCCCTCGTCCACGTCCCCGATGACCTCGGAGCCTGCAGTGGACAGCTCGTGGTACAGGGAGTCAGTGTTGATGCCGAAGGCCTTGTTCACGATGCCCTGGGTCGGGCTGCGGGACACGTGCGTGAGGGCCTCACTCTCGGCCCTGCCCCAGGCGCCGGCCAGTGGCATCCTCCCGCCCCGGGGCAGCCAGGGAGCCCACCGGCCCGGCCTCCTGGGCCAGTACCTGCTGCCCGTGCGGTCCAGGCGGGGCTCCCGGCCCGTGTCCAGCTCTGGGGTGGAGTCGATGATGTCCTGCACGTCCGACCACTCATCACTGCTGCCCATGCCTGCGGGCGTGGGGGCGCTCAGGGCTGGCCGGCTGCTCCCTGGCCTCTGGCCTTGCCAGCCAGGACTGTGAGGCCGGTGTTCCTCCCACCTGGTCAGGTTGGTCTGCCGGACCCCCGACGATGGACGGCGTCCCTCCCGGCGCCCCAAGCAGGCCCGACCTGACCCTTCCAGCTAGACCAGGGGCTGCTAGCTGCTGGCCACGGTTGAGCTGGGGGTGAAGGCACCCCCGGATTCCTGCCTGGGGCCCAGGGCCTGGCCACGCTGGGTCTCCATGGGCTGTGGCTCTATGTGGGGCGTGGGGGGGAGCCGTGGGCTGGGGGCCGGCACAGTCGGGGGCGGGCGCACCTATACTGACGTGACGCATCTCCTGCGCCACCTGCACCTCCATGTTGCGGCTGTTGCGCTTCTCCCGGGCCCGCCGGCCGTTGTTGGGGCCCCCGCTGAAGCCCCCCAGCGGCTGCAGGCTCTCGTTGAGGGGGGTGGCTGCCGCCGAGGGCACGGAGGACGTGGGCGTGTTGGACTTGGTGCCGGCGGTGCTGGGCGTGGCCGCGGCCGAGGACTGGCCCGACTCAGACATCTCGTCCTGCAGACCCTGTGACCCAAGCACAGGTGGCTCGTCTGGGCACCGCTGCCCACGGCCACGGCCCCGTGCAGGCAGGGGGCACCCGGCTGTCCTCCCGAGAGCTCGCAGCTGGCCGGCCAAGCCCGCCTGCAGCAGCCCCGGACAGGCAGCACGGCCAGACCCGACGGAGGGACACAGAGCCGTGGGCGTGGCCCACTCTGGTCGGGACATCTGGGGGCGCCAGCCCGGCCCCGCTTCCGGACCACGGCCTCCAGAGACGTGTCTGCGGCTCCACTGGCCGAGGCCACCCTGACTGCCCACACAAACGCAAACAGACTGGAGCCCACAGCCACAGGGCTCCCCCAGATACCCCAGGAGTGAAACGTCCTGGTTCCTAAACACAACTGCCTACGGCTTCGGGGCCCTGAGTTGGTCTCCGCTGCCCGTGGCTGCCCGCCCCGACACAGCCTGGCTGGCTCAGTCTGCGAGCGCCGCTCGGGTGTGGGGGCGCCCACAGTGCCCAGCAGCTCCTGGATAGTGCTCCTCCTCTCTGCTCCCCAACGGGAGCCCAAGGGGCGTGGCGGCCCCACCCTGGGGCTCCTGTCGAGCTACACGGCAGGGCAGCCAAGGACAGATGTCAGGCCCTCTCCTTAGGGCCGGGCGAGCCCGGGGCCCCACTGTGCCCACCGCCCGCTGCACCAGGAGAGCAGCTGGCACCTGTGGCTGCCTCGAGGGCCAGTCCTGCCTCCCCACTGTGGGCCTGTGGGCAGACACTGCCCGGCCCATCTGAGGAAGGGCATCCTGTCTGGTACGCAGCCCGAGAGTCCAGGCCCCTCGGGCAAGGGTTGCCAACGGGGTGTCCATCTGTGGCCCCTGGGGACGCCTGGCGACATCCGTGGTGGTCGCGGCCGGGGCAGTGGCAGCTCTGGGTACCTGGCGGCCACGGTGCTCTCAACACCCAGCACATGAGGGCGACTGTGGGCAGAGGCGTCTAAGGCCCCCGGGCCCGTCGCCTGGCCTCAGAGGCAGCTGGGGAGTCATGGTCACAGCGCCCAGAGCGGTGCCTGCAGGAAGGCCGCGGACGGGCAGGCCTGCAGGCCACCCTCCCCTCTGGCCTCCTGCTGGTGGTGACTTGCTGGCGGGCGTCGGGGCCGCCCATGCCCAGCTCCTCGCCGCCTGCGGCCACCGCTTCATTAAAGGCCAACCTCTCCACTCACTACCAGCCACCCGCCGTGGTGGCCGCAGGCGCGAGAGCACAGGCCCAGCGGTCGCTCCGCCGTGGGCGGCAGTCGTGCGGCCAACAGTGAGAACACAGCACACGGGACCGGAAACAAGACAAAACAACAGAAATTAAAAAATCGGAAAAACTTAAAACGCAGAATGTGAAATAAAAAGAACTTAAATGTAATTGTTTAAAAAAATAAATCAAATGAAACACGTCTGTGAACTCAAACAGAAGACACGGCAGACGGAGCGCAGCTGGCCAGGCGCACATGCCGGGGCCCACGCAGCGGAGGCCGGCACCGGCCACAGCAGAAGCACATGGGTCCTGCCCAGCCGCGGTCTGCAGGGCCCGCAAGGCCAGCTGGACACTCGGCAGAGGACTGCTGGCAGCTGCAGCAGGAGGACGCTTCTGGGTAGGGGCAGAGGCCTGCGTCGGGCCCGCAGGGCTGTCTCTGCCCCTTGGAGGGGCATCCTTACCTGCGGCGGCCAGGGTCCTGTCTTGCCAGAGTCTGAGCTCTCGGATCAAATCTGGCAGAGACCAGGGGCTCTGGACACACGGCAGGCCACGGGCAGCACCTGGCCTGGGCTGTCTGGGCGCCCCCTGGCCCACTGTGCACACCCAGGGCGTCCGCCCTCCCAGATGCAGAGCCCAGAGGCGGTGCCATGTCTGGCAGGTGAGAACAGGTTGGCAGAGGCCGATGCCTGGCCCGGCCCTGTCCAGGGGGAGGGGTAGTCTCAGACGCTTGAGGCCAGCACGTCCTGATGAGTCCAGTTGTATTGCTTGGGCCAAGGGCAGCTCGGGAGGGGACCGCTGGTCAGCCCAACAGACATGCGTGGCCTGCACGGGGTCTGGCCTGGACTGGAAGGCGTCCACGCCCTGCTGGCCCTGCTGCCCTCCACGGAGCACAGCCACAGGACCTAGTGCTGGAGCTGGACGTGGCTGGCCAAGGCGGCTCGGGTGCGTGGTCTGGCCGGCGCAAGCAGGCCCCGTCTGTGCACGTACCATGCCATCGGCCAGGGGGAAGACGTTCAGCGAGGTGGGGCGCTCCTTCCGGCTGCAGGGGGGGAGAGGGCGTGGCGGTCAGGGGCTCACGGGGTGGCCCTGCACTCCCAGTGGCCGCTCCCTGTGTGGGCACGCTTGGGGCCAGGCCAAGGGGGCCGCTTCCAGGAGCTGGGTCTGCCCCGCAGCCTGCAGCCCGGGGACCGCCGCAGCAGGGCTCCTGTGCTGGGGGCTGCGCCCGCAGGGGGCACGATGGCGCCTGCTGGGCCCAGGGGCCCAGGCCTGCCGAGTAGTTACCTCTTCCTCCAGGACTGGCGGGGGCTGCGAGGCGGCGACAGGCAGGCGTCACGGGCCAGACATGCAGGGAGACAAGAGGACAGGTCAGAGTGTGGGACACCCCTCTGCAGCACCACCCAGAGGTCCTGCCACGGCCCCCACACTCGGGCCCCCAGGCGGACAGGAAGACAAGCCAGGGACGGAAAAGCCTGTCTGGCTCGGGGCCCCATGCACAGTGGCTGAGGGGGTGTTGCTGGCCGCCCAGGGGGCCGGGCTCTGGAGGCAGGTGGCCATGGCAGGGGCTTGCTCCCTGGGCAGGCTGCTCTGACCCACGGGGATGCCAGGACAAGGGTTCGGTCCTGGGGTCATTTTCCACGCCGGACATGGCAGCAACAGCCACGCCGGGCAGCAAATTGCCTTGAGTGCAAGCCTGCCCTCATGACACAGATGGGCCTTCGGGGCTCCCTCAGCATCTGGAGCCCCGGAGGTGGGCTGGTCACCAAGGGGGCGGGGGCGGAGGCCGGCTGGTTCTGGAGCTGGCCAGCGTCTGCTTTGGCTGAGCCCAGGTCACCCTGAGGTCTGGGGCTCGACCACATGGCACTCCTAGGCACAGGCTGCTGGCCCTGCGGCCTCCTGGCCTAGGTCAGAAGGCTCAGTGCCGGCTCTTGGCCCCTGAGGCTCTGCTCACCACCGCTCTGGGGAGCTGCTGCCCCTGCAGCCTGGCCCTGGGGTCCCGCCCAGCCTCCCAGGGTGACAGATTCTGGACGAGCAGCTCAGCTTTCCTCATGGTCACTGTGGGGCACAGAGGCCCGGCTCCAGGGCAGGCCTCCTCAGGCAGGCGGTGCGGTCGGCGGCCCTGACCGTACCACCTCTCCGCAGGCACATCCGCTCGGCTAGGTGCCCGCGCCTCCCCCGCCCTTCCCCCCAGTGGAGGATGTCTAGAGGTGCCCGGACACCCCTGCCATGTCCTGCTGGGCATACCCACATCTGCCTTCCAGACAGGAGGCCACGGCCCGGCTGGGTCACACGGTTCCTGCAGACACGCCAGAGGGTGTGAAGGGGCGGCGGCCACCCGCAGGAGGGACAGGTGGGCTCAGGTGAGGGGCTCGGCCCTCTTGTCGGGGCGGGGCCAGGACCCATGGGCGATCCCCGCCCCCCAACACGCTCTTTTGTTCCCCACAGGCCCATGTCGCTGGGGCCACGGAGCTCCCTGCCAGGGCAGAGCCCTCCAGGCTGGCTCCTGGGCAGGCAAGGCTCTGGGGGCTCTGCTGATCCGGCCAGGACCAAGGTCCAGTCTCATCCTGACCCGCGCGCAAAGGTGGGGGTCATCCTGACCCGCGCGCAAAGCTGGCCCCACAGGAGTCGTCCTCACCCCAGGCCTCCCGGCCCCTGACCCAGGGCGACATCCTCTGCCCACCGGGGCCACCAGGTGTCGGGCTGTGCCACTGGGGGTCACATGGCCCGAGCCACACCCACTCGCCCCGCACCCCTCGCAGCCCACGCATCCCTCACATCGAGGCACAGCAGTGCTGGGGCCCTGCCCAGGCTGACCCCAGTCAGCCCAGAGCCGGGAGTTTCCCTCGCGCCCGTGGGCGCGGCCTAAGGAGGTGCCCGGCTGGCCTGAGCCACAGCGGGAGCAGCGGGCCCCCTGCGCCGTGCACACCCGGGTAGCCGGCTGTGCTGGCCCCTCCCGCAGCCCTGCTCACCTCCTCCCCTGCAGGCTGCCCTCGGGTTGGCTGCTGCCCCCGGCCTGCTGCAGCTTGGCCCTCTCGATGTGCTCCACGTAGGTCTGGATCATCTGCGAGGCAGGGCCCACCTGAGCGGCCACCTGAGCGCCCGCCCCCGGGCCCCCACCTCCCCCCCGCCCCCGCACTCCCCAGACCGGCTCTGAGGACACCCTGGCGGGACATGAGGCCCGGCAGACCCACCTCCGTGTGCCGCTGGTGCAGGGCGTTGTACTCCTTCTTCATCTCCGCCTCGCGCTCCTCCAGCCGGGAGACTGCAGACAGAGGCCGGTGAGCCCGGGCCTGGCGCAGGCGCTGCGCCCCGCCCCGAGGCGGGTGGGGAGAGAACCCAGTCCGGCCCCGGGCGGCGGCACCCCCGCCCCACCGCCCCGAGTTTGATTCTGCTGCGGGAGGAAGGGCAGGCAGCCCTGTGCCCCGCGAACGGCCCTGGAGGCACGGCCGGGAGGGCTCATGCCAGGGCCGAGGACGCAGAGCTGGGGGGCTCTGCCCACGTCTCTGAGGTGCTCAAGGGGCATCTGCGCAAAGTGGGCCGAGGGCTCCCCCCGCTTCAGGCGCCCCCACACAAGGCCTCGTGTGGTGCCCGAAGGCACCGCACGGCCTCGCAGGGCTTCCCTCTTGCCCTGGAGAGGGTGGTGGGTCCAGCCTCTGGCCCCTCCTTGCTGGTCCCTGCTGGCAGGCGTGCGGCCGCCGCTTCCTGGCAGAGCCGAGAGGCGGCCTGTAGGAAGGGCCAAGGGCGCCCCGGGGCCCTGTGACTGCAGGGAAGGGTCTCCGGTCCCACCAACAGCCGGTGCCCCAGACCCGGCGCGGCCCCTGCGGCCTGAGTGGACTTAGCGAGAGTCTGCAGGTCTGGCTGGGGTGGGACCAGATCCAATACGCCACCCCCCACCCCCCGCCCCACTACATCCGATCTTCAGTTTTCAGACAAATGGAAACACCTGTCATCCAGGGTAGCCAGGCGACAAGGTGATCGGTGCTCACTCACCACAACTTCTAATTACAGAAGCTGCAAATGCCCTGGACAGTTTAGCTCAAAGAAAGACTTCTGGAAAGAACCAGAGCTCTGAAAATAATCCCCTTCTTCTCCCCTCGAGAGGGCGGGCTGTTTCTCTACTCCCACTTGCAGATCAAGAAAGAACAATCTAAAGTGACTTTGAGGGGGCCTCCCAGGGGGCCTGGGGGTCAGTCTTGGGCTGTCACTGCTGTGGCCTGAGTTCAATCCTGGCAGCGACCCACAGGGCGCAGCAGACCTCTCCTGTCTCCCCGCTGCTCCCCTCAGCAGTGGATTTCAGCGGATCCACCTGTTCTGCTCCCCACTCAGTCTCTGGGGAGTCCTCTCACCCCCCCACCTCTGGCCTGCACCCCAGCTCTTGCAGGCATAAGTAAATAAAATCTCAAAAAAAACAAAGAACCAGAGTGTTGCCCCAAGAACGCGCTCCCAGGCCAGCCCCACAGCAGCTCTGCAGAAGGGCCACTGGCCCCGAGGCCAGCCAGGCAGCCCCATAGGCAGACACGGATGCCCGCTGGCTGCAGGGAGAGGCCGCACTCACGCTGGTCGGCGTAGCTCTTGGCCTTCAGCTCCAGCTGGCGCGTCTGCAGCTCGTAGCGCTCCACCTGTGCCTGCAGCTCCTTCTTCTCTTGCTCCAAGGCATCTTCGAACTCGATGAACTTCTGTGCACAGAGGAGAACAGGCATCAGGGGCCTCCCTCGTGGCACAAGGGCCAAGAAGAAACCACAGGGCGCAGCAGACCTCTCCTATCTCGCCCGCTGCTCCCCTCAGCAGTGTATTTCAGTTAGTCTGCCTGTTCTGCTCCCCGCTGTCTCCTCTGGTGAATCCTCTCACCCCCTGCACCTCTGGCCTGTACCCCAGCTCTTGTGTGCATAAATAAATGAATTTTTAAAAAAAGGCATCAGGGAGCATGGCCAGGCAGGACCCCATGGAGCCCGGGTCTTGTGGACAGAGGTGTCCGCCCCAGCGCAGCTTCCTGACGAGCCTCTTGCCGCGCGAGCAGGCGGCACGGCCCAGGCCAGGGGCTGCTCGAGACCCTGCCCAGCTCAGGCAGGCCTTGCGTGTGGCTGCGCATCCGCTGTCGGCGTCTTGGGGTTCTTAATTTCTCAGAGGGCCCCACTTTTTCTTTTTCTGTAGTGGAGGTTTTGTGTGATCACTTGCTGGCCTGCGAGGCATTGGACGCCAGCAGGACAATCTGGCCCCAGTCCAGCCGCGCCCCCAGGAGCCCCACCTCCCGTGGTAGGACTGCGGCAGTCACCCCCAGACCTAGAGCGAGAGGACAGCTTGTGAGACACAGACCCCCAGGCAGGGCCTGGGTGAGGCTCAGGGTGGGGCCCTGGGCCAAGGGGGAGGGTGGGCCGTGGTTGGAGGGTGGGGGTGTCTGGCCTGGCAATCCCCAGGCTGCTAGGAGGGAAGACACCACCGGCAGGAGGGCAGAGGCTGGGCGGGCCAGGCCCTCAGGAGGACAGATAGGGCAGGATGCCTGGAGGGCTTGGCGGGAGCCCTCACCCTGGCGTGCCCTGGGCGTGCTTGGGAGCAGGTGAGAGTGTGAGCACGTGTGAGTGGGCCTGTGCGGGCGTGCGGGAGCAAGCCTGGACCTGTCGCAGGGCCCCCAGCCTGGCTTCCCGCAGGCCCGGCCCCTGTGCCGTGTGGCCCCGCGGGCAGCCTCCGTGGCAGGCAGCGGCCCCAGGTGCCCTGCAGGTCCTGCCCAGCCTGCCATGCCCAGGTCCTGCGGGCCCGCGCCCCGCCCCAGTGCCCGCCTCTGACACGGGGGCAAGGCCAGGATTCCTGCGCGGACGGCGATGTGGAGCGCCCGCTCCGGGCTCCCGACCAGGTCAAGGCCTTTGGGCGGGGTGGACGCTGCGGCTGAGCCTGGGAACGGCCGAGACGCGCCGGGAAGCCCCGCTGGGCACGCGGCCTACATCCTGCGAGCCGCGAGCACAGAGTCGGGACGGAGCCGAGGGCGGCCGGGCAGCGCCAGGAGGGGTGACCCGCCCGCGCACCCCGAGCCCACAGGCAGCCGGCGCCAGCGCGGGTCCGGGGGTGGGAGCGCAGGAGCCCCCCTGGGGCGGGCGGCTGAAACGCCCCGGGCGCACCTGACACTGGGGCTCCACGGGGGCGGCGCCGAGGGCGGAGGGGGTGAGACCACACCGTGACCCCGGGAGGCGGCGGGCGGGCAGGGCTGGAAGGCAGGGCTTCCTGCCCCAGGCAGGAAGTCACGAGCCAGGCTGCCGCCAGCAGGAGACACCCCACTCCGGCCAGGGGCTCCGGAGCGGCAGGGCGGGGTGCCGGGGCCCACAGAGCGCGGGCCTGAGGCCGCAGGGCGGCTCCGAATGGCCGAGGTGACACGCGGCAGCTGGCCGGGGAGAGCGGCGCCCCGGCGGTCACCTTTGGGTGGGCCCCTCCGGGAGCTGGGGGGGGCTGGCCTGGAGGCCCTGGGGACGGACGGCTGGGGCTGACCCTCGGCCCCGCCTTGCCTCTGGAAGCCACAGCCCCCGGGACCCTCCCCGGCAGCACTCGGGAGGGGTTTCCCTCGCTCCCCAACGGCTCACTTCTCGTTTTCCGGGACGCTCACGAGGCAGCCTCGGGTGCGGGCACCCCGGCCGCCAGGAGTGGACGTCCAAGGCAGCCCGTTCTCCCCAGTTAGCGCCGGAGCAAGGGCAGGGCAAATGCTGCCTTGGGGGCGGGAGCCGCAAGGGGGCCCCTGAGGACGGTGCCGCCGGCCCACTCGCTGGTTTGCTAGAAATGGCCGGTGGTGGGGGCGGCCTCCTCCTCTCGCAGCACCGACCACGGAGTCCCTTCTCCGGGCCGGCCGGGGCACAGAACGTGCTCTTGCCCGGCTCTGGGCAGGAGAGGGGCAGACGCCTGTGGGCGGTGGCTGGGCACGGTGGGGCCGTCCTCTGAGGGCTGCTGGCTCCCCCACCGAGCCCAGGCACCCCTCCGCTCGCCTTCCCTGTGACCCGAGCCCGTGGGGAGGCTGCCCCATCCCAGGCCCGGGGGGTGAGTGAGCCAGGCTTCCTGGGGGCCAGGTGGGGCTGCCCAGTGGGCACTGGTTTTTAAGAACGGGGGAGACACGAGACGTGTATGTGAGAAATACCTCACAGGTGTTTCTACGGTAAGGCGTTGTGCGTGTTCCAGACCAGCTCGCGGGAGTGCGGCTGGTGCCGGCCCGAGAAGACAGGACCCGAGTGGAGCCCACAGGTGCCCCCGGCTGCCCTTCTGCAGACATGGTCTGGGCGGGCGGGCCCACAGTGGAGTGTGCCCAGGAGAGAGGGGCCCCAGCAAGAGCACACGGAAAGGCTCCCAGGGAGGCTGCAGGGGCAAGGGGAAGCTGGCGGAGGGGCGCTCCCAGGGAGCTCACCCTGCGGCACCCCAGAACCTCAGCCTGATTAGGAAACGTGCCCCCCAAGAAAGACACACCCGAGGCCGAGGGGTCTGGGGCCACCGGAGGACCCCAGCTTGCTGGCCCTGCTGCATGGGGAGCCAGAACAGGGTGCAGCCCAGTGCGGCTGCCCTTAGAGAAAGTTCTGGAAAGTGCAATGCAGCCTCCAGCGACAAGAGGAGGAGGTGGGTGGGCCCGCAGGGCCGGGGCGGGTGTGGCAGCACAGGGCTCTCTTCCCCTTGGTGTGGAGATGGTTTCTGGGGTGCAGATATGACCCTCCCTCTGGTGGAAGCCCCAGGTGCCACCCCGCCCACCTCAGGTTCCTGTTGTGCGGTGAGGCTCCCCGGCTCTTGCAGCAGAGCTGCGCCTCCGGCCAGAAAGGCCCCTCTGATGCAGCCTCCCGCCTTGCCTGGAGCAGGGACCAGCACCAGGTCGCCACCTAAACTCCAGGGAAACAGAACCTGCCGCGGGGTAGCAGGAGCCAGCCGGAGGAAACGCCTGTGTGGCCATCGGGGCAGGGCGGGCCGGAGGGCAGGGAGCAGCAACCTCCACGCCATGGCCGCGAGGCCGTGGAAAGGGCCGGGGCGGGTCTCGACGCCCCGCACTGCACAGGGGCCTGTGGCTGCGCCGACCTCAGACCTCCACAAAGGCCTGGTGTGACCTCTCAAGGTCACGGAGCAGACGGGCAGGCCGGGGAGGCCGTGGGGCAGCTGGCTGCGGAGGGCTGTTTTTGCAGCTTTTCCATAAGCCATTTAAAAGTCTAATAAAACTTAAAAATAAAAAGTAATTTTAATCTAAAAACCAAGTCCTGGAAGAACGAGTTCCCTCCACACCCACCAGCACCCACACCCAAGACCAGGGCTGGGGGACGGGGCCAGGCCACAGGCGCCCTCCCTGACCCGGGCCGACCCCTCGGACCACAGTGATCTGGTGCGGCTCTGCCCGGCCCCCGGGGAGACAGGCGGGGGCATCACGGCAGAGGCCTCTCGGCACAGGCTGTCCTCTCCTGAGCAGTCCGCAGGCCTCACCCTGCCCACAGGTCCCCGCGGCCCCACGTCTGGGAGGGCTGCAGACACCCCTGCTGCCCAGGATGCCTGCTGGGGCCGGGCGGTGGTGTCAGGGGCGCCAGGGGACGTCTGGGCCCGGGTTGCGAGCAGTTGGCTCAGCTGGAGCCTGAGGTCACGCCGGGCTGAGCTGCGGGCCGAGCTGCGGGCCAGGGCACTCATGCGCCGGAAGGGAGTGGCGGACGGGGGAGCGCCGCTTGGGGAAGAGGAAGCACCTCAAGGACTCTGGGAACCCCGGACGTGGGACACAGGTGTCAGCTCTGGAGCCAGGACACCCCCGGCCCCTCCTCCTATGCTTGAGCCAGCAGCAGCCCGACCTGGGGCCTGAGGGCCCCTTGCAGGGCAGGCCTGACCCGGCCCCAGGGTCACAGTGGCGCCCACAGGAAGGCGCAGGAGAGGAGACCGGGCCGCAGAAGCTCAGGTCACCTCTGCCTGCGGCCTGGGCGCCCGCCACGCTGCGGCCGCGTCTCCAGGCTCGCGTCTGTCCCTCCACGCCGCAGAGACCGGCCCCGGCTGGCAGGACCTGTCCCGGGCGGGCACCCGCCCCCTGACCCTCCCCCAGGGTGGTCCCCACGGCCTGGGGCAGCTATGGGGTGGGCTGGCCTCTTGAGGAGGGGGGCCCAGCTGGCCCACTGCCCGTGGCCGGGAGGTGAGGGAGCTCAGCGCCCTCCGGACCGCACAGGCGGGGCCGCGGGGAGGGGCAAGGTGGCGCGGGGCGGCCGCGGGCGTCTGACCCCAGCAGGGCGGAGGGGACCCTCCCCAGAGGAGGCCTGGGGCACCCGGAGGAGAGCGGAGCGGTCGGCGCAGGCCGCAGCCCCCGAGAGCCCGCAGAGCCCGGCCGCAGCCCCGCCGCCCGCCGCGCGGCCCACGCGGCGCCAGCACAGCCCCCGCCGGGGCCGCAGCCCCGACTGCCCGGCCTCGTCAAAGGCGCCGATGGAGCTGCCGGGCCGGGCGCCGCCGGCGATGGGGCCGCGCCCCGGGCTGGCAGGGGTAGGGTCGGCCGACCCAGGACCCGCGCCGCCCGCCCACCCCAGCAGCCGGGGCCCTCCCGGCCCTCCCGCCCGCCCGCGGGATGCAGAGGGTCCGGCGGCCGCGGAAGCCCGGCGAGGGGCAGGCCTGGGCGCGGCGCGGCCCTGGGGAGCCCGCCCGGGGAGCGCGGGGAGCAGCGGCCCGGGCCGGCCGAGGGCGGAGCCGGGGGCTCTAGGGGGTCGCGCGGAGGCCCCGCCGTGGGCGGACGGGGTCGCGGGGCCCCGGCCCGGGGCAGCGAGGATGGGGTCCCGGGCGAGGGTGGGGGTGGGGTCCGGGGTGGGCTCCCGGCAGGGGTCGGCCTGGGGTCCGGGGCGGGGTCTGGGGGTGCGGGCCGGGCTGGGTCGGGGGTGCGGGCCGGGTCGGGGCGGGGGTGCGGGGTCCGGGCCGGGGCGGGGGTGCGGGGTCCGGGGTCCCGGGCGGGGCGGGGGCCGGGGGTGCGGGGTGCGGGGCGGGGGCCGGGGCGGGGGTGCGGGGTCCGGGGCCGGGGCGGGGTTCCGGGCGGGGCGGGGGCCGGGCCGGGGGTGCGGGGTCCGGGGCGCGGGGCGGGGGTGCGGGGTCCCGGGCGGGCGGGGGCGCCCACGCACCTCCTCGGCCTGCTTGCGCAGCGCCTTCTCGCGCTCGTACTGGGTGAGCAGCTGCTCGTTGTCCTCGCGCAGCAGCTCCAGCTCCACCTCGTGCTCCTGGTTCTCGCTGAGCACGGCGTCCAGGTTCTCCAGCACCGTCACCACGAGCGGCATCAGCTCCTTCACCACCTCCTCGTCGTAGCAGCGGATGAGGCGCTCGAACTCGCGGTAGATGGAGCCCGCCAGGCCCGACACGCGCTCCGACATCACGGAGCCCGCGCAGTAGTCGTCCTGGTACACGACGGCGCCGCCCGCCTCGTCCATCGGCAGCTCCATCGTCGCGGCGCGGCCGCCGCCCGGGCCGAGTCCGCCGCCGGGCCCGTCCCGCCGCCGGCTCCGCGCGCCCGCCCGGCCGCCCCGTCACTCAGCGGCCGGAAGTCCCGCCCCGCGTGACGCGCCGGAAGCGCGCGTTCCGCCCCGCCTCCCCGCGGCGCCGGCGCGGGGGGGCCCCCGGGCGGGGGGCGCGCTCCCTGGTGGGGGGCCCCGGGGCGGGGGGCGCGCTCCCTCGGGGGCCCCGGGGGCGGGGGCGCGCCCTCTCGGGGGGGGGTCCCGGGGCGGGGGCGCGCTCCCTCAGGGTGGGGGCCCCGGGGGCGGGGGCGCGCTCTCTCGGGGGGGGGGCGGTCCCGGGGCGCGGGCCCCTCCGCCGGTCACACGGCCTGTGCGGCTTCCACGCAGGGCCGCGCCCCCCGCCCGGGCGGCCGACAGACCCCGCCGGCCCCGCGGCCCTTCGAGGCGCCCCCGCCCGGCATGTCTGGGAACTGGGCGGGCGCTGGAGCCCCGGGTTTGAGGGGAGCCGCCCAAGGACTCGCGCCGTGTCTCCGGCTGCACCGCCCGGAGGGAGGCGCCGCCGCCGGCCCCCGCTGCGCGGCCGGCACAGGGGGGGGGCCCCGCGCGCCCACGGGCTGCTTCAGCGGGAAGCCCGGGGCGCCCGGCCCAGGAGACAAGCGGCGCCGGCGCGCAGGCCTGGCCCGGCGGTCCCCGCGAACCCCGACAGCGCTTCGCAGGCGCGCACCAGGCAGGCTCGGGGCCCGAGGTGAGCCCCAGGAGGGGCCCCGCCCAGCCCCGGCCACGCGCGCTCCTCAGGGAGGGTAGCGGCTCCGACCCGCCCCCACCCGCCAGACCCGCGCCCTCAGGGCGGTCAGCCCGGCCCGGCCCGGCCCGGCCCGGCCCGGCCCCGCAGGGAAACGCCACGAGCAAACGCGAGCGCGGCAGAGCCCGGGGCCGGCGCGCCCAGGCCCACGCGGGGACGCGGCAGGCACGGACAGTGGTGACTGCAAAGTTTATTCCACCCCGCCATGCCCGGTGCGGCCTCGCCAGCCCGGGGACTGCCCTATTAAAGCCACGCCCGATGGGAACACAGGTCTGCCGTGGGCTTTTTTGGATACAGCTCTAAAAAAAAGTTGGCACCAAATACATCAAGTTTTAAGGCATAAAAAAGTGGCTTCTTGACGCAGCGGGGACGAGGGGCTGCCGGCCACGGCAGACTGCCCAGCCCGGGGGCCAGCACCACAGCTGGGCTCCGGGCATTCCATCTCCTCACTTGCCATGGAAGTCAGAAACTGCAGCTGAAGCCTGGGGTTTCCCTGTAAGGGGCGCGCGCCAGGTGCTGGGCTGGAACCCTGGCCACCGCTTTTTCAAATATTTTTCTCTAACCACCATTTACAGTATTTTAATGGGGGAAAAATGCTCTGAAATCCTAACATTTCTACGAATTGCAAACCACCTAAGGATGGAGATGCCCCTACACCAGCATCTCGGGGGGCAATGTCCCCACAGGCCCCTGGACATGCTGCGTGTCTAGGCCACTGCGGGGTGCCAGACACAGCCGCTGCTCTGGGTGTCAGAATGGCCAGAGGTCCCCTCCGGTGCCTGTGCTGGCCTGCAGGCCTCCCACCAAGCACCCCACCACCCAGCATCTCTGGTCCCCTGTGAGCCCAGCTCGTGAGATGCAGGAAGGTGCCTGCAGCCCCCAGGAGCTGTGGGGGAGACTTGATCGACAGATCAAAGCACCCCAACTCTCACCTATCACCTCAGCTGGCAAACGTGGAACCGGCCAACTGAGTCACTGCCCCACTACTTGACCTCCCGGCTGAGAGTCGCCAGGCCTCCCAGGAAGCTGGATGTGGCCTGGGAGAGCTTTGGGAAGGGCACGCCAGGAAGCCTTTCCTTTCTCTTTGGTGTACCTGAGCCACGGGCTTTTCCAGAAGGTGGCAGAAACACACCAGCGCCATAGCCACTTGAGGGAAGCCAGCAAAAGCCCTGGGACTTCGGGCATCCCTGTCCCACCACCATGGAGGAGTAAGGCACGGGTCGCCCCATCAGAGCAGAGCCTCAGAGCACAAGTCTGGAGGAAGGCGCGTGGTGGGGGGTGAGGCAGCGCGGGGCTGGCTTAAGGCAGGGAGGGACAAGGGGGAGCAGAAGGCAGGTGCCTTGGGGTCCACCCCTCGAGTCCAGGGCAGAGCCCAAGAAGCACAGGACGCAGCGGCTCCGAGGTGCTCGCCGACAACCAAGGGGGAGAGGCGCAGGCGGCACCACGGGGCCAGGTCTGGCTGTGGCCTGCAGGTGCTCCGGGCCCGCGATGCTGGCTCCCGCCTTGGCCGCGCCCCCAACCAAAGCACGACGTGGGTGTTTTGGCTCTTGTGGAGACTTTGAGTCCTGGAACTTGAGAGCCCCCCAGAGAGCCCCGCCCACCCATCAGAGACCCCCCAACTTGGGATGACAGAGGCCTGGCCCCAGGGGAGTCGCAGCACCCCGACACGCCCGGGGCCCAGCGGCTCCCTGAGGCCAGCTGCAGCCGCCACGAGGGCCCCTCAGTAGAATGAGATGCTGGACTTGCCGCCTGGGGGGTTCAGGACTTTGTTGTGGGAGCGCGGCCTCGGCCCCAGCCGGGGTTCATGGAGGTCCACGGCAGGGGTGGGTGCTGGTCCCCCGGCGCGGCCCGCGTCTCTGGAGCCGCTCTCCTCAACCTGCTTGTCACTGGGGCCGGCGCATGCGGCAGCTGTGGACAGAGGCGCAGGCCGCGTCAGGAGGGCAGGAGGCCAGTCTGGCTGTGCCCTGAGAACTCAGGGCGCAGCTGACGCAACTCTCGAATTGACTTCACGAAGTGGGGCTCACTGCTAGGGACGCCCCTACGGGAGGCTGCCACCTTCTCCTACGACCCATGGGGCTCCGTCCGTCCTCTCCCCTCCAGCACAAAGCGCTGGCCCCAGCGAGTGTGAAGCGGGACTGGGCTCCGGGCCGCCACGTCACACGCGCTGAATGTGTGATCCCCGAGTGTCCTGGTCCCCAACTGAGGGCAACGGTACCCCAAAGGCAGGTCAGCACCCACGGCCAGCTCAGAGCCTGGTGGGACTGGTACCGTGATGTTCAGACACCACCGGCGGCTGCTTTCTTGGGGGGGCCCCAAAGGCGGCGCCACCGGCATCCCCCAACTCCCTTCTCTTCGTGTCTGTCCTGCCCTCGGCTGCGGCCTGCCAGGGGCCGGGACCCCCGCGTGCTGGACACAGGGCAGCCTCCAGAGGCCGAGGCCTCAGGCCCAGCCGAGCAGCAGCGCACGAAGCCCGGGCCGCTGGGCGCCTTCACCAGGGCAAAGGAGGCACAGGGACCACCCCTTCCGGCCTGTGGGAGGGGACGGCAGCTCACCGCTAAGGGCCGGCTTCAGGTCTTCTCCTTCGCACATGAAGACGTGGTCCTGCAACAGGCAGAGCTTGGGTCAGACCGCACAGCCTCCTCACCGCCAGGTGGCCGGACAGCAGTGACCGGGTCTGCACCCGACTTCAGGGCACGTTTTTATCAGGGACAGCTCTGGCACCAGCATCGTGCTGCACCCCAGCTGGAGAGCTCCTCACTGGCCCCCCGCTGTGCCGGCCCCCTCGGAAGCCAGTGCCGGCTACTCCCCCACTCACAAACGGCTCCGCCTGCACCGACTGCCTCCCGGCCGCCTCGCCATACAGTGACGGCGCCTCAGGCCAGGCGGAGCCCTTGGTGTTGGTGCTTAAAGCCCTGGGGCTCCGCTCTACCCAGTTCCTGCATCCACCGGCGATGCTGGACGGGCAGGGAGGGCTGCACCGCCGGGGGGGCAGGTTGATGCCGGCGCTGGGAGGCAGCGTTATCCCGCCCGAGGCTGACCTGCAAATGCCCCCGGGCCAGAGTTCATACTCCCCGGGATGGGCTCTCGATGCATTTAACCTCTTAATTCTATGGCTCTATGGCTTCCAACTCATCTGTCTTACACCCTGCCGTGTATTGGCGTCACCCGCAAGCCGCAGCTGTGTCCCGACACCCCGTGACCGCAGTCCCGCTGGCCCCGGCCGGCCCTGCCCCCACCTGTCCACTCGAGCTGTACCTTGGGCTTGTTAGGGTGTGCCAACGGTGCTGTGGCGGCCACCGGGGACCCGAAAATATCACTTGTCTTCCCACCGGGTGGGTTCAGACGCTGCCGGGTCTGTAGAGGTGTCGGGTCATCGAAGATGCCGCTGCCCTTCCCCCCTGCAGAACAGCCAGAGTGTGAGCAGCTGGCCCGGCACTGCGTGCTGCAGGCCTGGTTCCGGCTGCCTGGACCTTTGCTCTGCTGGAACCAGGACAAGGGAGCACGGGACTGGGTAGCTGAGACCCCTCTTCAGGGACAGCCTGCTGGCTCTTACCCCACAGGCGCCCGAGTGCCATCCCACCACCCTTACTCCAGGCCTGCTCCAGAAAGGACGGGAGCCCGGGGCTGGAACTCAGGTCTGTGCCCAGAACCGGCAGAGAGCAGATCCTGGCCCGAGGGTGGACTGCAGACCACCGTCGCCCGAGAGTCCTGTGACCCCCCAGCAACCAAGTTAAAAGGAGTTCCCAGGAGGACCTCAGAGAAGGGCCGCTGCGGATCTCAGGGCTCTGTGGGCCGCGGACAGGCGGGGCCAGCCTCCTGGGTGGGGCCAGACCGGCCAACCGCCGCCTCCCGCCTCCAGGGGCCCAGTCCTGCGGGTGGGTTCGGAAGCGCGAGAGAACTCCAATCCCCTTCCAGGCAGAAAAGAGTCAGGACAGAACCGTCTGTGCACCCCAGCTCCGCCAGCGAGGAGGTGGGCCAGAAAGGCTGGGAAGCTCCATGGGAGCAACGGAGCGTCCCAAGGACCAAGACCCCCCGGGGACGGGCTGCTCAGCTGGCACCTGGCGGGTGGGTCCTCTTAGGGATGCTCTGAGGCTCCTCCGTGGGCCCAAAGATACTGGACGCCATCCTGTGGGGCCTGCCGGCAGGAGCGGCTTCTTCGGGGCCCCCGGAAGGGTGGCCAGGCTCTCCTGCGGGGGCCCTGCAAGCACAGCGGGTGAGGGGCGGGCGCCAGGGCAGGGGCCCCCGGGCAGCTCCGGCGCACGGCCCGCCCCGGCGCCCGCACTGGACAGAGGCAGACCCGGGAAGGGCCCCGGAGGGGCGGGGGGCGGCACGAGGCACCCCGCGCGGCGCCGTGGAGGGAGCCCGCGAGCCCCGCGAGCGCACCAGGCCCCCTCGCGAGGGCCCCGCGGACGCCGGAGGGACACGCCGGGGCCGCCCCGGCCCCAGGCCCCGCGCCAGCCGCCGGCGCCTCGCCGTCCTCGGCCGCCCCGGCGCGCCCCTCGCCAGGCCCGGCCCGAGGCGCCCGCCGGCTCTGCCGCCCTGGCCCGCGGCGCTCGGGACGGGGCTGCGGCGGCGCCGGCCGGGACAAAGGGCTCGTCCTCGCGGGCGGGGGCCGCGCCGAGCGCCCGGGGCTCCGGCGGGCACCCCGAAGCCGCCGCCGACCCCGCCGCGCCCCCGCCCGCCCGCGCCCCGGCGCACCTGGAGCCGCCGCGGCCGGCCGCGCTCCCCGCGCCCGGGAACATGTCGCCCGCTCCGCGCCTCCCGCCGCCGCGCCCCGCTTCCCGCCCTCCGCGCGCCGCCCGCCCCCCGCGCCTATTGGGCCCCGCCGCCGTCCGTCACGCCGCCGCCGCCTATCGCGACGACGGCCCCGCCCCAACGAGGGGCGGCCGGGAGGTCCGCGCCGCGCCCGCACCACATTGGTGGAAGCGGGTGCCGCTCCCGCGTCGCGCAACGGCACTGGACAGCAGCCGGAAGGGGGCGGGGCCCCAGGCGCGTCCGCCGCCGCGTCACGCCGGAAGTCCCGGGCCCGCGCCCCGCCCCGCCCGCCCGCCCGCCGGAGCGAGGGGCCCCACCCCGCCGGCGGCGCCCCCGCGCGCAGCGCCCCGGGCCGAGCTCGGACGGGCGCCCGCGAAGCAAAGGCGGGGCCGGCCCCGCGGAGAGTCACAGGCCGCGCAGCGTTCAGCTCCGTTTATTACATTAAATAACCAACACCCTTGGCTCCCCGTCGGCAAGAATAAATAACGTAGTTTACAGTATGGTACAGTCCCGCGGAGGCCGGCGCCCCGCTCCGCTCCGCGGCGGATCCTCCCGGCTCGCCGGCACCGCGGGGCCAGGGCTGGGCGGCCCGGCTGCTGTAGTGCTGGGGCGCCCCGCCGGGGAGGGGGGGGCCGGAGCCGGGCGGCCAGCAGGGGAGCCCCGGCTTTTCTAGACCGCGAGTCCCGTCTCCTCACAGGCGCACGTCCGAGGAGAGAGCCGTCCCCCACTTCCAGGCTCCCCCACTTCCAGGCCGCTGGCTCCCAGGCTCCCCAGCGCACGGTTAGAGCTCAGCGCGCCGGGTCGATGCGTCCCGCATGGAGGCACTAGGGCCCCAGAAGAGGTGGATGGGGGCCCTGAGGCCAACGGACTGGGGGGAGGGAGAGCCCCAAGCCCCGCCAGGACAGGGGAAAGGTGGAGGGAGCCACAGGTGGACATGCCGGGGGCAGCGCTCTTGAGGCCGAGAGCCTGTCTCCATCCTTACACAGGAGAAAAAGCCCCTGACATCACCGGGGCCCGGAAGAGACTTTCCCACCGGACTGACCTACCCTAAAGCACACAGGGAGCAGCAGCACCCAGGGGTGCAGCACGTCACCGTGGCCCAGGCGTCAGGAGCTGCCCCTCCCATCGTGTGCAGGGAGCAGACACATCCCTGACTTGCTCTGGCCCCCACTGTGGCAGCAAACAGTGCCCACCCTGCGACGCTCCTCCTGACCTGGCCCATGGTGAGGGGGTGGTCCTTGCAGAGCCTGGGCTGGAGGCACCCCAAGTGGCAAGCCTGCCAAAGACAACCTATCTCCAGCTTCCCTCCCGGTCAGACATCACCGGGTAAGTGCCTCCTGCCCACTACTGCACCCGGTGCCCTGACGGGTGAGCAGTTCAGCCGACATCCCCCACGCCAGTGCTGGCACTGCAGGCACGGCCCAGCAGCCCGGCACCAGTCTTGCTCGGCTCCCTCCGGCTCTGGCTCAGGAAGCTGACTGACTGACTGCAATGCCGGCCAGGCCAGGCGCTGCCGTGCCTCTCGGTGAAGACGACACCGACACAAAGGGATGGCCCTCGCCCGTCCAGCGGCAGCCTGTACCCCTGCCGACTGAGCATGCAACCTGCTCGCAGTCCAGAGGGGCCATGACCAGCCTCTGAGCCCCAAGCCAGAGTGCCCAATCTTGCCCATGGACAGGCAAGGAGCCATGGCGAGGGCCCCACCAAGCGGGGCAAGGGCCGGGAGGAGGCGCAGTGCTCAGTCTGGTGGTGGTGGTGGTGGTGGCAGTGGTGGTGGTGGGGGGGGCCCCTGGCTGCAGGCAAGGGCAAGAAGCCACCGGGGGAGATGCAAGCTGGGCCACCTGCGGTGGGGATGCCAGCTACCCAGGAGGCCCGAGGAGACACGGGGCACCTCAGGGCTCCCCCATTCTGGGTGCCCAAGCCCGTGGCGCCCACACTGAAGGCTATGGTGCATGGGCGCAGGCTTGGGAGGAGCGTGCCAGGGAGGGGCTACCCAACAGGGGTCCGGTCTCTGGAGAGCCCATCTGTGGCCCAGGACCGGGAGGCCCCAGCAGAAGGCCCTGCAGACCACCCTGCACCTTGGGAATGGCCCGGGGAGGAAGCCGGCAGGGCGGTCCACAGCCTCGGAAACGTCTCCGGCCGCCAGCCAGGCAGGGTTCCGTCCACACAGCCACGACAGGCAGAGCCGCTTCAGTGGGGTCAGGAGCTGAGCCAAGGCACAGTGTGGGGACCTGGAGGCCCCGCCTCGGGGCAAGCAGCACTCCTGCCCGGCACCCCCTTCTGGGAAGAAGGCCACTGCCACCAGGCAGCAGGGCGGGGACCTGCTTGACCCCGCAAGGCGGAGACGGCCCTGCCTGTGGGAACGAGCTCCCCCACGTGGCTCACCCAGCATCCCCAGAAGTCCTGGCTGAGTGACGTCCTCTCTGGCCCAAGGGGGGCTGCACCCACCAGCCGGCATCTCCTCTGCAGCCCGCGCCTGGCCTGCATCCGCCACCATCACTGGGAGAGGTCACCGATGGGGGGCCGCCCCCCGCACCATCAAACAGGGCCTCCCGCCGGCTGGGCTCGGCGATGGCCAGCTCTTGAGCCAGGTCGTTGAACCGGGATATGTAGTCGACGCTGTTCTCATTCATCATGCAGGCCAGCTGGGAGTCCACCACCTGCGGGGGGGGCGGGCAGCGGGCAGGTGGTGAGCGGGCGGGCTCCACGGCGAGGATGGGGCCTCCGCCATGGGCCGAGCGGGGACTCGGGTCACCTGGCGTTTGAACACACTCCCAACAGGGCCGCCGGGGCCTGGTCCCCGTCCTGAGATGGGCGGGGGCGGCGGGGGAGGCTGTGGTGGGGTCGGAGGAGCAGAACTTGCTCTGAGAGTAAGGGGGGGCACCATGGGGCCAGAGACAAGGTGGGGGGTGTGCCCGCAAGGAGAGGGAAGAGCAGGGAGAGGCCGCCGGGCTGCCCTGCCCGCAGCGGGGCCTCGCCAGGACCGGCTGGACGCACATTTGTGCCCAAGCTGCGTGGCCCAGGGAGCCCAGGACGCCGCAGAAGCTCTGAGCAGAGCAATGGCGGGCATGGAGTGAGCATTAAGTCTTTTAATATAAGAAATTTCGGGAACACAGGTGCATTTCAGGAGGCTGAGCACCAGCCTGTCGCTGGCTCCTGGTGCCCATCCGCCACCGCAGCACAGGCCACGTGCCTCCGCTGGGCGTGGAGGGCGAGGACAGGCCAGCAGCACGCCAGCCTTGGGGTCCGCACTCCTGCGGGAGCAGCTCGACCACCAGACAGGTCCCCCTCTATGGGAAGCCATGCCCCACTCACCTCTGCAACGTCGGCCAGGGATCGGGACACAAAAGAGTCCCTCGAGCTCCCGTCCAGCAGGCTGGGGCCCAACAGGGAGGTGCCACTGTTGGTTCCGCCAGGAGCTGGCAGCATCTTGCGGCTCTTCTCCGGGGAGATGAAACTGGCTACAGGGAGAAGGGGAGGCGCCTAAGATCGGGCCAAAGGTGGGAGGGGGCCTCGGGTGCATGTCCACCCAGCCTGGGCACCCCGCGTGGTATGTGGCATTGGTGTGGGCACCACTGGCCCTTACAAAGCAGAATGTGTCCATGCCACCACTGGCTGGCACCACCTCCATGCCAGCCGGCACCGGCCTGTGCAGCCTCTAACAGGAAAGCTGCCTCTGGTGTCGGGACCCACATCCATGTCCTGCTGGGCCAGGAGGGTGGGCTCATGCGGTGGTCAGCGTGTGGACCCCCACTTAGCTCTCCCTACATAGATATGGTGGAGCACCCGCCCAGCCCCCCACCCCCGGTGTGCAGGGCTGCCTCCGGGTCAAGCATGGCCCGAGGGAGCCCAGGAGTCCAGAAGGCACAGGCTGAGCCCTGGCTGCCCGCCCACAGCAGTGGCCAGTGCCCGTCCCTGGGCAGGCTGGACAAGGCCACGGGCTGATGCAGGGCGCAGAGCCCCCTCCCGCCCCCATAGGCCTCCCCCACCCACCAAACAGGCTGCTGAGTGACGAGTCCGCGGGGTCGCTGGGACACCACTGGGGGTCGTGGGTGGGGGAGGCGATCCAGTCCGGCTGGGGGCTGCTAGACGGGGAGGGGAGGCTCTTGGAGCTGTCGCTGCCGTTCAGCTTGGCTGGCGAGAGGGGCACGCCTTCACCTGTAAGCAAGACCCTGGTCAGGGTGGAGCGCCAGCTGCCAGCCTCTCTGAGCTGCGTGAGGACGTGCCCACTGCAGCACCAGCACAGACACCAAGATGGCAGGGCCCGCACCCCAGGCCCAGACCCAGCCCCACATCCAGAGCCTGCAGGCGCCCCAGACTCAGTCAGCTGGGACCTGCGGCCTGCTGTGGCAGACCCGGGCGCCCCGCGGTGCTGGAGGGGATGCTGGCAGCAGTCGGCAGAGTTGGGCGGGGCTGGCCCTACCATATTGGCCAGAGCTGATGGCGATCTCGATGATGGAGTCGCTGATCTGTGTGGCGGGCTCGCCCTGCGAGAGTACGTCCTCAGGTGGCCCGGGCAGGGAGATGTCCAGCAGAGTGGAGACATTGGGCGGCGAGAGCCGGGCGCGGGCGGCCTCGGCCGTGGGCAGAGGTGCGGAGAGGCCGTTGGGAGGAGCCCTGGGCAGCTCGGAGAGAGCGAGCACTGGCGAGCCCTGCGGGAGACGTGCCCTGAGCTGAAGCCCCCCAGCTCCACGCAGTGGCGCCATTACCACGTGACCCAGCAGCCACCTGCTCCTCCGAGCAGTCCGCACCCTCGGGGACCTACTTCTCCCAAACCGCTCAAGGAGGCAACGTTGAGAGCCCCACTAGGAGGCCGGGACCAGCTCCTGCCGTAGCCAGAGGGGCAGCAGCCAGGGGGGGAACATGGGGAGCATGGCCTGCAGGCTTCTCCTCCCCAGGCCAGAAAGCTCAGGCCTGCCATTAGGGCTGGCGTCTGCCTCTGCCGGCCTTGCAGGGGAGGGACGGCCCAGGCGGCGGCGGGTGGAGGGCCAGGCTCCTGGGCGCACCGGCTGGGCCGACGGAGCGGGGGCGTCAGCTGGGGACTCGGCCGGGCGGGGCTCCCAGGCGGCTGCTCTGCGCAGCGGCTGACGGGGCTCTACCTGGAAGCCGTCCGTCTCGGGCTTCTGCTCCGGCCTCGAAGGGACGCTGGTGGACGGGCCGCCTGTGCCCTGGGAGAGCGCCAGGGCCCTGTGAGCAGCCTCCACAGGCGCCCGCCTGGCCTGCCAGGTGCCCTGCCCACCCACAGCCCAGAGCCCAGCCGCAGGAGGCTGCTGCCCAGGGCGCAAACAGGCCTGTGAGCATGCGCAGCCGCCCTCCCGCCACCCGGGCCCTGCACCCAGGCTGCCAGCGCCGGTCCTGGCCAGAAAGCGGCCCGGGATTAGGCAGGCTCTGGGCCCAGCATACAGCCTGCAGCCCGGCCAGCTCTGCAGCCACACCGGCCCCCGACACAGGTGTGCTGGCTTGGGGGAGGGAGCCGGGGAGGACCAGACAGAGCCGTGCTCCCGTGGGTCCCGAGCGCTGCCCCCTCGGCCCTCCCGAGCATTCCCAACGACGTTACTGGGCAGGCTCCAGGACTCTCCTCCGGGGAAGAACCGGGACCAGCCTGACCTGAGCCCAGTGGCCTTGGCTCCCCTGCCCTCTGAAAAGTGACTGTCCCTCCCAGAGGCCAGGACTCCATGAAGCAGCCCCCACCCACTCACCCCCACAGGAGGCAGGGGGTCTGCATTCCGGCGACTCCCACCCGAGTCCTGCCCCGAGATAGCGGCCGTCACCTCGTCCGAAGACAATGGGGAGACGCCTGACAAGCTCTCCGCGTCCAGGACTGGGAGGGGGCTCCCCGGGAAGATGCCGGCGCTCTTGGCTGCCAGGTCGACCGCACCTGGCAACACACGTGGTGTGAGTCTGCGCCCCAGTGAGCCGAGACGTGCCGGTGAGCGCATCCCCTGCTGCCCATCTGTGCATGCCAGAGCAGGTCGCGCAGGTCTGGGGGAAGGAGACTCACTGGCAAGGTGGCTGGTGGCCTGGGGTGGAAGGGCCTTGGGCACGATGGGCCGAGACAGCGCCGCTTTGGTCAGGGTGGACTGGATGGGCCGGAATGAGCCTCTCCCTGGGGACAAGAAGTGGGGAGTGTTGCTGCCGCCTGCAGTGCCAGAACCCAGTTCCTGGCGTCTGAGCCTGTGCTGCCCAGCCAACCTTGGGTGCCTGCAGAGGCGTGCCCTGGCCCGTGGGGGCTGCCAAAGGACCACACTCAGCACCGCCAGCTCCAGAAGCCTTTCAGGGTGATATGCACCCGAGCTGAGTGCCGGGCCCCACCAAGGCCCCCCGGACACCAGAGCGTGGCTCCTCCTCCCAGTCTCCCAGTCAGGGGGACGAGCCCGCAGTGGTCTGGACCCTGCAACAAGCATGCGCCAAGTGTGGACACAGGCCAGTGAGAAGGGACGACGCGGGGTGTGCGTGGCGGCCAACCCGGCCCCAGGCCGGGCCCGCAGGCTCCCTGATGCCTGGCACACAGAACACCCAGCAGCGCCGCGCAGCCCCCCACTCCAGGGCCCCGTCTTCCAAGCTGGCGGGGGGTCAGACAAAGGAACACGCGAAACATCACCAAAAAAGCCAGGGAATCAGACGCCGGCCTCTCCCAAAGGCCAGGCAGGCCAGGGCTCACCCGTCACGGCGGAGTTGGGCAGAATGGAGAAGGAGCACACACTGTGGGGCTGGCTCTCGGACGGCCGGGGCAGCAGGGTTCTCTGCAGGGAGAAACCTGGCCCATCAGGGACAGCCCCAGGCAGTGTGTCCCTGGAGACCAGCGCCGGACAGCGGAAGGACGCCCCAGAGCAGAGGGAGCCAGTGCAACAGGTGGGTGCAGAGGGGGCGCCCGGGGCTCTGACCTGGACCACCAGCGGCTTCCGCAGGTGCCGGTTCCGCAGCTTCCGGGGCTTCGGCAGGAAGAAATCGGACTGCATCTGCGGGGCACAGCATGCGCTGAGCCCCCCGCTCCCTACGGCCCCCCCCCCGCCCCTCGCCGGCCGTGGCGCTCACGCTGATAGAGCTCAGGTGCTGGCGCAGGGCCAGCTCCGCGTCTTTGCTGGGTGAGAAGAGCTTCCCGTGCCGGCTGTTGGGCGGCAGGGTTGTCGGGACGGCAAAGAGGCCGCCGTCCGAGTCGCTGCTTCCTGTGCAGGCGGGACCGGCCACCAGGAGTGGTCGCGGCGCGCTTCTCAGGCCTGGGAGAGGAAGGCTCTGAGCCCTGCTGCGGCAGCGTGGAGGACGGCAGCCGGCTGGGGCCCCTGCGGCACCCCCCGCCCCCCGAGCAGGCGGCGGGCTCCCCGAGGACCGTTGAGGGCAGGACCACACATTGGTGGTGGCTGCACCGTCTGGGAAGGGGCCTGGGGCGCCAAGGCCTCTGCCTCGCCCACCTCTACCTGAGCCTGCATGCGGCCCCTGGCAGCAAACCGAGCGCCCAGAGGCTGCCTGTGAAGAGCAGGCACGGCGGCCAGCACGGAGCAGGAGCTGGCGCCCGGAAGCCCCTGGACGGGACTCTGGCAGCTGTTTCCATCACGACGGTGCCGCCCCCAGCAGGGCCTCCCTGCTCCACCAGCCCGCACGGGACCAGACAGGCACTGCGCCCCGAGACCAGGCCCTCCAAGCCCTGGTGTGGGCCCCGTGCCCACGGCGTGTTCCTGCGTGAGCACCCGCAGCTCAGAGGACATGAAAGGCGCAGGCACAGGCCTCCCCCCAAGGACAGGCCGTCCAGCGCTGCTGTGCTCCAGGCAGGACCTGACCTGGCCTGGCCACTGCCAAGTGCTCTCAGGCAGGTGACCAGAGGCTCCTGAACAGGCCCTGCGAACCCCCACAGCAGCGTGAGGTGCCTGCGGAGGCAGGGCGGGCACGGAGGAGACCTGGTCTCCTGTGACACCAGCTGCGGCAGGCGGGGTGCAGGCCTCACCCCCGGGCTGCCGGGCAGCGGACCCGTGGGAACCATGGCCCAGCCCCCAACACCCCTCAGCAGCCGTGCAGTGCAGGGCCAGGGGGTGCCCGTTCCGCCGCCACTCGGCTACCAGCCACCCCCCTCAGACTTGGCCGGCAAGGCTGGCGCCTCGGGACAGTCCTGCTTGTACTGGGTCCTTAGACCAGGCATCCCAACTAAGTACCCTGAACCCAGCAGCGCCCCAGATGGGGTGACATGTGTGCACGCTGCCCCACGAGATGCGTGTGGGCCGTGGGGTCTGGGCGGAGGCACCCCAGCCCAGGTGAAGGGACACGTCTGCGCAGTCACCCGCCCCCGCCCCACCCGGCCTCACCTGGGGAGCACGGCGTGGAGGTGGGAGAGCAGCTCTTGCTGTTGCGCAGGGCAGACTGGCTCCGGGGGCAGCGAGGGCTCCGGGAGCTGATGGCTACCACCTTCCCCGGAGGGGTGGTTGATGGCTCCTCCTGGGCAGGGCGCGTGGATGCCACAGAACCTGCATTCGCTTCCGGAGCCTGGATGGACAGGGCCAAGATGAGGGCCCCTCAGCAGGGGCAGAGAGCTGAGCCAAGAGCCTGGCACAGGAGGTGGGGGTTGGGGTATCTGAAGCCCCCCTGGGGTTGCTGGCGCTCAGGAAGCAGCCTCCTGAGATCCCTTGAGCCCACCTGCTGGGCTGGGCAGTGCATGGACAGATGTGGGGGCGGGGCGCAGGCGGCGGGGCCCCAGGGCTGAGGAGGGGTGCTAGGCTGCAGGGAGGGGCACCGGGAGGCAAGTGACGTCGGAGCCCTCTAAGAGACCAGCCGCGACCAGAGGAGGAAACGCGTCTGGTTTCCAAACTCGTGCACGAGCTTGGCCCAGGGCCTCCGCGGAGTCGAGGCCCCCACCCCCCCTCCCTGTCCCCTGCCCTGCTCCCCCACAGCCCTCAGGTCCTGGGCAGGCTCCTATCCAGGCGCCCCTGCCTCCGGGTCCCTTTAACTTAGTGGACGCGACCCCACCCCCACCTGCAGTGCTGGCTCTTGGAGCTCGGGGTCCTGGTGCTCCCCCAGACCCTCGCAAATCCCTGGGGCAAGAGGCACCTCAGGAGCCTCCAGCCATGGCGTGGCTGTCCTAGCCGCGTCCCGGTCACCTGTCCAGCGCCTGCCGCCCCTGAGCACGGGCCACAGCGCAGGGTGTGTGGGGAGACGGAGGCCAGGCTCAGCGGCATGTGCTAGGGGCCCAGGGCGTCTGGCCAGTAACCTGGCCCACCCAGCACCCGGGTCTGCACAGGCGCCCCCACGATGGGCCACAACCCTCTATGCCCACCGGGGACCCCCTGGGTCAAGCTGCGGCCGCAGAAAGCTGCTCTTGCCAAGAGCCTCGAGAAGGGGCGATGTCCCCTGCACAGACCATCCCAGCACTGCCCGGCTCAGGGATTGCCCACGGAATGCCAGCCCTGAGAAGGCCCAGCGCCGTGGCAGCTCCTGTCTGTGAAGTTCCCAGCGAAGGCCCGACCCTGCAGTCAGCAGCCCCGGGCTCCCTCCCAGACACCCGCCGCAGCAGGCGCCACCCGGGCTGCGCTCACGCACCGGCCTGGGGTTGACCTCAGTGGAGATGAGGCGCAGGAGGCAGCTGAGGAGCCGCTGCTCGTGGAGGGCGGCGGGCGGGGGGCCGGCGCGGGGGCCCGGGCTGCCAGCCAGTCGTACTCCAGCTGCAGCTTGCCGGGCTTGCCCATCATGAGGTAGACTTCGGCCAGCGTGAGGCCCTCGGAGGTCTGTAGGCTCCAGCCCTCCTCGCGCAACTGCTGGGCCAGCCGGCTGGCAGGGACGTCCTTGAGTGGCCGGGCAGTGGGGGGGCCCTGAGGCGGCGTGGCATCCGCGGGGTTGCCCTTCTCTGGAGGCTCCTCTGCCAGAGCCTCTGTGGAGTCTTTAGTGCAAATGTCTGGCGGGAGCCTGGAGCTGGGCTGAGGCTCGAGGACAGGCAAGGAGCGGCCGGGGGATGGCGGCCCAGACATGGTGAGGTCAGCGGCCTCCGTGCTGCTAGGGACGCCAGTCTCTGGAGAGGTGCACCCGGAAGGCCGGGGGTCCGCACAGCGGCACTGCGCAGGGACGATCAGGGCCTGACAGGACCTCATGTAGCGGGGGAAGGGATCCAGGAGAGACAGCTCGTCCTCCAGGTCCGGCAGCTGGCCACAGGTGCAGGCCGCAGCCCCGGGCTCCCGGGTAGGGCCGTCCCCACCCTCTGCAGAAGGGGCAGGGGGGGTCTTCTCCCGGGGCCCGGGGGCAAGTCTATCAGGAGCATCGGGGCTGCCCAGGCTGGGGCCCGGCCCCTCCCCGGGGGCACTCTCGGGGGAACTCTCCCCGGAGCTCTGAGAGGCATCAGTGGAGACCGGGGGCCGTCCTGACCCCCTGCCCTCAGTGCTGCCCCGCGGGCACCTCACCTGGCCCCTGGCCGTGCCCTGCCCGCTCTGGATGCCCAGGATCTGGGCGGGGGGCAGCGGGTGGGCCTCCCTAGAGCTTTGCTTGCACCGGCCGCCCTCCTGCCAGTGCACGGTGCAGAAAGCCTTGGAGTGCACCACGCGGGCCACCCCCGGCAGCGGCGTTAGCGTGCAGTGCTCCCCGGGGAAAAGGTGCAACGCCACCTTCTCCGGGCAGGGCTCCACGCATGTGTCCTGCAGCTGCTGCTCCTCCAGCGTCTTCCGCTGAACGCTGTGTCAAGGAAAGAGTGGCATGGTGCCCGGGGCCAGCAGGCCCTCCTGGAAGGTGGTCACCCCAACGCACCCTCTCCCGAGACTGGGCGGGCTGGGCCACCCGGGGGGTGCGAGCCAGGTGCTCTGTGCCCCCTGCTGGCAGGAGGTTCTGGCCGCAGCCCAGGAACCAGACAAGGCTCACCTGGGGCAGAGAGAGCTGCCACGGCCTGGTGCTGCAGAGCAGAAGGGGCACCCCGCCCCTGGAGACGGGTGGTTGCTCTGTCCCCCCCCCCACCCCAGCTGCTGCATACCACGGGACCCCTCCAGCGAGAAAGATACAACGCGGACTTCGTGGAGTGCCCACTTCTGTTTCAAAAACTCTATGAGACTGGAGACCTTGCGGTGCAGCTCCACAATCATCCTGCAAGGACAGGCGGGAACCACGACCGTCACGGTCACGCAGGGATGACAGGGGACCCTGGGCACCAAATGAGCAGAAGCTTCGGGGACGGCAGTAAGGGGCAGAGCCTGCAGCCAAGGCCCCAGCCAGCACCCCCGGGCCACGCCTACCTGAGCCGCGGGTTCTGGGCCAGGCCCTGCACGCGGGCCCAGGCGTGGTTGCTGCGGGGCTGCAGCTCCACGGGCACGCGCAGTGGCAGGCGCACAGGCTTCTGGTCCTCCTCATCGCTCAGGCCTGCAGGGGGGAGGGCCGTGATAACCAGACTCTGAGAGACAGGAAGGAGCAGTGGCCAGCGTGAGCCAGACTGGGGGGTGGGGGGGGGTGAGCCAGAGCACTGACCAGGCTGGTCACACAGGGCTGCCTGGACATGGCGTGGCCTGAGCTGGACTTGGTAGATCTGGGCTGCTGGGCCCCCCTACCCCCCCCCACTGGGCCCCCCCCCCACCCCAGGCACGCCCACATACCGTCCGGGTCGCACAGCTTCTTCAGGGCCCGGCACATGGGAGCCTTGATGCGCAGGTTGCGGCCCTTGTAGCGCACGGTGGTGGCCCTGGAAGAGTTGGGAGCACTGAGGCCGCGCAGCAAGGGCAGTGGGGGTAGCCTTGGGCTTAGGGAGGCAGCCCTGGCCAAGCACCCAACACCCCTGCGCTCGTGCTCGTCCTAGCAGCAGCCCCACTGCCCGAAGCAGCCTGGCCTGACCGGCCGCTGAGGGCCACAGGCCGTGCTGACCCGGATGCGCATCGCTCTGGCCACCCCCACCCCCATGGGGATGCCTGGAGGTGTGCCTGCCTCTGTCGGCGGCCACAGAGGCCAGAGCCAGCATCCCTGCCCCGGGAAAGCCCACCTTTCCCTCCTCCCTCCCACCTCAGACCCCACCTGCGGCACCCCTCTGCCTGGCCCAGGGCCACTGGGAGATTGGGCCAGTGCGGCTTGGGCACGTGGGGGCGCAGGCTGCTCCTGGCCCAGGGCTGGCTGTGCAGGACAGTGAACTGGGAGCATTGGGCCGGTGCTGCTCCCCCTCCCCAGCAGTGGCTGGGAGGAGCTGGGGCACTACACGGTGCCAGAGGCCGAGTGCCATGCTCCAAGATCCATCCACCTGCCCACAAGGGCGAGCCGGGCAGCAGAGGGGGAGCCCTGGAAAGGGGGGCTGCAGGGCTCCTGCTTCACACAAGCTGAGGGCCTGATGCTCCATCCCTGCGAGGGAGGTGGCTCTCCAGACACCACGCTGGGCCTCCCAAAGCCCTGCGCCCACAGGGCGCCAGCTGGTGTTCCTCAGGCCAGATGGGCAGGCAGCCCCGCGGGGCAGGAGCATGCCAGCCGCCAGCACAGCAGGCCCAAAGCCAGCCCGCCTTGTGCACGACAGAGGGCGTCCACCCATCCACCTCCCTCCCCTGCGTCTACCTGCCGCCTCCCCGCCCTCCTGTCAGCCCCCGGCACTGGGCTCCAGCACAGGCCCCATGTGTGGAGCTGAGTCTGGGAGGCATGACCACAGGAATCAGCAACGCTGTGAGCAGACCCTGCCAGGCGCCGCAGGGAGCAGGCACGGTCCCCACCCCAGAAGCGCCAGGCCCAAGCATGTCTCCTGTCAGGTGCTGCCCATGGGCCAGGGCCACACCCCCCACACTGGAGACTCCACAGACGCTGGATCCATGACCAATCTCGCCAGGTGCTCCGAACGTGGGCCCAGTTGGGGTGGGGAGGAGCCGTGTGCTAATATAACAGGAGAGGCGCCCGAGCCTGGACAGCCAAGTGAGCCGGAAAGGCCCTGGCCAAGGATAGACAGACGCCCTCCCCAGTCGGCGTCGGCTCTGCCAACCCCTGCTGAAGGGCTATGCACTGGGCACGCTCCAGGGCCACTGGGCCCTCCTGACCTTGGCTCCCAGTCTGAGGCCACACGGGCACCAAGATCCTGGCCCCAAACATGGTCCACTCTCTTCGCCCTGACTACAAGCACCGCTCAGCTGCGCCCCCCACCCCTGCTTCCAGGGCCGGCGCCCAGCGCCCCTCACTGCACCAAGGCAGGCAGAGCAGGAGAGGGGACACGGGGGGAGGTGGGGGGGGGAATGAGGATGGGCCTGAGCCTCTCCGGAAGCTGGCAGGCGGGCAGCTCCTGCCCAGGGCAGAACATGGCGTCTGGACGCCTGCGGGGGAGAAAGCCCGTGGAGCCCGAGTCTGGCCCCACGCCTTAGGGCTGGCCGAGCAGAGGCCCCGGGTCTGTGCCGAGGCTGACGCCCACTCACCCGGCCTGAATGAGCTCGTTGAGCTTTGTGGCGTTCTTGTCATCCATGCCTGCAGGGGACGGCAGTATGAGCGGACCAGGGGACGGGGAGCCAGACCCCACGGCCGGCCCTACTCCGGGCGTCCCAGGGGTAACCCCGCGCGGCGAACTCACAGCCCCCGATCTTCTTGCGCAGCTCGCCGTAGCAGATGAGCCCGTACAGCTCCTGTGACGACTTCTTCAGGCCGCGCGAGAACACTGTGGGCGGGGGTGGGGGGAGAGACAGACCTCAGGGGTGCTAAAGCGGGAGGACACTGTCCGGAGAACCCAAAAGTCAGCCCCAGCAGGCAAGGTTGCGAGCTGCAGCAGGACGCCCGCCGGCTCCTGGGGCCCAACACACACAGCACCCGCCCGAGACCCACGTCAGCCCCTGGCGGCCCCATCACAGGCTCCTCCTGGTGCACACGGATGGGCTCTGCGTGGAAATAAAGCCACGAGGTGAGGGGGTGTGGCCAGGGGTGAGGAAGCCGCTCGGCAGAGATCACCGCTTGGGCGTCTGCAGAGACCCCTGCACCCCAGAGCCTCGGACGGGCCTGGCAAGGTGGTGCTCATTCCTCTCCACACCTCACCCCCAGGGCCTCCCGACCCCTGCACCGAATAGCCATCTCCTTGGACGTGGATGGCCAAAGGCACAAGGGCCACAGACCTCCCGGCGGCTGCTGAGGACCCATTGAGGCATGACCGGGAGGAGCCGGCAGCCCCGCCCATGCCAGGAGGGAGGGTGACACCAGCGTCAGCGGCTGGACATCGGGGCACCCGTGCGCACGGACAAGGGAGCGGGCACACGGCATGACCGGTGCCGGGGCCATGAGGGAGGATGGCCAGAGCTGGACATGGGCCGGGGCCTTCTCACACCAGCGGCGCGGGCCCAGCTTGTGCCTGCGCTCTCCTGGAGAGATCTTGGGGCGGGGCAGAAAGGCTGCGGCTGGAGCAAGGGTGGGAACTCCTCAGGGCCCTGCGTGTGGAGAAACCTTTAGACATGGATCCCCAAGCAGACAAAGGGCACGTGGGAGGTGGCCCAGGGAGGCCGGGTGGAGAGGCAGCGCGGAGCCGGGGGCCAGAGACCTGCAGAAGGCAGAGAGGCTTCACGGGGCCTGGAGACCGCCCCTTCGATCAAGGGCCGGACACAAGCCACACACGGGCCAGTACGGTCTGCAGGGACTGGGTGGGGGGAGAGGGCGCCTCTGGGGTGGGAGGCGCCAGGGCTAGGGAGCTGCGGCGCCGCGGACTCAAAGGCGGCCAGGCAGGCGGCGCAGGGGCAGTAAGGGCCTGCGGGGCAGCGAGGGTGTCTGAACGCTGCGGTGAGACCGCCAGAACCTGCCGCAGGTGGAGGACCATGGAGATCGCGTCGGGACCGCAGCATGGCTGCTGCCCAAACCCCGGAGGCTCCCCTGGGCCCCGCTGCCAGACCCAGCGCCCTGAGCCTCTGACACGGCGCCCACAGAGCAGCTTGCAGACCGTGGGCCCCAGCACCAAGAATGTCGACCACCCGGCTGCGGCGCCGGCAGCGCAGCCTGGCAGGGACAGAGCAGGGACCCTGGTCCTGCCCCAGGAGCCCGGGGAGGCCTGCGGCAGGGCTCGGACAGAGGCGGCAGGGTGGCAGCGGGCTGGGCTCTCGGCAGAGATGAGGAAGTGTGCGAGGACCCCAGCACCCCTGGCGGGGCTGGACCGCAAGCTGTTACTCGACAAGCGTCGGGAAAAGCAAAGAAGTCGGTGGAGCCTGAGCGGCAAGAGGAGGAGGTGGCGCAAGGACGGCAGGAGCGACACAGACACACGGTCCCCTCGGCGTGGGGCGCCTGGGCGGCACCCCAGCATGGACACATCGGCCAAAGGGGCGGCCCTGCCGCAGGCAGAGGCGTAAGCTGCAGGCCGCTCCTGGCTCCCGGGGGCTCCGTCGTCTCAGCCTCCGGCACGGCCACCCCCAGCCAGGAGCAGGCCCCATGCCGCCTCTCGCCTCCAGAGCGGGACACGGGCCCCGAGCGCTCACCGTTGTCAAAGTCGATGTACTTAGTGATCTTGTGCCAGGTGCGGTAGTAGAAGTGCCGCACCTGCTCCTTGTTCTTCACCATGCCGGCCGGCTTGCCCTTCTTGCGGTACTTCAGCGCGATGTTGTTCTGGATGGCTTCGAAGTCCTTCCCGTGCTGTAAGACAAGCCCAAGGGTCGAGACGGGGCAGCCCTGTTCTCGGGGGGTAGCCATGAGCAGAGCCCCCCACCCGCACTCCCTGGAGCCTGGGGGGCCCGGCCCAGTGACGCAGGCAGGGCAGTCAGAGCACAGGGGTCCCCTCAGCAAGGCGTGAGCAGGAGCGAGAACGCCGGCCGCCCCCACGCACGCAACTCCAGCCCCGCGCGTGGTGCCCAGCACCTCAGGCGCCACGAGCCTCACGCTTGCCCGCCGTGCTCTGAGCGCACAGCCCTGGGCCTGAAGGAAGCGGCCGCAGGCTTGCAGGGCGTGGGGTCCAAGGTGGGGCCGGGCCCGCGAGCTGGGCGGCACCGGGAACAGCACTCCTCCCGCAGCACCCCACCCGCCCCGCCCCCGGTTCGGGAACGCCTTCAAGACCACAAGCTAAAGCACCCAGGAGTACCGACGCTGGACCAACGCTTTAAAATCAACGGCAAAGCCGCCAAAGGCAGGCCCTCCTCCAGGCCCAGCCCCCTGACCCCTGCCCTGGCCGCTCAGGACCCTGCGGTGTGCCGGCCCCGCTTCCTGGTGGCCGTCTGAGCCGGCCTCGCTCACCAGGGCCCCGGCCGCCCACCCCCTCAGGCTCCGTCTCTGCCGAGGTGGCCTCGCACAGGGCTGCCCAGAGAGACCCGGGAGGGCTCTCGTGCCCACCCGCGTCTCCATCTAAAGCTTCAACAAGCTCTGAAACCACCCGCTGGCCTGGAAGCCTGCCCCGGAGAAGGCCGGGACTGCCTCCCCGGGAGGGGCGCGAGTGGGTCCCGATTAGGCACCAAGCCTCTTAGCGAAGCCCCGAATCACGCGCTTGCCTCCTGCATCCAGGCAGCCCCCCCGGTAGAGCCAGGCCCTCCCCGAGAACGGTCACGCGGAGACTGGCATTGTTCCAGGCCAGTGCAGTCCCTGGGCCGGGCTGCGACCCGTCTTCACGCCCCGCTGCTGCTCAGGGGCTCCGTGGGGACCAGGGGCGGGAAGACGCGCCTCCGTGCCAGCCCCGGGACGACCACGGCAGGGCAGACGCCACAGCAGAGGGAGCCCCAGCCCCCGGCCCGCGTGCTCGAGACCCTGAGGCCCACTCACTCACAGGCCTCCCCCACGCGGGCCAGACCTTCCCAACCAGCGGGCAACACGACAAGGCTCGCTGGGCACGTGAGCCCGGGGAAACACCACACACCAGAAAACCATGAAGTGCGGACGGCGGGCCTCCCTGGTGGCCTAGGAGTTGCGTCTCCGGCTGCCACGGCCACGGCCCAGGTCCATCCCCAGCCAGGAGCTGACCCACGGGGGCACGGCAGACCTCTCCTGTCTCCCCGCTGCTCCCCTCAGCAGTATGTCTCAGGGGATCCGCCAGCTCTGCTCCCCAGGCTCTGGGGAGTCCTCTCACCCCCACCGCTGCCCTGCACCCCAGATCTCACACGCGGGCCCCAAGCCTCTAGAACAGCATCCATTTATCGGGACACAGACGAGAACAAGCAAAACGGCTCAGCTGCGGAGAGCTGGGCCCGGCCCCACAGCAGCCCGCCCGCCCGCCCGATGAAGGGGCGGCTGCTGTTTGCTGCCTCCAAGGAGCCTAGCGCCAGGGGGCAGAACGGCCTCGCCACCGCCACTCACCTCATACAGCCCCTCAAAAAAGGTGTTCTTGTCCTCGGTGCTCCAGGACTCCCACTGGCGCCGCACCTTCTTGCCCTCCTCCTTTTCGCCACTCGTGGGCCCCAGGCTCCGGGAGGAGGAGCGCGAGCCCCCTGCAGGGGCGGCAGAGGCAACCCCCGGCCCATTTCCAGATGACGAGCCGCCCCCGTCGACTCCTGTGGGAGAGACAAAGCAGGTCTGCCTGAGGGCCCCTCACAGCCCCTGCGCTGACACCAGAGCTCGGGGCACGGCTGGACGGCACCACCCGAGGGGCACCACAGATGCCTAAGCCGCAGGCCAGGGTGGAGACAAACACCCCCCCACACCCACCCCCCACACACATCAGGAGGCGCCAAGAAACGGGAAGCAGGGTACCAAGGCCGCCACAGGGCGTCTGCCTGATGTAGACAGGGCCAGGCGCAGACCCTCTGCACCAAGGCCGTGCAGAAGCTGATACCGCATGGCCGCTCCCGCGGGAGGTGCCTCCAGCCACCCGGCGCCACGCAGCAGCCAAGCGAGGCCCTGTGGATCCTCCCCCTAGAAAGGCTTCTTCTGCGGCCTCCCCCCGCCAGGGGAACAGCCCACCCGGGGTTTGCTCCTGGAGCTGAGGCCCAGGAGAGAGGAGGTCTCCGCGCAGCCCACAGAAGACCCTGGGTGCACCCCTGTCCTGTGACGCACCCGCCCTGCTGAGGACCGGCCCCCACACGCCCCGGGAACGGCGTTTAGGCGACGTGAAGTGTCGCGAGCCTGGAGACCACCCAGCTGCACCACAGACCCCCGACTCTGCCCGCACGGGTTCCTCCTCGCATCCAGCACAGGCGCAGCGCCGGCCGTGAGACAGCCTGGCCGCAGGCCCGCGGCCAGCAGGACCACACACCTGGGCCACCAGGGCTGGCGCCGCGCCAACCACCAGCGGGCAACACCCCACGCGGCCCACGCTGGGAAGGCACCCGCCTTTTCTCCCCCGCGGGCGCAGCCTTTCCAGCGGCCGAACGCCCCTGCCCAGGACCGCTGCAGGCTCCCGACGTTACCTAGCACCCCGTCCCGCGTCTGACCGCTCCCCAGAGAACACGGGACAGGGGCTCCCCAGGGCGAGGTCACGCCTCAGCCTCCCGGGCCTGGCCCAGGCACAGCTGGCGGAGAGCACACGGCCCCTCCCTGCTCTGTGCTTGAGAAGCAGGGCCACGCGCAGCCCAGGCGCAAAACTGCCCTGGCTTCAGAAAACCTGTCTTCCGGAACATTCCCAGAAACAGGAGAGGGAGCGCGCAGCGCCCATGTGACGGAGCAGGCTCTGAGAGAAGCCCGAGGTCAGATGCGCCAAGCGACGTCCAGCCGCACGTTGACTGGCCTGCCCAGTGCCGGGGAGAAGCTCCGGCGGCCCTGAGGGAGAGGAGGGGCCCTGGGGGAGGCACTGCTCCGGAGGGGGCCCCGGGGCCAGGGACAAGAACCGGAGCCCAACGGGCCGCCGCCCTCAGACCCCTGCGCAAATGGCACCGTGCCACCTGCAAGGGCAGAGCAGGTCCCGGCTCATCCCCCACAGCAGAGCCCCTCCGCGGGGCCCTGCGGGGTCGGGTGCGCAGGTCCAGCGAGCCAGAGGGCCCGGCGCCAGCGCTCCGAGTGGCCACCGACACCGGAACCTGGCGCTGAAAACCGCCTTCCTCACCGACCGCACCCCAGACCCGAGAGCCTGGGGCCTGGGCTCCCGGGGGTGGGGAGGAGGCTGGACGCGCCACCTGGCGCTGCGTCCCTGGCGGTCCTGCGGGCTCCCCAGACGCCTCGCCTCAAGCGGCCGGGCCCCACGCAGACACCTAAGTGGCCGCTTCGCCACAGGCGCCGGACACGCAGGGAGCGCGCGGGGCAGGCGTGGGCTCAGCAACAACGGGCCCAAAACGCAGACACCGCAGCGCCCCGCTCCCTCCACCAGCCGGACGCGCAGCTGGGGGGTGGCCCAAGCGCCAGGGCGGCTCCAAGGCGCGGCTGCTGCGCCTCCCGGAGCCTGGACGCGGGCAGGAGGAGCCAAGTCTGAAGCGGCCTCCCTGGGGGCTCGCTGCCCGCCGCCCTCTACCCCGGGGGTCTCCACGGCCCCTCCCCCGCGCCCTCGGCCGTCCCGGGGGCCCCCACTTCCTCCCCCCCTTGAAAACGCGCCTCAGAGCAGCGTTGCCCAGGCGGCCGCAAGGCCAAGGCGGCAGCGGCCCCTGCGAGAGAAGGGGCGCCCCCGCCCCCCACCCCTACCTTTTCCGCGGGGCCCCGCGCTGCCCGCGCCGCTGCCCCCCGCGCCGGCCGCGTCCTTCCGGAGCCGCTTGCTCTGCGGCCGCACGCTGGACCTGAGGAAGTGGTGCTGGTCCTGCGGGCCGGCGGGCGGCGGGGCCGGGCCCGGGGGGTCGCCGCCGTCCCGGGGGCTCCGGGCGTCCCTCTTTGTGCCGCCGCCGTCCTCAGCCGCGTCCCCCGCGCCGGCGCCCTCGCCGTCCAGCGACTCGTCCTCGGCCGGCCGCTTGCCCAGCTTCTTGAGCCCGTCCTCCGCGCCGCCGGCGTCGCCCAGCTTCACTGTCATCCTGGCCGGGAGGGGACGGGGGCCGGGGCGCGCCCGTGAGGCCGCGGAGCTCCCCCGCGCGCGCCCCGCGCAACATGGCGGCCGTTGTTTGTTCCGCGCCCGCCCGCCCGCCCGGCCGCCGCCGCCCCCGGCCCCCGCCCGCCCGCCGCCGCCCCGACCCCCGCTCCGCCGCTCGGCGCGGGGGCGGCGGAGGGGCGCGGGCCCCGCCCGGGCCAGGAGGGGGTCCCGGCCCCCGCCCCGCGCCGCGCGCGCCCGGCCGGGCCCGCGGCCTCCCGGGCCCCGCCGCGGGCCTCGGGCGCGCACCTGCCCGGGGCCGGCCCGCCGGGAGCGGCAGCGGGCGCCGCGGCGCGGGCCGGGGTCCGGCCCCCGGGGGCGCGGGGGCCGCGCGTCCCGCCAACAAAGGCGCCCGCGCGGGGCCGGGCCGGCGTCGCCCCGAAGCCGCAGTCCGGGGGCGCCGGCCTCCGCGGGGGACGGGGGGAGCCCGCGGCCCGGGCCCCGCCGCGGGGCCGCCACAGGTGCGGGCGCGGCCGCCGCGGGGCGCGGGCTCGGGCCGGGCTCCGCGCGAGGCGCGGGCGGCGGCGCCCGCGGGGGTCGCCGTGGCCCCGGGGCGGGCGCGGGCCGGCCGCGACGCCGCCGCCCGCGAGGCCCGGCCCCGCCGCGCCGCCCGGACGCGCGCCAGGCCGAGGGCGGGAGCCGCCGCCGGGCCGTCCCGCCGGCCGCACACAAAGGGAGCGGCGCCGCCGCCCGCCGCCCGCCGCCCGCCGCCCCGGTCACCTCCTGCATCCGCGCCGCGCCGCGCCGGCCTCTCCGGCCCCGGGGCCTCCCGGGCGCCCGCGCACCCCCCGCGCCGCGCCGCGCCGCGCCGCTCAGTCCCCGCGCCGGCAGCGGCCCGCGCGCCCCCGGCACCTCCCTGGCGGCGGCGCGGCGGACGGGCTCGGCCCGCTCGCTCCCAGGCCCGGCCGCGGCGCTCGCGGCAGTTCCGGCTACGGCGGCCGGCGGAGACGGAGGCGACGCGCGGCGCGGGCGGGGCGGCGCGGGCGGGGCGGGGCGGCGCGGGCCCGAGCACGCCGCGGCGGCCGGCGCGCGCGCCCCCGGCGCGCTGCCATTGGTCGGCCGCGAGCGCGCGCGCCGGCACGCACGGCGCGGGGGGCGGGCCCGGGCGCGGGCGGGGCCGGGACGCCGGGCTCGCGGCCGGGCGGGACGGCGCGTCCCCGCGGATTGGCCGGGCCGCAGCCAATGGCGGCAGCGCGCGGGCGGCGATTGGCCGCGGCCGTGTTGACGGATGCGTGAGAAGACGGCGCCGCCGCGGCTCCTGCCCGCCGCCGGCGCGGGCCCGGGTGTCAGCGGAGAAGCGTCCGGCGCGCCGCGGGGTCCCGCGCCCGGCCCTGAGCGCCGGGAGGCCCCGCGGCCCGCCCGCCCCGCCCCGCCCCGCCCGCCGTCTCGGGCCGAGCGGCGCGCCCGGCGCCTGGGCAGCGCCTCCCGCGGGCGCCGGCGGCGGGGGCAGCGGGCGGGCTGGGCCGCGACTGCCCCGCCCGGGGCGACGCTCGCCCGCCCCCGATCGTCCTCGGCTCTTCCCGGCGCGCTCCGCGCGGCCCCGGCCGCCGCGCCGCGCCTCTTCGGCTGTTTCCGCGCTCGGCCCGCGGGCGTTGCCACGGCGACGAGCGGCGGCGCCCGGCCGGCGGAGGTGAGTGCGGCCGCGGGCCCGGGCGTCCGCGCGCCGGGACGGAGGGCCGGGATCGCCGGGGCGGGGCGGGGGCGGGCGGCGGGCCTCGGCCGGCCGGGGGCTCCGCTGCGAGCCGCGAGGTGCCGTCCCGGGCGCCCTCCCGCTCGGGCGGCGCCTCCTCCCGGCGCGGGCGCCGCCGCGGCCGGCGCTGGGTCTCGGGCGCATCCCGGGGACTGCGGCGCGCCCGTGGGCTGCTGCCCGCGCGGGGCCCCCGGAACGCCGCGGGCGGCCGGGTCTGGGGCCTCGTCGCAGGCGCCCGCCGCCCGCCGCCTTCGGGGAGACGCCGCCGGCGGGGAGCAGGCGCCCCTAGGTGGCCCCGCGCGCTGGGGCCAAAGCCGCGCCCCAGGCCAGGGCCCCGCGCGAGCCGCCGCGCCCCTCGCCCGGCGCGGACGGGACCCCACCTGCTCGCGGCGCGGGCGGGGCACAGCGAAGCACCCCCGGGTGCGGTGGGCGGGCCGCGGCCTCGGGGAGGGGGCTCCGTAGCCCAGAGGCCGCCGCGGGCGTGAGGGTCCCCCGGGCGCTGAGCTGCGGCTTCAGCCGTTTCGGGCCGGCTGGCCCGGCCGCCGCCCCCCTCCGCGCCCAGGGGCGCCGGTGACGCCGCGCGGCTCTCCCCCGGCTGCAGACGCGCCATGGCCCTGTACTTCGACCACCGGGTGGAAGCCCCCGACTGGGCCGGGCCGCCCTCCCACATCAGCTGGCACCCCGTGCACCCCGTCCTGGCCGTCGCCTCTGTCAGCAGCGCCGCGGGAGGCCACGTGGACCTGTACCTGGAGCGCGTGAGTGCCCCCCCCCCGCGCCCCCCGCGCCCCCGCGCCCCCACCCCACCTAGGCCTGACTGTTGTTCTTGGTGTGTGGGAGGCGTGTGAGGTGAGGTGCGGTGTGTGTGATGCGTATGTGGTGTGACGGGGTGGGAGGTGTGCGGTGAGGTGTGTGTGGAGGGGTGTGAGCTGCAAGGGGGGCCGTGAGGTGTGTAGTGGGGTGTGATGGGCGTGGCAGGTGTGTGCTGGGAGGTGTGTGTGGGCTGCGAGGTGTGGGGCGTGTGAGGTATGTGGCGGGGCGTTGGTGTGAGGTGTGGTGTGTATGAGATGAGGTGTGTGGGGTATGTGGGGGCGAAATAGGGCATGTGTGAGATGTTTGGGGTGTGAGTGTGCTGTGCACGGGTGTTTGTGGGGTGTGAGATGTGTAGGGTGAGTGTGAGGCATGGGGGTGTGAGATGTGGGGGGTGGGAGGTGTGTATGGGGGTATGAGGTATGGGGGGAGGTGTGGAGTGGGATGTGGGGGGGTATGAGGTGTGGGGGGTGTGAAGTGGGGGGTGCGCACACAGCCGTCTTCTCACTTCTTCGTGGAGGAAGCAACCTCGTCGGGCCCTGGGGCTCGGACTCCCTGACTGGCGCTGCTCCCCGCCGCCCTCAGCTCTGGGGCCTGCGTTCTCGGGAGCGCCCAGGACAGTCCGCGCACCTGCCCCCTGGCCCATCTCCTCCACCCTCACCCCGGCCCCCCGCAGCTCTGAGGCCAGCGAGGGCCAGGGCTTGGCAGGTCTGCTCTGAGATCTGGGGGAGGATGGGGCCGGCCCCATCCCAGCCTCTGCTGGCGGCTGGCAGTCTTGGGGGCCCCTGGCTCGTACCAGCCTCGCCCCGTCTCCCTCCTTTGTCCGCGCTTCCGCTCAGGTGTCCGAGGGCGCCGTCATGGGGCCAGGGCTGTCCCAGGGACTTCACCCTAGTGTGACCACCTGCAAAGCCCCTGTTTGCACGCCAGGGCCTGTCGCCCGTACCGCGTGTTTGGATTGCACGGTTCAACCCACGGTAACGGTTTAGAAGCTTTTCCCACTTTCACGTCTCTCCCTCGATGCCCAGTACACAGCCCACCTCACGCTGCACCCAGAAACCCGGGTTCCCTCCCACGCACCCCTCCACCCTCTGCTGTCCCTCCATGATGGCGCCAGCGCTGGGCGGCCCACACATCTGTGTGACAGGCCTGCGTGCTTTGGGGCCATCTGCTGTGCTGAGCTCCCGGGAAGTCCCAGAAGCACTCCGGGGGCTGAGGGGCCCGTCTTGCCTCTACCTCCTACCCTTGGTCATCCAGCCCTTGCCAGCCCTTCACCTTTCCCAGCGGCACCCTGAACTCACCGGGCCGCTCTGCTCCCCCTCCTCGCCCGAGTTTCAACATCTCGGGGTGACCCATGGACCTGTGCCTCCCACTCCTCCACTTCTGAGCTGCAGATGAACGGTTCAGCTGTCACCGGCGCACCTGGAGCATAAACGCCAGCGCCCACAGCTTCGCGCACATTTTTCTGCACGAGCATCAGGCCACCAGCCTAAGAGTCCCCTTGTCCCGACGCCCAGACCCGGGCTGGGGCTGACGGCGGGAACCGCCGCTGGGTTTCTGGCTCCACCTGAGCCTCTGAGGAAGAAGCACAGCCTGAGGCAGCGGGTACCCATGGCCACCCCACTCCCCTGCTGCGACTCCACGCACACGTCACTCCTGGGCCGTGGCCCCAGCGCCCTAGGCAGGCCGCCCGTCTCCCTCCACATCCCTCCTCGGCCCCCAGCGCGGCTTGCCTTGTGCCCGCCGCACCCACTTCCTCGACCTTTTGTGTAACGGCCGCTGAGGTCTTCAGGTGGAAGCGGCTCAGTGGCCACTTCTGCAGAAGTCTTCCCTGCCCCGTCGGGACGCACCCTCCCTCCTGTGGGTTGGAGGCGGGACACCAAGGGGACCCACGGTCGGCTGGCCCGTGGCCTGGCGCGCTGACTCAACCCCTTCAGAGGAGCGGCCTCTCTCTGGGGATCAGAGAATTCAGACGCGTCTTGTAAAATTTTGGGATAAGCGTCATTACGTTTCAAGGAAACAGAGCTTTAAAATTCAGAAAACTTTTTAATGTTGAGGTAAGACGGGGCGCACTTTCTGAGGGCGCCGGGATGGCAGGCTTGGCCGTCATGGTTTAGCGAGTGACAGGCAGAGGTGGCTGTGGCAGGCGTGGCTGAAGGTGCTGGGCCAGCCCGGCGGACGAGCTGAGCACAAACCGAGCTAGTCGGTGTGAACACGTGTGCCCTGAACCCGCTTCCCTCGAACTTCCTAGGAAACACGATGCGCAGGCACGATGCCATTAGCTGTCAAGCGTGACGTGGCGACACGGGGCACAGCCTGGGGGACTGCGTTCTTAGAGGACAGCGGCTTGCCAGCCCCATTGCAAAAATAACGGGTCTGACCCTGAAGGGGACTGGCGGTAGCTGGGCCTTGCTCTGGGAACGCTGGGGTCTCCGAGCTTCGTCTGCCTGACCCGCTTACCGTTTTTGTGAATAAAGTTTTATTGGAAGCCAGCGAGCACAGAGCCTGCTCCTTCCCACGCGGGCCCATGGGGTTGTCGCTGACCTGTGGGCCAGGCCTTCACCCGGGGCACCCCAATGGAGCTTCAGTAGGGCCTTTCCTCTGCCAGCTGCTCTCAATTTTGCGCGTGAGCCAGGAGCTCTCAGAGCAGCTGCCACTGACTGTGACACAGCGTTTCCTTGGTGTCCACGCAGGGTGAGCATGTGCCCGACACGCACATGGAGAGGTCCTTCCGGGTCACCTCCCTGAGCTGGCACCCCACACGGCTGGTCCTGGCCGTGGGCTGGGAGACCGGAGAAGTGACGGTGTTCAACAAGCAGGAGAAGGAGCAGTATCCGGTGCCCCCGACGCACACAGCCGACGTCACTGTTCTCACCTGGAGCCCCAGTGGGAGCTGCCTGGTGTCGGGGGACAGGGTAAGCGGGCAGCGCTGGAGGTGTGGCCGCCAAGCGCAGGGGACCTTGTGGGGTTGGTAAAGGCTCCCTTCAGACCCAACGCCAGCAGCAATCTCGGGGGGGGGGGGGGGGGGGCGAGGCCCCGCCCCCGCCTCGCTCTCCAGCTCCCTCTCCCGACTCGGCTTCTGGTCTCGGGAGGAGCAGCGCCCCTCGGCTGTGGGGGCTTCGCGGCCGTCCCTCTACCAGTTTGCTTCCCTTCATTCCGGAGGGTTTTCTTTTTTCCTCCATTCCTTTCCCGCTCAAGGACGGCGCCCAGCCCAGCCCACCTCCGTCGCTGGCTGCCCGCACACGCAAGGAGTAAGAGTTCGAGGTCACCGTGCCACGTCCTGTCCGGACCGTGCGCACACTGTTCATTGCTCAGGCATGAAGAGCGGCCCAGTCCGGGCCGCCCAACCTCGGGACGGGAGCACCCCGTCCTCCCAAGGAGGCTGAAGCCTGTCCTGGCCCTGGTGTCGTGGACTCAGGCCGGAAGGAGACAAGCAGAGCCACGCCGAGATGCCATCCCCCGCGCGGTCACTAGGGAGACCACCGCAGGCTGGCCCGCCCTGAGCCCACCGAGCGTCCCCTCCAGGAACCGGCTCCCGGAGGTCTGGGGCTGGCGCTGCGGGGTCTGCACTGGCGCTTCCCACCCTGATGACAAAGCATCGCTCACCGGGTTCCAGCCCCCTGACCTGCCGGCCTCTGCCCCGGACCAGCACGGCCAGGGAGGTGGCAGGACCCCAGTAGGGGATGCCGGGTGGACGTCTCAGGAAGCAACCTGGAAAATTCTAGGGTCAAGAAAGTTCTGGACGTTAGAACAAGTGCGGGCGGACTGCCCGGGAAGGAAACATTTCATCTTCTGTCCTCGCCTGCATTTGACCCACGCGCGTTTCATTCTTTAGTTTTTGTTAGTTTTTACCTTGAGGAGTTGCTGCAGAGGAGCTGTTGGCGCTTTTCACTTGTCGCGTTCACGGAGTTGGCAAAGTCCAGGACACTCAGCGCCCCGAGAGCGTGACTGACGTGCGTGCGCTCACGACACAGCTTCGGGGGCTTGCTGCGTGGGCTGCTTTGACTGACGTCCTTTCGGGATCCTGTTCCCGTGCGCCGAGGTGGTGCTGCCCGGCGCGGGGCACTCAGAGGTCAGAGGACGGGCCTGCTCGCCCAGCTGCCCCAGCTGGAAACTGCCCAAGGAGTGCGGGGTCGGGGCAGAGGAGCCGAGGCCGCCAAATCCTGCCCGTATCCCCAGACGGGGCCTGACAGGGCCGCCCTCCCTCCCCGGGGCTGTGCGGACTCGGCCGGGGGCATAGCCCAGGAGGCTAGATTGACCGTGACACCCTCGCAGCACCCACGTAGCAGTTTGTGTGGGTTTCCAGCCAGAAAGGACGGGTCTCCTGGGCGGGGCAGAGTTTCGTGTGGGCGGAAAACGGGCCTGGAGGGGCTCATGCCGGAAGCAGGGCCCAGCTCACCGTAGGGCGGCGCCCGGTGGCCTGGCCGGGCTGCAGCCGCCCCCCAGAGTGAAAGCCAAAGGTCCGGCGCCATGTGCCCAAGGAGACCACCAAGTGGGCAGGAGTTGCCCCTGGAAGATCTCAAGCACCTCACACCATGACTCCGCCCTCGTGCCCCCGGCTGTGCAGGAGGGAAGGGCCCAGCCACACAGCAGGGACAGCCTCGGCCAGGAGTGGAGGTCTGCAGCAGCCGTCAGCGAGGCTGTGGGCCTCTGTGGTCCCCCAGACCCCAGCAGGGCTATGCGGACCAGCCACCCCCGCCCCGAACTGCCAGGGTCATCAAGATCAGTGCGCCTAAGACCCCAGCCGGCCCAGGGAGCATGGGGCACCACACATCGGGCCTGGGCCGGGCCTAGGGCAGGGAGGTGTGGGGGGCAGAGGCTGCAGGCATTGGGGGGACTGGGGCGCGGCAGCAGCGCTGTGTCGGCTCAGGCTGCGACCTGCACCCACGTTGAGGCTTCAAAGTGTGGCGGGGTCCCTGAGTCACCCTGCCGCCACCTGAGTCGGCTCACTGGTCGGGGCACAAAGTGCTGGGGCTGCTCACCTGCTGCCGCCGGGAAGGGGTTACGTGCCCCTCCACACCCTCAGTGTTGGCTTTTCCAGCTTGGCGTCCTGCTCCTGTGGCGGCTAGACCAGAGGGGCCGCGTGCAGGGCGCGCCCCTGCTGAGACACGAGTACCGGACGCGCCTGACACACTGCGTCTTCAGGCTGCCCCCGCCTGGCGAGTAAGTGCGGCCACGGCTGGGGGCACCTCCTGGGGTGGCTCCCAAACCCCCCCCCCCACCCGGAGCCTGACTTGGAGGTGCTGTCGGCTTCCAGGGACCTGGTGCAGCTGGCGAAGGCAGCTGTGAGCGGAGACGAGAAAGCCCTAGATATGTTCAACTGGCGAAAGAGCGGCCTCGGGGGCCTCCTGAAGACGGGCTCCCAGGAGGGGCTGTCGCTCTTCGTTGGCCTGGAGGATGGTGAGGGCGGCTGGCTCTGCCGGGGTTGGGCAGGGCGGCTCCTCGCGGCGGGCTCCGTTCTGTGGGAGGCCATCGTGACCGCGCCGTCAGCGGCAGCTGCACCCCGGCTCCCGGTTGCTGGTTGGTGGCACGGCCGCTCGGTCTGTGGTGTCACACGCCTCCCCTGGGCTGGGGCTCGCGGGGCGCGGTGCGGATGGGCAGGTGCGGCTGCTCCGGCCAGGCCACCCCGCTACCAAGGTGGTGGCCCAGCGCTGTCTTCGCAACCTGCCCGGCCCCCAGCTGCCCGGCGCTGGCCGCCCGCATGGCTGCAGGGGGGACTTATGTCCACAGGCACCTGCTGCTGGGGAAAGGCGGGCCTGCAGGTGGCTGGACCAATGTGGGGGCCTCGTGTTTGTCGCAGCACAACTGCCTCCCCTTCAGGAGGGAGGGGACAGCTGGTGGAGGAGATTTGAGAAGGACACAGTGTCCGGCGCTGAGGGCGCAGGAGGTGGAGGGGCCCCTAAGAGGGAGAGTCACCAAGGCACGTAGGGAAGAGACGCTCAGAGACAGACGCGGGAGCTGGACAGAGTGCAGGGTGCCTGCACTTCGGGGGAAAGTGGGCTCGAAGCCTGCAAGGGCGCAGCAACCCAGCCCGCCACCAAGTGGCCTCCCGCCGACCTGAGGGCCAGGCGGCGGTGGGCACATCCCCGGGGGGCCGCCAGAAGCTGAAGGCACATTACCCTGGAGATCAGCCCATGAGGCCTCGCGCCCCCGCATGTGGGGTGCTGGGGGTCAGCTTTCCCAAGGGAGGCGTGCTGAGGGTGCTGAGGGTGCTGGCCCCGGCCCCCAGGGACGGTGCACTACGTGGACGAGAAGGGCCAGACAGCCCGGGCGGCGGCCACGGACGGCGCCATCCACACGCTGCACTACATGGAGAGGCGGGAGGCCCTGGTGGTGGTCACGGAGAGTCTGCTGCTGTCCCTGCTCCTGGTGCCGCGCCAGGGCGAGGCCGAGGAGGTGATGAAGGTGGGTGAGCGGCTCCGTGTCCAGGGGCCACCCCGCTCGGTCAGGGTGTTCAGGTCGCTGGCGTAGGGACCACAGCCAAGAACACTCCAGGGCCCAGCGTCGGGGGGCGCCGCGCCTGGGTCTGCCCGCCCCCTCTGGCGGCCGTCAGCACTCACAGGGTGCTGTCGCTGGCCGGCTGGTCTTGCAGCGCCTCCCCCAGCCCCAGCTGCCAGCAAGGGCTGTCCGGGCAGCAGTCAGCACGCAGTGGGTGGCCCCTGGGGGTCCCTGCCCCTCCGAGCCATCCTGTGAGCTCCTGGTTCATGCCGTGGCCCATGCCCCAGGGGCTGCAGCTCCCAACCCCTGCGCCTGCTCCCGAAGGCCGCCGAGCCGGCCGCTGCTCTGGCTGAGCTCGCTGTTCTCACTGGCTGAGACCTGGCCCCGTCCCACCCGGGTTCTGCTTCCCCGGCCCGGCAGGCGGCTGGGCTGGCTGCGGGCCCTGGCCCTCCCGGCAGCACTGTTAGCGGGGCCCTCGGGCTGCCCTTCCCAGCGCCTGAGACGCACAGCCTCCCCAGAGCCCGCCGACCCCCGCGGCCCAGCCACGCTGCCAGCTGGGCCCGCGCTCCCTGTGCTGTTTCTGTCCTCAGGTGAAGCTGAGCGGGAGGACGGGCCGCCGGGCAGACATCGCTGTGATAGAGGACAGCCTCCTGGTGATGGCCGTCGGGGAGGCCGTAGTCAGGTGAGAGCAGGCACAGACACCGCCCTGCTGCCTCACGAGTGAAACTCACTGGTGTGTAACTCGTAAGACCCCCAGGTAGCGGAGGGGCCTCACGATGCAGCACGCGCATGTGACTAGAGCCGGCGAGCCTACTGCCCGGGCCCGGCGCCGGCATGGGGGTGCGCCTGGGCCATGGGGTCAAGGCACCACATCCCTGTCCTCACCGAGCCATCTGGCAGCAGCTGTGCCCTTGGGTGGTGAGCGGGGTGGCGGGGTGTGAGGGGCTGCTCTGCGGTGTGAGGGCCCCCACGGAGCCCCGAGGGCTGTGTCTTCCTGGCTTTTAAGCAGACAGAGCAACTGGGCCCCTGTCGGGCTCCCGCCACCCTCGTAGGTTCTGGGACCTGGAACGAGGCGAGAACTACGTGCTGGCCCCAGATGAGACGCTTGGCTTTGAGAAAGGGGAGAACGTAAACTGTGTTTCTTACTGCGAAGTCAAAGGTGAGATGCCCGGCTGGGCCCACGGTGACCACTGTGACAGTCACCTGCAAGGTGGCATTACGGCCCCGAGACCCAGGCGAAGCGCGAGGGCTTGTGGCAGGTGCACCACCCAGCCGCCCCCCGGCTCCTGCCACCCCGGGATAGGGCGGAGACCCTGCAGCGCCCTTGGGGGGCACCAGAGCCGCTCAGGCTACGCTGCTGGTGCCGGACATGCTCTGCTTTGCTGGCAGCGAGGATGGGGCAGCGCTCCTGGGGCAGAGGTCACCGGGAGATAGCAGCACCTCCACACCTAACCCTGCACGGGCACCACCCCCCACACGGCCTTTGCACACATTGCCCCCCACTCCACGCGCCCCCGGCATACACCGTGCATGCGAGTTGCATGGCAGGCGGCAGCGGCCCTAGGAGGATGGTGCCCAGAGGGCCGGAGGGGCCGGTGCACAGTCACGGGCACTTGCTGCTGCTTCACTCTCAGACATAGTCGGTGCGAACTTTGACCTCCAGGTGTCCTGGCGGCGGGCACTGACAAAGGACGGGTGGCCATGTGGAGCAGAGTGCCAGGACCCCCGGGCAGTCGGGGAGCGGAGGGCAGAGACGGGTGGACGCTTCGGACCCCCACGGAGCTCGAAGGGAGTGTCATGCAGGTCAAGGTAGGCGTGGGGGTCGGGCAGGGGGCACACGGTGTCCTGGAGTTCGGGTTTCAGGATGGCAGACGAGAGAGCGGGCCCGTGGGGTCTGTCCATCCTCCATTGAAACCGGCTTCCCGAGCTACGTGACTGGGCTGTAAGCCTAGCCACGGCTTTGAGGCTGCCACAATAGGTCTTAGAACATTTCCTCTCCCCAGCCGGACATCTCTGCCGCTAGCTCTCGCTTCCCGCCCCCGGCCCCCATCTCTCCAGCTGCCCAGGGAGTCCCTGCGGCCCGCTGCCCTAGGGCCCTCACCCGCCATCCGGGTGCGCGCTCAGGGCCCCTGTGCTGGCTGGCGAGGAGGGCACCCCGCCCATGGCCAGAGCCCTCGGCACAGGTCTCACGCGAGCAGTCTCTGGTTGAACCGGCAAGTTCGAGATCTTTATGACGAGATCAGAGTAGGGGGCTGAAGATAGCGTGAAATGGCAGAGCTTTGTTAGCCTCTGGTAGCGGAAGAGCTTTGGACAACAAGGTGGCGACCCAGAGCAGAGGACGCTTGCCACAACTGGGCAGAGGGCACGCCGGAAGTGAGAGAACAGCCTGGGTGGGGGGCCGGCCGGGGCGTGCCCCTCCGTCTCCACACGGACGACATGCCGGTCCTCGGTCGCCGTGGCCGCTCCAGGCACGTCTTGCGTTTTCGTGCAAGAAGGGGTCTTTGCGCAGGAAGCTACGATTTTAAACTGACGGCGCTTCTTGCTTCAGAGGCGTTAGAACACAGGCCGCGGCAGAACTCGCGCTGTGAGATGGACATCAGGTGGACGGGTGAGGGGTGGCACCTGCGTAGCCGGAAGTGCCCGCAGAGGCCCCCCCCAGGCGGCCTCCCCCTCACTATGGACCTGCCGACCACAGGGGCATCCAATAAAAATAGCCAGACGCTCATGCCTGCCCTCGGGTGGGCTGGCACCCTTGGCAGGGAGAGGCACGGCGTGGGCCCTGGGCGTCCGGGACGCTGGGGGCACCTGCATGCAGAGGGAGGGGGCGGGCGGGCACGGACACACGTGCCCCCAGGGAGTCAGCCATTCGGAGCTTGTCTTGAAAGTATAGATTTTTCTCTCGTGAAGTCGGTTTGAAGCGTTGAGGAGACGAGATGGTGCGCGGAAGCGGCCGGCACCTGACTGCCCCTCTCCCCACCCCGGGCTGCAGTGGGGCTCCCGCAAGCACCTGCTGGCCGTGGACAGCGTCCGCTCCGTGGTCATCCTCAGCGAGCAGGCCATGTCGTCCCACTTCCGCCAGCGCGTGGCCGCGGTGCAGACCGCCCCCGGCCTGCTGCACGTGGCCTTCCTCGCCTCCGGGGCCACGCACAGCCTGCACACCGACATGCACGTCAGCGGCGTCTTCGCCACCAAGGTGCGGCGGTGGCGCGGGCTGGCCTGGGGGCAGAGGGTGGGTGGCAGCCGCGCCTGATCCCTGGTCTCCCATAGGACGCGGTGGCCGTCTGGGATGGGAAGCAGGCGGTGATCTTCGAGCCTTTTGGAGCCGCGCTGCGAAGCGCAGGTGGGGCTCCCCTCAGGCTCCCAGCCCCTGCCTTTTCTCCCTCGCCGAGTGCTGACACCTGCAGCAGGCGGGGGCTGAGGGGGGAGGCTGGCACAGGCGACGGCACCCCCGTCTCAGCTCCCGATGGCCCTGGCTGTGCCCCAGGCCTGTGGGGCTGGGTAGCGCCTTTCTTCCCACCCCCCACTCAGCGCCCTCTTGACCCCGTTCCTGCTGCGTGCCCAACACGTGTAGACCAGGCCCATGTCAGGCGCAGGCGCCCTAAGAGGCCACGAGCGCAGGCAGGCAGTGGCCCAAAATGTCCCGGAGAACAGCAGGCACCTGCTCTGAGGCCAGGACACAGCCCTCGAGAGCCCCTCCTAGGCACACTGCAGGCGCAGGGACCCCTGGGCACGGGGCCCAGGAGCAGGCACCTGGGGAGGGCTGGCCTGGTCATACGGGAGGCCGACGGCCGCATCTCCTCCAGGCACTTTCCCCTGCGACTCCCCGGCACTGGCCATGCATGAGGACAGCGTTTATACCGTGGAGCCCCACCGGGTTCAAGTTCGAACCTGGCAGGTAACCCCCCTGGTGCGGGGTGGATGGCAGAGCTGGCGGCCTGGGAGCCGGCCCTCCGCGGCTGGCCCCCAAGTCTGCCCTCGTGCTCCAGGGGTACAGGAGAAGGTGGCAGGGCTGCTCCTCCCACGATGCTGGGGGTTGCAAGGAAGTGGGCCTTGAATGCTGGGGCTGGCCCAGGGGTGGGCACACGCCCTGCCTTTCCGAACGTGGGCGTGGGGGCTCGGCTGCGGGGTTGCAGCTGCTGCCGAGCCCCACGACTGCATGTGGAGAGGCTTGCACGTGGAGGGATGCCCTCCGCCTCTGGGAGCAGTCCCCTGCCCCCGGCACCCTCTCACCCATCTGCTGCCTCTGCTCTCCTCTGCACCACCCGCTGGTGGGCCTGGCAGCTCCGGCCTCGGGCGCAGACAGGGCTACCCAGGCAGGGCTGCCCCTGGGCTGGGATCCAGCAGGGACCGCAGGGAACCAGGCCAGTCTGCCTGGGTCGCAGCCCCGCAGCCTGCTTTCCTCACCCCCAGGGCACTGTGAAGCAGCTCCTGCTTTTCCCAGAGGCCGAGGGGAGCCCCTGCTTCTTTGACATCTGTGGGAACTTTCTGGTTGTGGGGACGGACTTGGGATACTTCAAAAGCTTCGATCTTTCCCGAAGGTGCGTCTCTGCCCAGATGCAAGCACTGCAGCTCAGAGCTGCACCCGTGGTGGGTGGCTCGGTGGGCCAAGCCCTCTCTGGCACCGTCTGGGGCGGCCTGGTGGGGACTTGTGGCGGCCGTGGGCTGAACCCCGTCCCCATAGGGAGGCCAAGGTGCACTGCAGCTGCAAGAGCCTGGCCGAGCTGGTGCCGGGCGCAGGGGGCCTGGCCTCACTCCGGAGCAACGCCAACGGCGGCAGGATCAGCATCCTCCTGCACAAGGTGAGCGTGGGCCTCCTGCAGCAGCCTTGCATTGAGGCGGGACCACGGTTGGCGCCCCCTGTAAGCGGTGACCTTATGTAGGCACTGGCTGATTCCGGGGCTGTGCCCGCCCCCTTCTAGCCCCGGGGTTCCCATGGCCCAGGGAGAGACCCCGTCCCTGCAGCCACCCCCACCCCAGGCCTCCCGTGGCTGGGGGTGCCAGTGCGTAGCAGCGGCTCGTTGCCTGTGGGCAGGAGTCTTGGTCGCAGTGAGCGGAGGCCACGAAGGCCAGGCCTAGGCGGAGCAGCGAGCTGTGCCCTGCATGCTCCGGCTTTCCGGGAGCAGAGGCGCTGGGAACCAGACGCCTCTTGCTCCCTCGAGGGCGCCCCACGTGGGAGCACCCAGATCGGCTGGATAGCCGGGCCTACCCTCGCCCGGGATAAGACGCAGCTTAGAGCTCCTCAAACTACAAAGCAGCAGTTCTAGCTCCAGTCCCGTGGGGAAAAGGGAAGTTGCCGTCCCGGTCACACGGGCCAAAGCCAGGCTTGGGGTGCCTGGCAGCGCCCTGAGCTCTCGCTCATCCCCTAGGCCGACCGCAGCCCTGACTCCAGGGTCTGCTTCTACGACGTTGACATGGACATGGTGAGCATCTTGGACTTGAAGACGGGCCTCCTTGACCAGCGCGAGGCCTTCAGCGGGCCGGAGGCCAGGAGGTAAGTCAGGGCTCGGGGTGCTGTTGACACAAGACTCGCGCTGTCCACTCTGGGCCACCTCCAAAGCCCTTGGCCCCCATCAGAGTAGACACCAAAGGTGGGCAGAGCCTTCAGCAGCCGGCAGGGAGCTGCGTCCTTCACCTCAGGAGCTCTGGCTGGAAACTCGGGCTTCTGAGCGGGCGCCTCGGGGCCCGGGTGTGGGGCCCTTCAGACTGGCCCTGCCAAAGCAGGTGCTTCAGGCCAGCTGGTGCCACCCACCCGCGCACGCCCCCTCCTTTCAGAGCCCTTGTTCCGTGGCCGGGCACCTGGCGGCCCCACTGACATGCTGGTCCGCGCCTGGCACCTGGCCTAGCTCCACCTGTCCCCTCGAAGTCTCCCCTGCATTTCCTGCGTCACCCCAGCGACTGCCACCTGGCCCACCCCAGCCCCCCACCCCACCGCGGACCCCCAGCTCTGGCTGGAATTGTCTGCATTCACACTCTCCCCTGCTCAGCCTGGCGGGGTCTCGGCTTCCCTGTTGGGGGCCATAGCCTGAGTTCAGCCTGCCCCCCACACCCTGTGCTCGGTGCAATGCAAGCCCACCCCCACGTACTGGCCCCTGGAGGGACGTGGCGCTGAGGCTCGTGGGTCCTGAGGGCCCTGCCTGGCTATGGCCACCACCTGCCCATCTGAAGAGCTGCTCCTTCCTGTGTCCCCCATTTGCCCCCCACTCTGAACTGAGCGGTGGCCTGGCTCAGGCCCAGCCATGATGCTCAGCAAGGGCACCCCCCCCCACCCCAAGCCTGTAGGGGTGTTGGCAGAGTGCACCCCTGGGGCACAGGGGCCTGAGCCGGTCCCTGAGAAGTGGAGACCAGTTGACAAGGCTGCTCAAGACCCTGGAGCCGGCTTCCGGGGGCCAAGACTGACTCTTCTCAGGGTCACACCCGCCTTCACCTTCCAGGAGCTGCGTCATTGCGGACGAGCACCTGAGGGACCTGGTTCCTGTGAGCCACTTCTGGGACCAGAGCGAGCCCCGGCTATTCGTGTGTGAAGCCATGCGGGAGGCGCCAGAAGCCCCCCTGCAGCCCACTGACAAGAGGTCTCCCGGCCAGGACCCAGGCCCCGTGGTAGGCCCCCCAAAGTGTGCGTGTCCGGGCAGGGCTCCCCTCCCCACAGCCATGTGCTGGTGCAGAGACCCCTCCCTGTGGCTGCGGTGCCTGCGGCTTCTGGGCAGGTGCCGTTCTAGAACCTTCCGCAACCTGGGACAGGGCCCATTTACCACAGCGTCCCTGGCCTTGGTCACTGCCCTCCACCCTCGAGGCCCGTTTCGGCCCCTCAGGGCTGGGCCTTTGATACTCACCAAGTCTTGTGTCTCGACGAACGTTCAGCCTTGGCTGTGGAAGCCCCGGGCCTGCCAGTGTCAATGCTGGTCCCCGGGGCACCCCGTGGGGCCTCGGCAGGTTCCCAGGCGTGGCCAGCCCTGCCCCTGCCCCATGCTAAGCATCTGGCCCGAGAACGCCCAGCATCCAGGCCCTCAGAGTTCCAGAAATAAACTCCACACTTGGCTTGGGAAAGCTGAGTGGACACTCCTGCCCCTGAGGGGGAGGAAGACCCTGCCTCGGGCCCTGTGTGCATCAGTGGGTCCAGCGACAACCCACCCCACCAGCCAGGACCCCGGGCCGGCCAGCCACAGCTGGCCCTCACAGGCCATGGCCCCAGGGTGGAAAGGCCGCCTCTCCTGCCCAGGCCCCGGCGGGAGGCTGGCTGGCTGCAGGAGGGCTACCGCTGGGCCAGGCATGTGGCCCTCTGCCCCCTGGTCTGGGCAACATCCCGTGAGCTCTCCCTCTCCCCAGGCGGATGTGCTGGTTCTGTCCTTCTTCGTCTCTGAAGAGCATGGCCTGCTCCTCCACGACAGCTTCCCCCGGCCTCCCGCCTTCCAGGCTCTGCTGGGCATGGAGGTGCCCCACTACTACTTCGTGAGGAAGGTGCGTGCCCTCCTGGTGGCCGGGGCTCCCACAGCCAGTGGGCTCCCGGCTGGGCCTTCCGAGGCTGGCAACGGCCTCAGGTCTGTAGCCCTTGGTTTCCTGTCTCATGCCCCTGCTCTCGACGGACCACACTTTCCCGCACGCCTGCCTGACGGCGCGCAGCCCCAAGCAAGGAGAGGAAGGGGTGCTCTCCGGCCCCAGTGTAGCCCGAAACCCAGCCCTGTGCTGCCTTGTGCTCCTGATTAGTAGTGGGGTAAGGCCTGGAGGAACCCTCGCACGCAGCTCTCTCTGGGGTCCCCTCTGCTGCTGCCGCCTTCTGGGAGCACAGCTGCCACGCCGGGCTCTGTGGCCCCACCGGGCTGCCCCGGCCGACGGGGATCTGGCAGGAGGGCCAGGCCCTGAGCCAGGGTGAGGGCTGCGTAGCCCTGCTCACGCCACCCCTGTAATGCCACTCCTGCTGGCCAGCCCCCCGGCCAGCACAGGAGCAGCAGGCACGGCCGTGGAGGGCAGCTTGGGCAGGCGCCCCATCCCCGGATCTGCGCTTCCCAGCATCTGGGGGCTGCTCAGCTGACAGCTCCGCTGACCAGACTGTTGGGCAGCCTGGCTCTGCCCAGTGACCAGCCCCCTCTGTCTGTGCCGGAAACAACACCCACGGCCTGGCCCCCAGAGGATCCACCCCAGGCCTCAGCCCTTGCTCCGCGCCCTCCCTGCCAGAGCTGTTGAGGGCGGTGCGTGTGGTCAGTGCTCTCCAGCCGGCACCCTCTATCTGTGCACTCTGCGTGCCTCACACTCACGCGAGGTCCAAACCATAGCACCAGTTCCAGCCGCAGCCCCCTCCTGGACTGTGGTTGCTTCTGGTCCATGCTTATGCCCACCCTGCTCTGGCAGCCCTGCCGTGTGCCAGCCCGTCCCCACCCACTCTGTGCTCCTGCGCCATGGGCTGGGGAGCAGCGCGGCGGACAGCAGGAGGCGGGGCCCACAGGCATTTTCCAGAAGTCAGGGGGCCCACGAGTGTGGAGCAGGGCCCTGGCTCAGCGCTCAGGGAAGGAACTGCAGACAGGGCTGGGGCCCCGGGCAGGGCTGGGGGAGAGGCAGGAGGCTAGGTTTCTGGGGAGCTGCCGGCACATAGCAGTCCCTGCTGGGCCTGGAGGGCCGCCTGCTCCCACCAGCGGGGCGACCCTGAGCTGTCTGGGAGGCCATGCAGGGTGCACCGGGCGTCCTCCTGGAGAGGAGACGGTGGCCACGTGCTCCTCTCACTGCAGGCCTGGGGGCACTGGGGAGCGGAGGCTGCTGAGCTGCCAGCTGCGCCCCTGAAGTCGAGCCAGCACCAAGGCCTGGGATGGGGGCACCCGGGGCTGCTGCGGCCTCTGGCAGCTTTCCACACTTGACCCCTGCATGTGTGCTTTGCCCCACAGCCAGGAGAAGTGACCCCAGAAGACAGGGCAGAGCCAGGGTGGCCCGCTGGACTCCAGGTGGTGGGCAGGAGGCCCCTGCGGGACTTCGTGGGGCTGGAGGGCTGCGACAAGCCAACGCGGGACGCCATGCTCAACTTCAGCTTCTTCGTCGCCGTCGGAGACATGGACGAGGCCTTCAGGTCTATCAAACTCATCAAAAGGTGAGGCTCACGGGCCCGTGCTCTGCCGCCCTCTCAGGAGGTCCTGGCCGTGGTGTCCGGGCGTGTGGCGCCAGCTCACTCAGCATGTAAGGGCTCAGCTGGGCCACTCACCCCTCTGAAACCACCCCTCCACCTCAGTGACCAGAGACCAAATTCGGAACGGTCAGGTGCAGGTGTCGGGGCTCTTGGGGAGCAGATGGTGCTGCGGCCCCGAGTCCCTGCTCACGGCCGCCCGCAGGGAGCGCTGGCCGCTGAGCAGGAAAGCAAAAGCCAAATGGCAAAACCCAGATGGGGCGAGAGGTGCCCTGGGCTGAAAGGCCAGGATCGGCCGCATTCAGAGCCCCTCACCTGCCCGAGGACTCGCAGGCACATCTCCATTTCCAAAGAGCAGAAAACATTTTGAAAGGCAAAACTAAAGACGTGAGGCTAAGTGGCCGCGCACACGGCCTCTGCCAGGGCGCCTCACCCCGTCCGCGCGCCCTCCAGAGCCGGTGGCGGCTCCCGGGGACAGCAGCCAGCCCCCTGAGGCCCGCTGCAGTGGATGTGATGGAGGCACCTGTCCGCTCGGCCGGGGTTCCGGCGCTCGGGCACGTGACCGGCTGCATCCGCACCGTTACTAGAGGCGTGCGTCGTGGGGGTCCCGTTCCCCTTCCTGAGTGTTGTGCCGTGTGTTTGAGAAACCAACCCGTCGTGGGAGCAGCCGGGAGGGAGGCAGCGGTGCGCGTCTGCGGTAGCTGGGTCCTGGCAGGTGCGGGCCTGCGTCAGCGCCGTTTGTCCCCACATGCGGCCCGTGCTCCCCAGAGACACGTCCACGGGGCTCAGTGGGCTTCCATGCCCAGAGGTTCTCACGTGCCGCAGGCTGACAGCGGCAGAGCTGAGGTTCCGGCAGGATCAACAGGCAGGCCAGAGGCCAGGCCTCCCCTGGCCCCACAAGCCACGGCTCCCGGCCCCCGGGAGCCTGCCAGGTGTGGACGGGCAGCCCCCCATCAGGCCAGATGCAGCCTGCACCCCGAGGTGCAAGCTGAAGAGTTGGCGCAGCCCACGGCTATCGTCTGGATCGGGAGGCAGCACAGGGGCAGGCAAGGTGCCCACACCCGGCCCGCGCCGCCCCCCAGAGGACAGGGTAGATTGGTTCCCCTGCCTGCAGGGCCCGGTATGGCCAGACTGAGGCGGAGGCAACAGCAAGGCTTGCGCTTTATTATAACTTAGAGATCGTAGCCGGAGGCGCAGGAGAGACATTACAAAGCCCAGGCGAAGCCGTGACCCTCTGCTTGTGAACGCGCAGTGTCCGGAGGGCCTCCCGCTGTCCGCGCCCCGGCCTTGACTGCCGCGTGGAACGGACTGGCACGGAGGCCGTGGACGCCACAGGCCTGTGACGGGGCGTGTGGCAGGCAACACACCTGCGTGGGACAGGTGTGCCCGGCTGCCTCTGCCCGACGGGAAGGCGCGAGCCCGTAAGCTTCTAGACCGTCCGCCACCGTGGCCGTACCCGGCCCTGGCGCCCGGCCCTCAGCACGGCGACTCGGCGTACTCGTTGTCCAGCCCCCGGCGCAGGCGCGCCGTCAGGGCCCGGCTGATGACGATCACGCGTGGCGCCATGCAGTCCTCCCGCCGGTGGAGAATGTTCCAGATGAGCATGGCCGCCGCCAGCGTGGCCAGGAGGCAGGCGCCGATGTCCAGGTGGCAGGACCAGGACAGGCTGGTGTAGGGGCCGACTCTGTAGAAGGTCACCAGTCCGATGACCAGGACGAAACCTGCAGGGCAGAGATGGGGTTCAGAACAGCACCTGGGCCGCACCTTCAGCGGGACGGGGCCGACGCCCTCGTGGGCGATGGGGAGGGGCTGCAGGCGCCAACCACCCCTCTGTGGGGTGAACAGAGCCTTCTGGTCCAGCTTGGGGGACCTGACGCCGGAAAGGAGGGGCCGGAAAGGAGGGGCCTGGCCCCCACCGGTGTCGGAGGGGAAGAGCGCCAGGTGCCCGTGGAGACCGGCGTCACGCGGAGAGGTTGCGGCGCCGCCCGGCAGGGCAGTGGCCGTGGACTCCGCTGCCTGAGTTCCCGGGACGGCCGCTGCTGGAGACAGGCCTGGCCGCCCTCGTGCTGGCGTGTCTCTGTGCTTGCGCCCCACCTGGGGCCCTGAAGGGCCCCCCTCCCCCTGCTGTGGGCTGGAGCCTCCCCGGTTCTCCTGCCTGTTGGGGTCCCTGCGGCCGGAGGCACCCGCAGCTGCCCAGGGCCTCAGTGGCTGATGTTCTAGAAGCAGAGGAGAAGCCGGGCTCTGCAGCCCAGCGCAGGGAGGAGGGCAAGAGCTGGGGCCCGCGCCCTCTGGGCAAACCCGCCTCAGCCTTTGCGTGGTTCGGCTTCAACTTGAAACAGCGTAGTCGGAGACAGGCTTGTTCCCCTGGCGCCGGAAAAAAAGCCTGAAAGCCGCCACGCCAGCAAGACGGAAAGAGCCTCCTGGAGCCGCGGGACAAGCGCTGCCGGGCCGGGCCGCGCAGCCGCAGAGGGGCCGCCCGGGGAGGGAGGGCGACCGGCCGGGCTGGAGCTCGGACACCGAGGCCGCTTGGTGCTCGCCCCGGAGGCCTTTCTGCCGAGACTTCTCAGAACACGTCCCGGCTCGTCCAGAGACCGACCGACGAGTGTTCACACAGGCGCTGAGCCCTCCCCAGGACGCGTGTCCACACCGCCCGCCTGCCCGCCCGCTTCCCAGGCCCTGCCTCGCCCCTGCCGGCGCAGCCCGCGGGGACCCCCGAGAGCCACAGAGCCGCGCCGGCAGGGGCGCAGACGCCCCGAGCACCACAGACGACGAGGGGGGCACGGAGCCGGCACAGAGGGGCCGGCGTGGGGGGCGCAGACGCCAGAGAGAAGCACGCGTCCGGACCAGGCCGAGGCGCTGCATTGCGAGGAGCCGGCCCAGCGGGGGGAGCCCGTCTGAGAGCCACGTGCCCTGGCTCCAGAGGGGCCGGCAGGGCAGGGCAAGTCCAGCCCCAGGCCTGGCCGGGGCCGCCTTCTGCACGGCGGGCTTGGTCGGTGGCTTCAGCCGTGCTGTCCGGGGCCTGGGACCAGCAGGGCTGCAGGTGCGAGGGGGGCGTGTCCGCCCAGGGCTGGGTCAGACGCTGACTCAGGCCCTGAGGCGCCTGGGGAGTCTTGTCCACCTGACAGCGTTTTCCAGAGGCCGGGACGCGGCGTGTGGGCGCTGCAGCCAAGGACGGGCTGCCCAGGCTCAGGGCCCTGCGCTGGGCCCTGGCGCGGTCGGCTGGGATGCTCAGGAGGCCCCGAGTGCCTCCGCCTCTGGGAAACCCGCCTCTGGGGACAGGCGTCCTCCGCGGAGCCGCTCTCTCCCCCTCCCGCCGCCGGGCACTGTTGGGTCTCGCGGCCGCGCTCGGCTCTCCCGTTGTTTGCGGTGTTGGCGTTCTCGTTCCGCGGCGGGGGGCCGAGACCCACGCCTCGCATTTCAGCTGATTTCGCGCGCCTGTAGCTGGGGGTCCCGGCCCTGCGGAGTCCGGCTCGTCCCCCCGCAGCTGCGGCTGTCCGCGGTCGCGCACTGGCCTCGCTGGCCCTTCGTCTGTCGAGGGCGCTGGGGCTGCTTGCCGAGGGGGTGCTAGCGGGGACAGCGAACCCCCCGGCTGGGGGTGCGCCCGAGTTGCGCGTCCCAGCGCAGGAATCAAGTGCCGAGAGGCTGGGGCCCCAGGCGTGCCGCTTCGGGATCCCACGGGGCTCAGGGGACAGCAGTGGCTTTCTGGTCCCGGCCCTCGCCCACGGCCTCCCGCTGCGGGTCCACGCGGGGCGGGGCATGAGAGGGAGGCAGCCTCCTGGCCTTCCCTCCGCCGTTGCCTTTGTGCCTTTGAGGCTCCCCGGAAAGTTGGGTGTGGCCGAAGCCCAGGGTGGTAGGGGGAGGGAGAGGATTTGGGGGTCAGCCCCTCCTGCACCCCACCCATCACTGGAGCGGCCCCGGACAGCCCTGCACGGAGCCAGGGGCTGGGCTGAGCCAAGGCTGAGGGCCCGGAGGAGCTGGGAGAGAAAGGCCTGGGCTTCGCGTCCACCGGTGCCTGCGACGAGAACATGCAGGGCGTGGGGGGGCCGGGCTCCCCATGGGCACTTGGTGCCCGAGCGCCTTCGCCACGGAGGACACGGGCTTTTCCAGGAGTTCTCCAGCTCGCGGGGGTGGGTGGAGGAAGGGATAGAAAGGAACTTTCCAACTTTAAGGAAAATCAAGGTTAAGCTTGGGAAACTCTGCAGGGAGATGGGTCCCAGAGCCGACCTTCCACCCCGCCCACCCCCCACCCCGGGGCCCTCGGCTCTCTTCCCGCCCGCCCGCCGCATGACAGGTAACAGCAGGCGTTTCCTCGCCGGGCAGGATTTCCTGGCGCCCTCCCGGCGCTGCCGGCTGCTCAAAGCGCAGGAAAGAGACCGACATCTAAATTTAGCAGCGGGGCGGAGAGAGGCTGGCGCAGCCCTGCTGTTGGGGCGGGCGAGCCGGGCAGGCCTAGACGCGCTTCCTTTCTGGCCACAACAGGCCGGCAGGGGTGCTGGTCAGACTCCCCAGAGAACTATCCCGACCCCGCGCCCACCACCCCTGCTTCTGGCTCTTTCCACTGGCCTGGCCCTGCTTTCCAGAGGTGGTGCTGGCGGGGAAGTGTGCAGGCAGGGAGCCCAGGCCCTGCCCCAACAGGACAGAACCCCCCGCCAGGACCAACCCCCCCAGGATAGGCCACCCCCACCAGGACAGGCCCTCCCCAGAACTGGCCCCAGGAGGCCTCTGGCAGCCCCGGCCCCACCGAGCCACAGGACAGCTGACTGTGGCCAAGGGTTTTCCCGCTGGTTGGTCCTGCTACCTGGAAGCTGAGCTGTTGAAGCAGCTTGCAGGATGCCCCCCCACACCCCTGCTGCAGCTCTCGGGCCTTGGCACTCGTCCTGGGGCTCGTCCCCTCGCTGGAGAGCAGGTGCTTTGGGTCCAGGCCTCCCCTGCCCGTCGGAGCCCCTATCTCTGGGGCTGCCAACACCCCGCCGGGCTCGCCGGCTCAGTGAGACCTGGGGACCTGGCAGAGGGGAGGTCCCACCCCACCTGTGCCCTTGGCCTTGAGAACCCCCGTTTTTAGGCGGGTAAACAGCTCATCAGTAGCTCCCCAAGTTCACAGGGACCGAGACACGGCACTGGCCCCTGCGACTATGCGCCTCCACCCCGCCCCCGCCCTCTCCTGCCGCCCTTAGCCTCGCTCTGGAGCCTGGCGGGGTGGGGGGAGAACCTCGCCCAGCCCTGCGTTTGGGGGCCTGTCCCCACAGAGCCACTGGTGACTCCCCCAGCCCTGATAGTTACAGCTCAGCACCCACCCCGGCCGGCCTTGTTGCGGGGCTCACCGGCCCCGCCTCTGTCCAGAGCCCCAGACCCCGGGTGCCAGTGCTTTACGCTCTCCCCGGAGGCAGCGCTGGTTTCTAGGAAGTTCCAAAGAGGCAGGGCCACTCACGGCCCCACCTCGATGGTCTGTGGCTGGACAGGGCGTCCTCGCCCACCCGGCGCGCAGGAGAGGGTGCCTGCTACGGAGACGTGGCAGCCACCGTGCCCACGCCCGCCGGGGCAGGGGTGGCCCCGCGCCGGGTACTCACTCGCCAGCTGGAACGCAGCAGCCATGGCCTCTTCCCAGCACTGGGACTCGGGCGACATCAGGGGCAGGCCTGCCAGCCCCAGGACGAAGGTGAGCTGGCCCGCGGCCAGCGCCGCCGTGGCCACCAGGTTGCAGGCCCGCATCATGTCGAACTGCACTGCAGGCGAGAGGGGAGGCAGGTCAGGCGGGCCGCCCGCTCTTGGGCCTTGTCTCCAGACCCGCACGGCCCCTGCTGCTCAGCCTCGCCCGCCAGCGGGCCTGGCCTGAGGCACCGCCACCTCCACGGCGCTGCTGCTGCTGCGGAGAAGGGGCCACAGACAGGCGCCCGCCGGCCGCCAGGCCAGAACTCGGGTGGCCGCGCCACGTCCCGGCCCTTCTCACAAGGCTGCGCTCACCGGGCCGCGAGCAGGGTTGGCCCAGCAGCCCCAGCTGAGCCCTGGCGCGGCCTCTGGCCTTCTCCGCTGCAGCCGGCTCCGTGTGCTCCCGGCTACGCCCGGCTGGCAGGCACACCCCCAGCTACTGGCCACCGCGGTGCCCCCCTCGCCCACCCTCCCATCCACGGGGCCCATGGGCACCTTCCCGGGAGGACTTTCCTGGCGCGGCTCCCCTGGGTGTGGGCTGGCCCTGGGCACCCTCGGCAGGCTGGGGCGAGCGGGGTGTTGGACGCCCAGGGAGGGCGCTGGCCCCAAATTCTCGTCTCCCTGAGTCCAGAAGGCTGCAGGGCCCACGACAATGGGGACGCCCGGCCCAGCTGCAGTGCAGGTGCGTGGCCACCCCAGCGGCCACCCAGAAAGCAGGGCCGCAGCGTCGGGAACACAGGCAGAGCCTGTGGCAGGGTCCTCTGCCAGCGTGGATGTGGCGCAGGCGGCCCCGGAGCCCCAGTGTGTGCAGCTCGCTGCACGGAGAAAGCCGTGACCGTCAGCCCTGGCACCGTGGCCTTAAGCCCTGGTGAGGGACAGTGGGACCACCACTGTCCCGGGCCCACGTGTGCCCCCAAGGCAGCCGCCCAGGGTTCAGGCCCTTGTGCCAGAACCTTCTGGCCACCCGCAGGGCCCCCAGCTGGTGGCACAGCTAGCCTGCTGGCTGGCCTCGGCGGGCGGGAAAGCGCCGCCGGCTCCAGGGCATCCCCCCTCCGCCCCTGGAGGCTCTGGACATGGCCCAACGGCCTCAGGGCTGGCATCTCCGCTCACTGACACTCCCTGGAGAGCCGCCTTTACCGCCACTCTGAGAGGCATAGGGTCGGGAGGCGGTGGGCCCTGCGGCGGGCAGCGTGGTGGGTGCTGGCAGGAACCCCCCGCACCTGGCTCTGGAGGCAGGGGAGCTGTGAGCGCACAGGGTGCAGACGCAGCCCCTGGGGCCCCAGTGCAGAGGTCACGGGCCCAGCAGCTTGTCTTCCCCAAGCGCGTCTGCAGCCTGGCCAGCCTCCGCCCTGGGCCTGCCGTGCTCCCCGCCAGCCTCCGCCGCCGGCCCGAGGCACAGTGCCGCAGGGTGAGGGGGGAACCCGCTGGTGGTGCGGGACCCCCCCAGAGAGCCGGGCTCAGGGCGCCCTGCCTGCAGCCGCCCCCGTGGGGCCCTGGGCCTGGAGAGGATTGCCCACTCGCCCCGCGTGGAGACGTGCGCCCCAGCCTGCCCAGCGAGAGCCCCGCCTGCCCAGCCTCCGCGCTCAGAGACGCGCCTGCACGCGACACAGACACAGCCTCGCGAGGAGGGGCGCCCGGCTAATGACAGCGTCCACGCCCCAGCTACCCGTGCTGCCGGGCGGGGTCTTTCTCCAGGACCCACCAGAGTGGGTGCTGGCCCAGCCAGCTCGTGGCCATTGAGGCGTCGCGGGAGCTGGGCCCCAGGCCCAGCAGGACGCGCAACAGGCTGCCCCTCGGTGACCGGGAAGGGCTGGCTGTGTGCTGGCGGCCCCTCGAGGCCAGCCCAGCCCAGCTAGCACTGGGCTGCCTGCCTGCTCGCGGCCTCAGATCCTCACTCTGGATGTGTCACACGTCCCCTCGAGCCACACGGCCGGGGTGTGGGTGGACAGGCAGGGTCCCTCTCCAGGATGCGGGCGGCTGTGCCTCCAAGAGCCTTTTTTGCCTATGAAATGCCAACCCCCGGGGCCAGGCTCCCCACCCTGGGCCTGTCCCCCTGCTGTCCCTCAAGGGCCCGGGGCCCTGGGCAGCACCTGCACGGCCTGTGCATCCTCCAGGCGCAGCCCAGCTGGGCCTCATCCACTGGTGTCGGGGTGGAGGTGCGGGCACCTCGCGGGTGGCCCAGGGACAGTGCCACAGCAGAGCAGGCCCGGGCGAGGCAGTGGGGCTCGGGCCCCCCACTCGGTCCTTGGCTGCCTGCCAGCTTCCCTGCGTGCCCTGGGCCCAACACCCCTGCTGCCCAGCCGAGCACCCCGCAGGAAGCCCCCGGGGACATAGCTTGGACCCCTCGTGGCCTCGTCTGCTTGCTTGGCACCTGGAGCATGTCTCGCTGGGGCCGCTCCAGAGCCGCCTGGGGCGGGAGCGGGGGGCGGGGGGGGGGGGGCGGCTGCTCCCGCTGGCACGACCCCTGGCGGCCCGGGCACAGAGCGCCATGACTTACGCTTGACGGTGCCGCGCGACTCCTGGAAGCCCGCCGAGTCGGAGCCCCAGCCCAGGGTCTCGCAGTCCTGCCCGGGCCTCAGGCCTGCCCGCGCCCTGTCCGCCAGCCAACAGGCCCGCCACAGCCCCACACTGCGCCGGCGCCCGTCCTCCAGCGTCTGGAGCACCCAGCGGGGGGTGAAGGCCGCCGCGTTGTTCAGGATGAGAGAGGCCAGGGCCACCAGCACGGCCGCGGCCACCAGCTTCTGGACAGTCATCGCTGGCAGCGGCGCGGTCCTGTCCCTGGGAAGCGCGCTGCTGGGCCCGGCTAGAGGACGTCACCGCTCATCCTCGGAGCGGGCGGCCGGGCTCGGGGCAGGGCCCTCACGGCCCTCCTTGCCCGCCCCCCTGTGCCCGGAGCAGGGCCCGGCCGGAGCTGGTGGGGGCGGCGGGGCCCATCCCAGGGGGAGGCGGGCACCGGGGAGGCCAGGGGCGCGAGGCCGAGAGGCTGTGGGGCCTCTTCTCCCTGGGCGGCGGGACGGTCCGGCCACGTGGGGGCGGGGCCGCGCCTGGGCCTCGGCCTGGGCCGCCGGGAGCTCAAGCTGTGCGGCCGGCGGGCTGGGCTGCTGCTCGGGGCTGCTGGGGCCCTGCCGGGGCCTCCGCCGGGCGGTCCTGGAAAGCAGAGCCTGGGGGAAGTGCGCGCGCCTCCCAGCAGAGAGGAAATGGCTGTTTTTGAGGCTGTTTTTGGTGATCTGGAGGGCGTAGCCAATCGCAACAAATAGCAGCCGGCCACAGCAGCCAGACACACAGGATGTGCTTCCTGGTGGGAAAGGCGGGGGGCCCCAGCCCCGCTCCCAGGCCCCTCCCGGCCGCCCCACCTTCCTCTGCCAGAGCCGCCCGCTGGCCCGTCTGTCCCACGCTGACCGCGGCGGGTGCAGGCCGCTGCCCGGCCGGCGGGCACTCAGGGCCCGGCGCACACCCAGCCATCGGGCCCGCTCCTGCCCGCCTCACGCCAGCGCCCTGGTCACGGGAAGGTGGCCGGTGCGGCCGTCAGCACAGGGCCTGCCCCGTGGGGGGGCGTCAGGGGCCACAACAGGGGAGTCGCCCAACTGGGCGTCCCCGAGGTGTAGGAAGGAGCCAGGCCTGGGCAGAGCCCCTGCCAGCGGGAAGGGCCGACGCGCGCCCCGCATCCCGCCAGCCTGCGCCCCCGCCCCCGCCGGGCGCTCACCCACTGCAGCGGTGAAACCCCTTCTGCCCGGCGGCCAAGGGCAGACGCCCCAACAGCCACCCAGGCGTGGGGACCCGCTCCGGGACAGGCCGGTGAGCCCCTCGCCCTCGCGCACCGCCGGCCGCTGCGCTGGGGAGGCCCCGCGTGGCTTCCCGTGGACACCGGCCAGCCGCCCCAACCCCCGCCTCGCGGGAGCCGGCACTGGCGGCGACTCTCCCGCTGCGATGGAGCAGTGCTGACCGCCCGCGCCCTTCTGCTCTGAGCCCCAGCCCCGAGGCCAGAGCCGCCCCGACCTCACCATGCTCCCCTCTCAACAGCCGGGTCCCCCCACGGTCCAGGGCCACTGGCCACCCTGGGTGGAGTGGGAGGCGGGGGCCAGGTGCAGGCCCCCTGGGACCTGCACGTCCCCCAGAGGCCCTGAGATGTCTGGCAGCCGAATGGGGGCCACCCTTGCTCCCACACGCAAATGGGCCGCGCCTGAGAGCCGAGGAGCCGGGATTCTGGGCGCGGGGGCACTCGCGGCCAGGCTGACCGGGCTCCACTCCCCAGCCGGGGCTGGCCCAGGCACCTGCTCCGGGGCCTGTGTCAGAGGCACAGGAGCTCTGCCCGGGGCTTGGCAGCGGCCGAGAAGGAGTCCCCAGGTCACAGCGCAGGCACTGCGGCCAGCTCCGTAGGCCAGCCCCGCCCCAGGGGGCCGGGGGATGGCGGCCTTTCCCTCCTGGCCTGGTGGACAGACCCTGTGGTGGCCCGCGTGCCCAGGGCTGCCGCCCCGTGGGGCCCCTGCCCTGCCCCTGGGAGCAGCTAGATGCCAGCCAGGGTGCTGGGCCCGTGGCCTGGGTGGCCCTGCTAGTGCAGGCCACGAGCCGGTTCCGGCCAGCGGACGCCAGCTGTTTCCAAGCTAAGGTGCGGGGCGGGAGAGCCACGGAGGCAGGCCGTGCCCTAGACACACCCGCCGGGGAGGGGTCCTGAGGTGCCTTCAGATTGGGAGGACTGGCAGGCGGCACCTGGCCCCCGCCTCGCTGGACCCTCCCCCAGCCCGCACTGACCGGTGTCCTCCCCGCAGCGAGGCCGTCTGGGGCAGCATGGCGCGCATGTGTGTGAAGACCCGGCGGCTGGACGTGGCCAGGGTGTGCCTGGGGAACATGGCCCACGCGCGTGGGGCCCGGGCCCTGCGCCAGGCCGAGCAGGAGCCCGAGCTGGAGGCCAGGGTGGCCATGCTGGCCATACAGCTGGGCATGCTGGTGAGTGGGCCCCGCCCGAGATGGGGGGGAGGGCCACCACAAGTTGCGAACCCTGAGGCCAGAACAGCGGGGGCCCGGGCCCCAGCACCTGCATGAGCTGGCCTCTGGTGACCAGCGGGGCCGTGAGGAGCCCCACGCCTTCCCGTCTGCCTGGAGCCTGCACCCGCCCCCGGCCCATGGGCCCCCCTGCGGCCAGGACACTGCCAGACAGGCTGGGTGGGGCTGGCTCTGTCCGGCCTCTGTGGGTGTGCCTCAACCCCCATGGGCAGCTCTTCGGTGGCCCCGGGCTGAGCCAAGAGCCAGTGAGTGATGCCCCTGACCCCTGCGCAGGAGGATGCTGAGCGGCTGTATGAGCAGTGTGGGCGCTATGATCTCCTCAACAAGCTGCACCAGGCCAGTGGGCAGTGGCAGCGGGCGGTGGAGCTGGCTGAGCGGCGAGACCGTGTGCACCTGCGCACCACACACTACAACTACGCGCGGCACCTGGAGGCCAGCGGGGAGCGCAGCCTGGCCCTTGGCCAGTGAGTGCTTGGCCACAGCTGCTGAGAGAACACCCCGGCCAGTGGGGGGTGACCTCGTCAAGCCACCTGGGAAGGTTCTAGATGGGGCTCCCGGTGGGGGCTTCAAAGGCAGCTTGAGTTCTGTGCTTTAGGAAACCCCGGAGCGCCCCCTCTCCGAACCACTGGCCAGACCGCAGTCCACGGGGGTGTGGCTGCAGTGCTGACCTGGGCAGGGCCACCCCGACCCCCTCCGTCCATTGCTGGGTCCTGAGAGGGGCAGCAGCGCTTCCTGCTGGGTGCCAGGCCGGCGCCCTGCCCACAGGCCTGAGCCAGGCCCGTCCTCTCTGCAGCTACGAGAAGTCGGACACACACCGCTTCGAGGTGCCCAGGATGCTCTCTGAGGACCTGCCGTCGCTGGAGCTCTACGTGGACAAAATGAAGGACAAGTGCGCCCGCCCCGCCGGAGGCAGCATCTTGGCCCTCGGGGTGCAGTCCCCAGGACTCCAGCCCTTGGGGCGCGAAGGGACACCCTCTTTGGCCGGTGTCCTGGGCTGGGAGCGGGGCCGGCCCTGGGGGCACCAGCAGTTGGGGGGGGGTGGGCCGGCTCTGAGGGTGCCACCCCACAGGTCCCTGTGGCGCTGGTGGGCGCAGTACCTGGAGAGCCAGGCGGAGATGGCCGCGGCGCTGCACTACTATGAGCTGGCGCAGGACCACTTCTCCCTGGTCCGCATCCACTGCTTCCAGGACAACATCCAGAAGGTGCGGGCGGTGAGGGGCGCGGCGGGTGGGGGGGCGCGGCTACCCCTGGCGTCTCCCCTGCTGTCTCCCTAGGCGGCCGAGATCGCCAATGAGACCGGGAACTGGGCGGCGTCCTACCACCTGGCGCGGCAGTACGAGAGCCAGGAGGACGTGCGCCAGGCCGTGCACTTCTACACACGCGCCCAGGCCTTCAACAACGCCATCCGCCTGTGCAAGGTGCGCTCAGGGTGCCCCTGGACCTGCTGTCACTGGAATGCCCCCCCTCTGATGGGCTGCCCGTGGGCCTTGCAGGTGTTCCTGGGCGGCCCTGCAGCCAGTGCACGTGGCGACCCTGTGGCGTCCAGGGCGGCAGGCGGGGTGCCCACCCATGGCACCGGCCCTGCAGGGGCCCCACCAGCACTGCCCCCCCCCCACAGGAGAGCGGCCTGGACGACCAGCTCATGAACCTGGCCCTGCTGAGCTCCCCGGAGGACATGCTGGAGGCGGCGCGCTACTATGAAGAGAGGGGCGAGCAGATGGACAGGGCGGTCACGCTGTACCACAAGGTGAGGGCAGGGCCAGCCTGCGAGGTGCCCCGGCCCCTGCCCCAGTGCTCAGGACCCTGCTGTCCGCAGGCCGGCCACTTCTCCAAGGCCCTGGAGCTGGCTTTCGCCACCCAGCAGCTCGCGGCACTGCAGCTGATCGCGGACGACCTGGACGAGAAGTCGGACCCCGCGCTCCTGGCCCGCTGTTCCGACTTCTTCCTGGAGCATGGCCAGTACGAGAAGGCCGTGGAGCTGCTGCTGGCTGCCAGGAAGGTGCGTGCCCCGGCCCCTCTCCGGAGGCCTCTCCCCGCGACGGGCCCCGCCCGCTAGCCCCCGCCCTTGCCTCCACAGCACCATGAGGCCCTGCAGCTGTGCCTGGACCAGAACCTGACGCTGACCGAGGAGATGGTGGAGAAGATGACCGCGTCTACGGGCCACCAGGACCTGGGCGAGGAGGCTCGGCGGGAGCTGCTGCGGCAGGTGGCCGGCTGCCTCGTGCGCCAGGGCAACTACCGCCTGGCCACGAAGACGTATGCGCAGGCCGGGGACAAGCTGCAGGTGAGCGGCTGCCCCGCACGGCCCAGCCAGCCGCCAGCGGGCAGCGAGCAGAGCGTTGGCTGTCTGCCTAGGCCATGCGGGCCCTGCTGAAGTCGGGGGACACGGAGAAGATCGTGTTCTTCGCGGGCGTCTCGCGGCAGAAGGAGCTCTACGTCATGGCCGCCAACTACCTGCAGTCGCTGGACTGGCGGCGGGAGCCAGCCATCATGAAGAACATCATCAGCTTCTACACCAAGGGCCGGGCCCTGGACCTGCTGGCCGGCTTCTACGACGCCTGTGCCCAGGTGGGGGCTCGCGCGGCCGCAGCCCAGCACTGGGGCGCGCCTGGGCCTGCCCAGGCTTGACGGTCGGCTCCCGCAGGTAGAGATCGACGAGTACCAGAACTACGACAAGGCCCACGGGGCGCTGACCGAGGCCCACAAGTGCCTGGCCAAGGCCAAGGCCAAGAGCCCCTTGGACCAGGAGGCCAAGCTGGCTCAGCTGCAGAGCAAGATGGCGCTGGTGAGGCGGTTCATCCAGGCCCGCAGGTGCGTGCCCGCGGTGCCCCGGAGCCCCCGCCCAGCCAGCAGCAGCCCGGGAGCCACTTCCAAGTCCCCCATCAGGGGAACCCCCACCCAGGCCAAGGAAGCTGGGGTCCCCAGGGGCGGCAGCTGCCTGCAGGAGACCTGACTCTGGGTCCCTGGCGGTGGTGCTCTCCTGTCTGCTCCTGCAGGAGATCGGACCGGGGCCAGCCACCCCCAGAGCAGGGCTTCCGAGGGCCAGGGCCAGGGGCGGTTTGCGCGATGCCGTGCAGGTCTCCACGAAGGGCTCCCTCTGGATGCGGGGCCGCGGGGGCGCGGGCGGGGCTGAGGCCCTGGAGTGGGCAGGAGGCTGTCGGCTGGTCAGCTGCGCCCGGTTCCGGCAGGCTCCCAGCCCTCCTCACCCTTGCCGGGACGCGCCCACACTGACCACCTCGCGCTGGCAGCCCTCGGGCACCGTCCCCTTGGCACTGCCCTCAGGCAGAACAGAGGCTCCCAGCTCTGCTCTGGCCGGCCCAGGGTGGCGCCAGGCGGCGGAGCTTCGCTGGGGGGTGCGCTCATGGGCACTGACCCCCTGGACCCCAGCATCACACTTGGTGGGCTCATAGTAGGCGCCCTCTGGGCGGAGCCTGCCCAGCCCTGGACGCCCCACGCTCTCTACAGGGCGTACCCTGAGGACCCCAAGGAGTCGGTCAGGCAGTGCGAGCTGCTGCTGGAGGAGCCGGACCTGGACAGTGCCATCCGGGTCGGGGACGTGCTCGGTTTCCTGGTGCAGCACCACCTGCAGGCCGAAGACTTCCAGATGGTGAGGCCGCGGAGGGGGTGCAGTGCCCAGCGGGCTGGCTGGGGTACGGGGTGTCATGGGTTGGGGGAGCCACTGGGAAGAGCTGCCCCACACCCCACATGGTCTCTAGTCTTTGGAAAAGTCCCAGCCCGGTTGCTAGGCTGGTAGGGTGCTGCCCTGTGCTCGTGCCTCGAACGAGGCCACCGTACAGACTGGTGCTGGCCAGGCCCCGCGGCTGCACCCTCTCCTGCCGCCTCGGGCTCCCTCCGTGGCACGCAGTGGCCTCCAAGGCCCTCCCTGCCGCTGTCCTCCATCCTCCGGGGGCCCCAGGCCCCTGCGCCCCACTCCGTGGCCAGCCGCCTTCCCTGAGCCAGTGCATTGGACTCAGCCTTCCCGTCACCCCAGGGGTCCCTTGTGAGACCCCTGTTGGCTTTTTTTTTAATTTATTACACATATAAGAGTTGGGGTACAGGCCAGAGGTGTGGGGGGTGAGAGGACTCCCCAGAGTGAGCAGGCAACAGAACAGGCAGATCCACTGAGACACACTGCTGAGGGGAGCAGCGGGGAGACAGGCAGGGTCTGCTGTGACCTGTGGGCAGCTCCCTGGCCGGGGGTCACACTGGTGCCGCAGTGGCTGGCGATAGACACACGTCTTCATCTCCTGTGCCCTCAAGGAGGCCCCGGCCTGTTTTCCAAAGGGCAGAACCTCTCTACTGCAGCAGCTCCTGGCACCTGGGGCAGAGTGTCACTACGTGATTCCAGGAAGTTCTGGGCGGCCAGGCCCCGCCCCAGGTGGCCCAGGCCCCTGGCTCTACTCCCTGTGGGTGCTGGGTTCCTCCAGTAGCACCACGGTGGCCGTACTCTGCCAGGACCCCCACCAGGGCCAGCTGGTTGTGGACATGTCTCCCCTTTGGGCAGGCGTGGGGCCGGGCCCGGCTGGCGGAGGACATGCGCGTTTGGCCAGCATAGGGGCGGGCCCTCCCCGGCAGCTCTCGGCTGGCGCTGCCAGCCGTGGTCAGAGACCCACTGCCCAGAGGTTGGGGCGTGTCCTCAGGCCCTCGCTGGCCACTTAGCCGCCTCTTCGGGGCCGTGTCCTCCAGGCCTCCCCCGACTGCCCCACCCAGGCCAGCGCGGCCCGGAAGGTGCTGCCCCTTTCGGGCTGATTTTTGTTGTTTCGTGGTGATTTCAGCACAGAGGGACTAAGCTCGGGCCGGCGCCGGCTTTGTCTCCCTGTCATGCCACCTGTGCCGAGGGCGACCGGCCCGAGGCCATGGGCCTCCTCCCGGACGCCTGGGCCGGCCTCGTGGGTCCTGCCGGCGTGGGCGGCGCAGTAGAGTCTTGACCTTGTTTTAGTTTTGTTGCTTCTTTGAAACCCTCGTGTCCGGCTGAGGTGGGGTCAGGAAGCGCTTCCGTGTTGCCAGACACCTCGGGGTCGCCGCGATCGAGTCCCTTGGCATTTCCCTTTCCGGCATCTGCTGCTCGCGCTCAAGCCCTGCTCCCGCGCTCGGCCCCCGGGGCCGGGACCGTGCTGTCCTCTGAGTGGCGAAGGCCCGCCGCCGGCCTCCCAGCGCACTGAGTCGAGGAGCGGGGCGGCTGCCCATCGGCCCTCTCGAGGCGGCGCACGGTGACCCGCCTCCGCTCGCGCACCCGAGTTGTTCGCTGTGAGGGAGCAGCCCAGCCTCCGTGAAACACTTGTCCCTCCGGGTGCAGGCGAGCCCGCCGGCCGCATGCCCAGCGTGTGGGCTGCAAATACCCGCGGGTGTCGGTGGCCGGCCTCCGAGGCCCTCACCCCACCCCACCCCCGCGGCTCTGCTCCCAGAAGGGTTCTGCCTCCCGTGCCGTGCCGGGAGCGCGAGTTCACCCGCCTTCCCTCTGCGACTTCTCCCCGCATCCGCCCACCCCGAAGCCCCCCTGGGCCTCCCCACCCCCCTGCCATCTGCTCTGCTGTCTGGACAGGACTTGCCGAGCCCCGTCCACGCCGTCCTTTCCTGGGCCGTCCCCGACCTGCTCTGAACCTTTCAGTTCAGATCTTGTCCCTTTTTTGTTTCTAGAATTGAAAGTGGGTTTTGTTCTCATCTCTTTGCCAAGATTTCCTGTTTCTTTACTCACTGACCTGCACTTTCTGGGCCCCGAGGCTATGGCCCGGCATAGCTGCTTCTCCAGCACCTGCTGCCCACACTCTCCGGCCCCCAGCGCGTGCCTTTCTCTTGAGAGTTTTCCTGTGTCTCGCGGCCACCTTTTCTCTGTCTGCGTCGTGAGCGCGGTCACCCACTGCAGAGACTCTGGGTCCTCGCTGCCTGCCTGCCTTCCCGGGGGGTGGGGGGTGGGGGTGGGGTGCACTTGGCAGGCTCCTGGAAGCCTGGCCCGCCGGAGGTCAGGACAGAGCGCAGACTCAGTCCCGGGGCTGCCGCGCCCGCCTTCGCCCACCATTTCCATCCCCTGGCCCCCTGGCCCTTGGGGGACAGGGCCCTAAGTCGCCTCCAGGGTTCTCTGCTTCTGGAGAAAGCTGCAGAGACGCGAGGAGCCGCGTGTTCTCAGCACGGACAGGCCAGTGTCCGCAGCTACCTGGTTCTGCCTCAACCCGTGGGAAACCGGCGGGGTCGGGAGTTCTGAGTCCACTGTGAGTGCAGGGCGCGGCCTGCAGCTTGGCTGTCGGCACTGTCTCCCCGATGGACCGCCACCCCACGTCCAGACCCCACCCTGCGCAGAGTGCCCAGAGCCGGGGCATCAGGACAGCAGGCGCGCCTCTCTGGCTGGCCCTCCCGGGCTTCGGTGGCCACGTCCTTGCCCCTGTGAGAGCCCCGGGATTCCGCTTGGCCATCTCCCTGCATCCCCCGTGCCCCCCCACCCCCGGCCTCCTGCGCCCAGCGAACAGGGCTGTCGCTTACCAAGTGCGTCACATCCTCCCACCTCCCACTCTGCCCCCCGAAACCATCTTCTGTCCCCATAGCGGTGAGCCCTGCGCACGCCCAAGCCCTTGCCTTTGTGCCATGGGAACGGAGTCGCGCCAGTTTCCCCACTTCGTGGCCATGGTTCTCTTGACAGGACACGGCCCGCCCTCCCGGGCCCACAGGACCCCCGAGCTGCGACCCCCACCGGCAGTGGGGCCGGGGGTGGGCAGGCCCAGTTAAGTGGGTCCCGGGAGAGGCAGCCTTCCCCGCTGCGCCAATGGGCGAGGCCCGTGGGATGGAGCAGGCGGGGGGGGGGGGGGGGCTGCTCTCGGGGCCAGCCTGTCCACATCAGTGGGCGAGCAGCAAGGTCTCCGGCCCCCCCACCCCCGGCTGCTGGCCGCCCTCCGGGAGCTGCCCATGGGCCGAGAGTCCCTCCCGCTTCACCCCAGTCCTGAACGTGCTGTTCTCGGCTCGTGGACCATCGCTGCGGGCTGACCACTAACCGCGGCCACTGTTGTCTCCACCCAGGCCCACAAGTACCTGGAGGAGATGCGGAGGAGGCTGCCCTCCGCCAGCCTGTCCTGCTATGTGAGCCAGCGGACGGTGGACGCGGTGCACCAGGGCCTGGGCCTCCCGCCGGCACGTGCCACGCCCGAGCCCACCCGCCATGGCAGCACAGAGGGGCCCAAGGAGGAGGCCGAGGAGGTGCTGGAGGAGGTGGACAGCGAGCCCTGAGGCCGCGCAGAGGCCCTTCTGGGCCCACTCCCGCTCAGCGGAGCCGTGGGCAGCCCCCGCCCCGCTGCTGTGCGCCCCAGACGCTCCTGAGGGCCGGACGACTGGACAGGCCGCTGCCAGCAGGAATCGCGGCTCCTGACCCCGGGCCCAACGGGCTGTCGGGAGTGGCCACCCTACTGCCCAGGCCGTGCCCTCCTGTGGGGTGACAGGGCCTGCGCCCCAATAAAGGCTTTACCCAGTGGCCCGTGTCTGGCGCAGCAGAGCCACGGGCAGCCGGGGCTCCTGGGCACTTTGCTTTATTTTGGGAAAGGGGTGGGCGCAGGACAGCAAGCGGCCCCGGGCCCGGCTCCACCCGCAGGGCTGTGGGCCACAGAGGCCGTCGGGTCAGGCGCTGGGGGACGCGGGGAGCAGCCGGTCGCGCAGCCGCTCCAGGAGCAGCAGCGCCCTGAGAGCCAGCGCCCTGCAGTCCTCGTCGGGGTCCTCCTCCGCCACACCTGAGGGGGCCGGTGGGCACAGCTAAGGGCCGCCCCTCCCGCCCACACCCACGAAGCCCCCGGCACCCAAACCAGACAGAGCGGGTGCGGCCAGGAGGCCCTCCACAATCAGGGCCTCGCCCCGGGCAGTGCCGGAGCTCTGGCTGACCCCCGCGGGAAGCCCCGGGCCCCCCACACCTGCCTCACCTGCCAGCCAGCACCCGGCCTCCAGTAGCTCGTCCGGCAGGTCCCCCAGTAGGCGCTGGGCAGGCACGCTCAGCAGGACAGAGGAGAGGGCGGTCAGCAGGCCCTGGCGCACATAGCTGCGGCGGGGTGGGCGGGGATGAGCGGCCGCGGAGCCCAGCCTGGCAGGGTGGCCCCCAGGCACCCCATCCCACCACCACGTCCACATGGCGCCACCGCCCCCTGCCCCGAGACCACTCACGCGTCACCGTGGAAACGAAGGGCCCACACGAACTCCAGCAAGGCCTTCCCCATGGGCACGGCCACCTGGGGACACAGGGCTGGTGGGCAGGGCTCCGCCACGCCCACCCACTACTGGGCAATCCCTGCCTGACCCGTCCTCGGGTCTCAGCTCAGGCCTCCTGGCCCAGGGCCTGACCGCTGGCCCAGCTCACCGTGGTGTTCACCGCCAGGCACATGAGAGCCCCTAAGGTGTGGGCCAGCCTCCCCAGCACCAACTGGTCGTCTCCCAGGAGGTCAAAGGTCACCAGTGGCCTGCAATAGAATCCAGCCAAGGGGGGAGGTCCCGGGGCCGGCTCCCCAACCTCCTGGGCCCCATGTGGCCAACTGCCCCGATGCCTCTACAAAGCCCCAGGGACGAGGGCGGGGCTCAGATGTCACCTTGCCTGTCGGAGCCAGAACAAGGGCTGGAAGGTGGCCACCCCGCCCCCCACCCACATGTCCGGGCTCAGGGGCCCTCCACGAAGCCTCCTTGCCTATCCAGGCTTCCAGCCACCCCAACTAGATGGCAGCCCCTGCCCATCCAGCTCAGACCCCACCCGGGGCCACCTCCCACCCATGGCCAGTCTCCAGGACGCCCACTGACCTGTCAAAGCGCTGAATGAGGGGAAAAAAGAAATAGCCGACCACCAGGTGGAACTCGCTGGGGCCACCGGCCGGCGCCCGCCTGGCAGGACCCTGCAAATGCAGGTGCTGTGGGTGTCTGCGCCCCCAGCCAGGCCCCCCGTCCCGCGCTGGGCCAGCAACACCCCCAGTGGCACAGGACCCCTGCCACCTGGCCACAGTGGGGGCGGGGCAGGCACGAGGCCAGTCCCACCCCCGCAGGCCGGCGCCCCACACTGCGTGTCCACCGTGAGGCCAGGCTGACCTGGGAGAAGCGCCGGGTCTTCCGTCTGATCCGCTCGTCCACCACCGCGCGCCAGGCAGGGGCCACGGGGCCGCCAGGCTGGGAGGCAGGCGCCGGGGGGCCGCTGCAGGGAGCCCCCGCCAGGCGCCCGGGGCGAGAGAGCTCCTGGGCAGCCAGCACCAGCACCTGGGGAGATGGGCGGCTCGTCGCTCGGGCAGAGGTGTCCTTCCAAGACGCCAGCCCCGGAAAGGGAGCGACCCAACTGGGTGCCACCCCACTGCAAGGGGCAGCCCTAGGGCCGTACAGCTGGGGACGGGAAGGGCGGAGCTCCGCATGCCCAGGCGGCTTCCCATCCCCCAACCCACCTCTCAGGGCAGCGTGGGACGGGCCCGGGGTGCACGGTCCTTCGATGCACAGCCCCAGCGTGGCCTTCGCCACCTTGTGCGACCGTGGCCAGGCCGCACCCTCACGCCTGACTGTCCCCGCACGGCTCCTGGACCGTTCTCGTCACCCCGCAGGGAACCCGGGCGCCCACCCCCGAGCCTCTGCTGCCCGCAGTGGGCCCCGCTCGCCTCCGCGGCGGATTTACTGCGTGAGCGCCATCGCGACGGCGCCTACTGGACGACGCCGCGGCCGAGGAAGCCCCTCAGCAGGAGCGCCTTCCTGTCCCCCGGCCCCAAGGGCAGCCCAGGTCCCTCCATGGGGCCGGGCCGCACTCACGTCCAGGACGTCCATGCGCTGCCGCAGGCTGTAGTTGAGGGCGTAGAACTGCGAGGTCAGGTACTCCGCCACCTGAGCCAGGTGAAGGGACGTTGGCCACACGGCCCGGCACCCCATGCGTCCCTGTGCGCGCACCCGTCGCGCCCCTGCCCTGCCCAGGCCCAAGGGAGCCAGGCTGGCCCAGGCCGACTCACCCGGGCCGGGTCCGTGACCGTGACGGCCACCAGGGCCCTCTGGCGCAGGCCCTCGAATCCCGCCACGCTGGTCTTCTCCTCCAGGTGCAGCAGCACCTTGGCCAGCTCCACGCTCACCTGCACACGGAGGCGGGGCCTTCAACCCCAGCCCGGTGACCTCTGGTCGGGGAGGGGTGGGGCGGGGCTCCCCTCTGCCCGCTCACCTCCCGAGTGGCCGTCGGGCTCCTGGACACCAGCCCCTCGAGGGCGCGCAGGGCCGCCTCCCAGCGCTCCCAGTCCTCGGACGCGGTCAGGGCTGCAGAGGACCACACCCGTCGGGCCTTGGCCCGCAGGAGAAGGGACAGGCCGCCCCGGCCGCCCCCCCGCGCACCTTCCAAGCAGTCCCGCACGTACGCGGGGGCCTTGCTGCTCCTCAGCTCCCCGTCGGCCGCCATGTCGTAGGGGACCAGGTCGTCGTCGCTGAGGGCGCATCAGGCGGACGGAGGCAGTGCTGTGGGTGTCTGCGCCCCCAGCCAGTCCCGCCCCTCCCCAGCCCTCCCCAGCCCTCCCCAGCCCGCGTCCAGCCTCTCCAGCTGCAGGGGCACCGCCCCGCGCCCACCTGTCCAGCTCCGCATCTGAGCCCTCCAGCCGCGCCTGGGGGTCGCCACCGCCCGCGGGCTCTGTGTCCGGGGTCTCTGCGGCGAGCGGAGCGGTCGACGGGCTTGTGGGAAACAGACCCCCAAGTCCTCAGAGCCCCGCGCTCTTGAGCCTCCGCTGCTGCTCTTGGCGACTCGAGTCCAGAGGACGAGCGATCGAGGCATGCCCACCCCCGCCGCCCAGCGGGCTCGCGCCGCCCTCACCTGGCCTCCGGAGGGCCGTCGCCCCCAGGCTGGGCAGGGACCAGAGCCAGTAGCTCGCGACTCAGCTCGTCCTCCTCATACTGCAGGGGCAGGAGCAGGGGCTGGGGTCGGGAGGAGGGAACCCCGCGCCTACAGCTCTTCCTCCTCCAAGTCCGGGGGGCGGGGAGGTGCCGGCCAGCCAATGGCGGAGAGGCCCCACCGCCGGGGAGAGAAGTCCGAGGGGACAGCAGCCGCCCCTGAGCGTCCCTCCGCTCCACCCAGCCTGGGGCCCCGGGGTCTTTGGCTAAGACCCTCGGGCACCACGGGCAGCTGAGGGGCCGCCACCACCCCAGCGCGGCCTCCATGGCGGCCAGCAGGTGGGGCGGGCAGGGGCTCGGTGCCCGGGGCTGGGTTTGGCCCCTGGCTCACCTGGAACTTCAGGGGCGGCCCCTCGGGGTGGATCCGGGCACTGGCCACCTCGGCCACGATCATGCCCAGGCGGCGCACGGGGGGCAGGCTGCTGTCCAGGCGACACTTCACTCCTGCCATCAGGCTGGCCAGCAGCTCTGCAAGCACCATGCAGGTGCTGAGCATGCAAGGCGGGGGCGGGGCCAGGCCAGGGTGGGGCCGGGGCCGGGGCTGGAGCCAGGGCCAGGGCAGGCACGTCCATTCACCCACCCGCCCACTTGCCTGCCCACTCACCCGCCCGGCTGTCCCGGAGCTCAGCCTCCCTGAGATGCACAAGGCAGAGCAGGACGGCCGCGCTGACGTAGCGCTGCTGTGCCAGGGGCGCGTGGCGGACGGCGCTGCTGCTGCCCCACGTCTCCAGCAGCTCCTTCAGCGCCTGGGGGTGCAGAGCACGGGGCCTGGCCTGGCAGCCCTGCCAGGGCCTGGAGCACCCGGCCATCAGCGCACCAGCCCCAGGGCGCCGGCCGCCCCCCAGACAGCATGCCCCCACCGTCCCCCAGGCGCTCACCTGCACAAGGAGAGGGCGCCGCTGGCTGTCCATGGCCAGGTACCCCAACAGGCTCCGCAGCATGGGTGTCTGCGAGGACAGTGGGCATTTTGTCGCTGCGGCCAGGCTGGCGCTGATCACCCACCCAGCCAGCCAGGGGCACGGGAAGGGGGCGCCATTTCTTGGCAGCTGACTCCGCGCAGGCCAGGGCGGTGCCTTGGCAGCAGCAGCTCACCGAGTATCCGCACCGCAGCAGCAGCAGCTTCCGGGTCATCACGAACTGGGCCTTCCTGCTCTTCAGCACCAGGTTCCCCAGCAGACGCGACAGGACCTCGGGCCTGCAGGGCAGGGGCAGGGGTCGCCCGCTGCTTGGCCTCAGCCAGCCTCCCACCAGGCTCCTGCAGGGGACGGCCGCACGGGCCGGGCAGCACGGAGCGCAACCCGGAGCCGGACCGCAAAGCAAGGTAGGCTAACCCCACCCCGGAGGTGCGTCGCAGCGGGAGGGGCCGTGCTCACCCAGGGGCGGCCTCCACAAGCCCGGTCAGCACGGCCTCCATGGCCCGATCCGGCACCTGCTCCACCAGCCGCCAGCAGACCCGCTGCCAGAGGCAGCTACCCTGGGTGAGCGCTGCCAGCCGGGGCACCATCACGCCCAGCACCTCCTCTGAGACAGAGGCAGACCCTGAGCCCCGGGTGCCCCGGCCTCACCCCCAGGGCTCCATACACCCCTGCACACAGCCCACGCCATGGGGCCGCCGTCCACTCCCTGAGCGAGCGGCTGGCCACGCAGACATGGGAAGCGGCCCCGCCCACCCAGCAGCACTCACTGCGCCTCCCGTGGACACAGGCTCTCCCGAGGACCTGGGACACGAAGGACACGGAGCAGTCGGAGCCGCCTGGGGGGAAGGCAGGCGTCAGGCGGGGCCAGCAGGCTGCTCAGAGCTGCCGGCAGAGGTCAAGGGCGCCAGAGACCAGCTCCCTATGTGGCCGCAATGGAGACCGCAGCGGGCGCAGGAAGCCAGGCCATCAGATGAGGGGTCAGGCTGGGGCCGCTCCTCCGGGGCCCCAGGGCACCCGGTCAGACGGGGTGAGCAGGAGCCGTGCCCCAGTGCCCCAAGCAAAGGAGCACGCCCCCAACCAGCCCCACACCCCTGGGCACCGAGACCCACATCCCGCCACTGGGCCGACACCAACATCCACACGGCCAGCGGCCAGACACGTGGGTGTGCCCAGCGGGTGCAGGAATGGCCAGCGCGAGCCACCCCTGCAGCCACGGAGCCGCTGTTGTCCAGGTGGACAGCCACCGGGCTCGGAGAGCAGCCCCACCTCATCTGGCCCCATGTCCACCCCAGGCCGGGCGCGATGACGGGAAGGAAACAGAAGACCTGAGCGACGTGTCCCAGGGGCGAGCGGGAGGGAGGGCAGGAGGCTGGAAGGTGGGCGTGGGAGCCGGGGGGGGGCCCTCACCGCGGAGGGAGTCCACCACGGCCTGCAGGGCACACACGGCCTCCTTGCCCAGCAGCGGGAAGTAGCTCTGGGGCAGGAACTCGGCCAGGTTCTCCTGCTGCAGGCGGTTGCCCAGGCGATCGGGCAGGCCCACCATGAGGGTGACCAGCGTGTCCTGGAGCAGGGGGAAGGCCGGGTCCTCCGGCTGCCGGCACTGCTCCTCCATCACCGCGGCCATCCTGCCGGCCCCCAGGAACCTGGCCAAAAGCTGCGCCGTCTTCGTCAGTTGGAAGCTGGGGCTGAAGCAGAAGCAGCGGTGACCGCAGAGCCGGGGCCCCTGTCCCGCCCGCAGAGCCGGCTCCGCCGAGAAGGGGAGCCCGGCACGCGGCAGAAAGTGGGGTCCGGCTCGCCCGCCTGCCGCAGCCACACCGCGGCCAGCAGCCGACCCCGCAGGCCTCACGGGCACCACCGCCCGCCCCTCCTGGTCTTCGCGCCCTGCGGCCGAAGGGCCCGCCCACGGCGCTCGGTGGCCGCCCGGGAGGACCCCAGGGGGCCCCCGAGGGCGGCCCTCACCCGGCGGCGTCGCGGACGGCCTCCAGGAGCGCCAGGAGCGCCGGGCCGGCCGGGCCCCGCAGGAAGAAGCCGGCCCCCAGCTCCTCCAGCCGCGGCCGGCCGGGGCGCAGCGCGCGCAGCAGGCCGCGCAGCACGGCGGCGAGGTGCGCGCGGGCGAACTCCTCCCGCTCGGCGCGCGGGGCGGGCGGCGCCGCGAGCCCGAGGTAGCGCCGCGGGGCGGCCAGGGCGGCGGCCAGCCGGGCCTCGTCCTCGGGGGCCGCCAGGGCGCGCGCGGCCTCGCGCACGTGCAGGCGGACGGCGGCGCGCGCGGCGTCCATCGCCCCCAGGCCGCGGCCGCCCGCGCGCGGCGGCAGGAGCCCGTCGGGGCCCGCGGCGCACGAGCCCCCGCGCCGGGCCGGCCGCGCCCGCGGGACCGACCCCGAGCCGCTCGCGACGGAGCCGCCGCGGGAGCCGGGAACCGGAAGGGCCGCGCGCGGGCCTCCCGTCTGCGCCTGCGCGAGCCGGGCGCGGGCGGCGGGCCGGAGCCGTGTGGGCGGGGCCCGGGGCGGGCGTGGGCGGGGTCGCGACGTAGCGTGTGGGCGGGGTCGCGACGGAGCGTGTGGGCGGGGTCGCGACGGAGCGTGTGGGCGGGGTCGCGGCTGGGGCGGGGCCGCGCTCCTGGGGGCGGGGCCGCGCTCCTGGGGGCGGGGCCACGGCGGGCGGGGGCCGGGCGCGCAGCGGGTCCTGACGCGGGCGGGGCGCCGGCGCGGGTGTGGGGGCCCCGCGGACCCTCCCGCTCGCCCAGCGGCGCCGACTGTCGGGGCGTCCCCGGACGCGGATGGGTCCCTGCCCGCCGCGGAGGGGGAGCCTCGCACCGGAGCGCGCCAGAGGACCCCGCGATGGGGGGGGGGGGGGGGGGCTCCTGCCAAGGGCCCCGGGCAGCGGGAGACCCGAGCGCGGTCCAGCCGGGCAGCGGGGAGCCCCAGGGCGGGCAGCGCCGGAGGCTCAGCCCCCTGGCCGGGCCCGAGCTCAGTCCGTGCAGGTGACTGACCCCCAGGCCACCGCGGAGGCGCTGACTCACGCGAAATTTGTCTTTCAAAGACCCGAGACCCAGGGCCGCCCGGGCGCGGCGGGTGAGCGCTGGGCTGCGAGGCTGCCCGCGGCCTCTGCGGCGCCGGTTCGATCCCCGGCTGCTCCCCGGCCCCCGGAGGAGGGTCCCGCATGGCGCGCAGACCTCTCCTGCCGCCCGCGGCTCCCCTCAGCAGTGTCCTTCGGTCCTTCTGCCTGCTCTGCTCCCCGCTCTGGCTCTGGGGGATCCTCTCACCCTCCCGCGCTTCTGACTGTGCCCAGTGCTTGTATAAATACATAAATCTTTAAAAAAAAAAACAAAGATCTGAGACCCGGGGCGGTGGGGGCGAGGCAGGCGGGCCCCACCTGTGACGGCACATCGGGGTTTTCCTCGGGGCGGGGCTGTGTGCTCAGAATGGGACATGAGCCCGTGTTCCAATTTTATGTGTCCGAGCAGCCATGCGGAAGCTAAAGCTGGCCAGTGAGCTCGACGACGTATTCTGTGTAACCCAGCCTCCCGCCCCTGTGGCCAGTGCTGCCGTCCACCCCAGCGCCGGCAGTGCGGGGGCCCAGCACAGCCCAGGGCGGCCCGGCAGGTGGGGGCCCACTCGTGCAGAGTGGGGTCCAGCTCTGCCTCTAGACTGGCCTGCGTCCCTCACCCCAACCCCAGCTCCACCAACCCTGGACACCCCAAGCTCTCAGGTGTCCAGCGACGGGAACAGTGGCCTCCAGCAATGGGTCCGAGCCGCACCCCATGCCCTTGCGCTGAGCTTATGCAGAAGGGCTCCGCAGCTGCAGCTGAGGCTCAGATGGCGGCCAATATGCCCCGGGCCCCTGGCTGGCCTGAGGGCCAACGACCGGCGCCTCAGGGGAGACAGGGAGGAGGCACGGTTGGGAGGAGGTTGGGCCCCAAAAGCTGGAGAGGCAGGAAGGGCCTCCCCAGAGGCTTCGGAGGAAGTGTGGGCCTGAGGCCGGGAGTGTCCCATCCCCCGGAGAACTACAGGCCGCCTGGAGCCCCTGACGACACCCGCTGAGACCCTTTGCCCAGTCAGGGCCAGGCTCAGCAGCCCTGGGCAGGACAGGCCTGCTCAGCACTCCGGCTAGCTATGCCCAGAGCCCAGCGCAGGCCCCACCCCGGTGCCCTGGCCTCCCCCAGCGAGGGTGCGGGGGCCCTGTGTGCCCAGCTGCCACAGGGCCTCCCTCCCCCGCCCACGGCCTGAGGCCCAGCACCTGCCGCAGCCATCACCTCCTGCTCCGGGCCAGCAGCCAGGCCAGCGCCCATCCAGCTATTTCCCAGAGAAGCTGCCTGCGTCTGTCCTGGTCTGTCTTCTCGGGAGCCTGGCTGAAGGCATATGTGGTCCCTGAGGGCGGCAGGGAGCTCCGGCCCCCCATGGGCACCCAGCAGGTGGCCCCCCGCACCCAGGGGCCCCCCGTCCTCCAGCATGGGCCGCCTGGCCCAGACGGCCCTGCCCGTCCTCCTTATTGCCGTGTCCTTGTTCCTGCACGGGGCCCGGCCGCAGCCGGCCAGTGCTGAGGGCCAAGGTAGGCCCCTCTCCCAGCGGCTGCGCAGACTGGAGGAGCAGGTGCGTGCAGCCAGCAGGGCGGGGGGGACAGTGGCCAGCCCCCCCACCCCCGACCAGGGCAGCCGCTGTTTCTCCTTCCGTACCGGCGAGGAGTGTCCCTGGGCACCCACGTGATGATCAGGAAGGGATCCAAGGCATGAGGGAGGTGGGGCACATGGAGTAGCTCCCGAGGGCCCTGCCCTATCCAGCCTGCTCCAAGGGCCCTGCTTTGAACCCCACAAACTGCCTATGTAACCCATCTTGCTGCCCGTCCACTCACAGCAGGCCCCGAGGCCGGCAGGGGGGTGGGCGTGGGCACCCCAACGCTGCCGCCCTGCCGGCTGGGGTCATGAGCGGGCACTGGCCCCACCCTGCCCCACAGTCCCACACGATCCAGGAGGTGACGCTGGCGCTCGGGCAGGCCCTCGCCAGCAGCTACAACCTGACCCACGACATGGACACCTGGCTCCGGAGAGCCAGGCCTCAGCGCAGGGCCACCTGGGCCTCCTCAAGACCTGATGCGGAAGACGCAGCACAGAGGCCAGAGGGTTGGCGCCCGGCTGCAAGCCCAGGACACCACCCTGCGTGCGAGGAGCCAACAGCAGGTTTAGGAGCGGGAGGAGCGGGAGGCCCAGCGGGCTGCCCTGGCCGGCCTGACCTTGGACATGCAGGCCCTGCAGGACTTGCTGGCTCATCTGACGCACCTTGTCCAGGCCCAGGGCGCTGGGCTGGCCGCTCTCCTGGAGCAGCTGCTCCGCCCTGACTCCCCTGGCCCCGGGCTGACCCCAGCCCCGCCAAGTCCCAGCCCCTTGAAGCTGCAAGGGGGCAGCTGGGCCCTCAGCCCTCCACCTGAGTCCAGGGGCCCACTGCAGGACTTCACTAGCCCATTCCAGGAGACACAGGAGCCCCCAGGCCCAGACAGCCAGAGGACACGGCCCCCCAAGAGCCCAGGATAGAGTAAGGAGTGAGGCTGCCTCCCACCCCGTCTCCATGTCCCTCCCGCCCTCCTCTGACCTCGGGCCCCTCTGAGAAGTCCCTCCACAGCGTGGACAGGCCACCCCATTCACACCTCACACCCCCGCCCCAGGGGTAAGGGCCTGTCTGCACCACCCGCAGGCACATGCTGCGGTCTGAGCATTAGCAGCAAATGGGCACGGCAGCCACTGCCCACTGGGCAGTGACAGTCCACTCAGCGGCAGGGGTACAGCCCAGCTCCCCCCACCCCTGGGAATCCAGGCCCAGCCCCTCCCCACGCCCCGGGACCCAGGCCCAGAGGCTGCAGGTAGGGCTGGGGGAGGGGCTGGACGGGCGGGTGGGGGCGGGCAGGGGGCTGGGTGGGCAGTGCCCGGCCCGACACCCTCCATCTCTGTCTGCAGTGCAAGCCCCCTGCTTGTCTTCCCCAATGCCTCTGCTGAGAACGCAGTCTTCCTGTGCCCGGCTTCCACGCGGGCCTGCGGCGCTGTCCATCTGCAGCTGGGTGCCCACGGCCGCCGGCCACCTGGGCACTCTCCTCTCCTACGCCACAGTGGACAATGACAACATGCTGGTGCTGCATGGCCGCCGCTCACTGCCCCCCAGCAACCTGCACTTCGTGATCGGGGACCCGGCCTTCAGGGAGCTGCCCCTGCAGCCGCTGCTCGACGGCCACTGACACCACATGTGCGTCACCTGGACGTCCGTCCTGGGCCGATAACGGCTCCACGTGGACTGCAGGCTCGTGGCCGCCAGCTCCCGCTTCCAGGAGGGCTACAAGATCCCGCCCGGAGGGTCCCTGGTGGTGGGCCAGGAGGAGCAAGACAGCGTGGGGGGCAGCTTTGACAACATGGAGGCCTTTGTGGGCAGCATGGCCGGCTTGGCCATCTGGGACCAGGCGCTGGTGCCTGGGGAGGTTGCCGACCTTGCCACCGGGCGGGAGTGCCCAGCGGGCGCCATCCTGACACTGGCCAGCACCGCCTCGGTCGGGGGGTTTGTGCAGAGGATCGCCTGCCCCTGCCTGGAGCTGTCCCTGAGGCCTGGCCCCTCACCACTGCGGGTGTGCCCTGGGCCGCCAGGAGGAGCCAGCCGCCTGCCATCCCGATGCCCTGAGGGCCAGACATGACAGTGTGCTTGGGGAGGAACAGAAGGGGGGCCTCTGGGGGCAGAGACCACCGCCCCCAACCGGCCAGGGAGAGCTGCTGCAGGCCCCCTCTCCAGGAGGCGGGGGGAGACCCTTCGGGCATGCACGGTCCGCATGGGGTGGGGGGGGAGAAGTGCTTCCTGTGCCCCAAAGCGCCCTATCGTCTGTTTGGCATCAATTTCATCTTTTTGAAGTCTGAATCGTGGTGAGTGAAACTAAGGCTGCAGGGCGAGCCAGCCTGGCCTGTCGGACTCTCGGGGGCAACGCAGGGGTGGGGCGGTGCATGGCCTTGGAGGGCAGGGCACGAGGACCAGTGGGTGCAGCACCCCTCTTCTGTGCAAGGGCCCAGAACCGCTGAGCTTCGTGCCAGGCCAAGTCCTGAGAAGCCCCCATTGCAGGCGCTTTCCAAAGAGCTGGGGAGAGGGGCGGCCCGGGCACCCCCCAGCACCTGGGGCTGTGCCTTCCCGAGGTTTCACTGCGCGTCTGCAGAGCGGCCCAGCCCCGCAGGGATGCCCAGTCGCCGGCCTGCCCTGAAGCCCCCTCAAGCCCCTCCTCCTCCCCAGGCCCCTCTGCCTTCTCTGGAACCTTGCCTGGTCCGTGGCACTGCGGGCAGAGGGGAGCTGCTTCTCTAGGGGACACTGGGGAGTTGATCAGGGGTACACTGGGGTGCAAGTGGGGCCCTGCCTGGCAACCCCATCAGGCACCCTGTCCCTGCCTCAGGCAAACAGGAAGGCACGCGGTTGGCAGCTCGAGGTGGCTGTCCCCGCGGTGCCCAGCTGGGGATGCTTTGAGGGGGGTGCTGGCTAGGACTGGGGGGGCCCTGAGAGCTGGGGAAGCTCAGGGCCACCAGGAATGTGGGAAGAGCCTGCCGTATGGGCTGTCCGGCAGGGCCGGTCCTGAACTGGGGTGTCTGGGCGGCATCGGGGACCCGCTACCCGGCAGGGTGGGCCACAACGCCCGCGGGCATGGCAGCGCGGCCACAGCCCCTCAGATACTGCCAGCTCTCGCCCGGCCCCAGACTCCCGCGTTTCCCAGTAAGGACAAAGCCAGGGCCCAGCGGGTCCTTCTGCGCCGGGAGCCAGCTCCAGGCAAGGGGTGGCTGGTGCCCGGGCCCTGTGCTCTGCACCTCTGAAAGGGCCAACTGCCCAGCAAAGGGCCGCGCTCTGGCCCTGTCCATCTGATGGAAACGCCCTGCCCGCCGCGCCCCACCCGCTTGGGCACAGAGACCAGCGTGACCTCCTGCTCCCGGCCGTTTTCACTTCCCCAGTGCCGGGGCAGCCCCACGCCCACACGACCCGCGCGGCGCCCGCTGCAGCCAGGACCCGGCAAGGCAGGGGCGGGCAAGGCAGGGGCGGGCCTGCAGGCCCCAGACAGCCCAAGGTCACAGCGCTGGGGCCGGCGCAGCAGCCTGTCCTCCCCCTCCCTCCCCCTCCCCCTCCCCTCCTTCCCCTTCCTCCCCCACCCTCTCCCTCCCCCTTCCCCTGCCCCTCCCCCACCCTGCCCCTCCCCTTCCCACCCCTCCCCCACCCTTCCCCTCCCCCTCTCCACCCTTCCCCTCCCCTTCCCACCCCTCCCCCACCCTTCCCCTCCCCTCCCCACCCTTCCCCTCCCCCAGCTCCTGGCCCAGCCTGCCTCCCCTCCCCCACCCTCCCCGCCCCTCCCCCCACCCGTCCTCCCCCAATCGTCCCCCACCCCTCAGCTCTTCAGTCGGCTCCCGCAGCCCCGCCCCTAGGGCCTGGGCCCCGCCCCCTTCCCGCGGGAGCGCGCGCTCCGCTCCCACCCGGACTACAGCTCCCAGAAGGCCCCGCGCGCAGGCGCGCCGCGGCCGCCGTCTGGGTCACGGGGTGCTGTCGGGTCACGTGACACCGCCGGGTCACGTGACGGCGGCTGTCACGGGAGCCCGCCGCCGGTCCGTCCCCCGAGGGCCATGGCCAACGTCTCCAAGAAGGTGTCGTGGTCCGGCCGCGACCGGGACGACGACGAGGCGACGCCGCTGCTGCGGAGCGCGGGGCGGCCCGAGGCGCAGGCCGGCGACGACGCGCCGCTGCTGAACGGGGCCGGGCCCGCGGCCGCGCGCCAGGTGAGCCCCGCGCCCGGGGAGCCCCCGCGCCCGGGGAGCCCCGCGCCCGGGGAGCCCCCGCGCCAGGTGAGCCCCCGCGCCAGGTGAGCCCGCGCGCCCGGTGAGCCCCCGCGCCCGGGAAGCCCCCGCGCGGGGCGAGGCGTGCGGTGGTCCCGGCGGGCCGCCTTCCCGCTCGGGGTCGCGGTGCGCGGAAGCCGGCGGAGCCTGGCGCCCTGGCCCTCCCCCCAGGTCGCCGGGAACGCGCGGGCTCAGCTGCTGGCCTTGGCGGGGGTTTGGAGCCCCGGAAAGTGCTGGCAGCGGACCGGGCCGCGCGCCCTCGCGGCGAGGCGGCTCAGCTGAGCCGGCGCTTCCTCCCCTCCCGTCAGCACAGCCCAGGCCGTCCCAGGGGACGGGCACGGCCTCTGCTTCCCTGAGCGGCTCGTGCCCTTCGCGCCCGCCCTGAGTCGGGCTTCACTGTGTGGGGACCAGGGCGCCGCGCGCTCTCCCGTGCGCTCTGTTTCCGCCTCAGGGCGCCGGATTTGAGGCCGCTCCGGTTCCGGGTCGCCCCTCTTCCCCCTCTTCGCCTCACGTGTCTGGCACAGGCACTGCAGGCAGCTGGCAGCCCATCCCCGGCGGTGTGGGGCGAAGCCAGGCCCGGGGGCAGCCGGAGGCCCCCCACCGCCCACCTGGCAGTGCACTGTGAGGCTGGGGGTTTGGGCCACAGGCCGTTTGTTATTTTCCTTCTGGAAATATTTTGGTTTGCTTTTCCTTCTTACAGGAAGGTTATTTTCAGGCGGAAACAGAGAAACGTGGAAGCTCACTTAGGGGATTACAGGTCAGAGAGTGGGAACCTGGCAGATGTGGACTTGGCTTTACCTCTGAATAACAGGTCTTTGGGGCTCCCACCCCGCCTTGGCTAACAGGTCTAAGAGTTGATTTATTTGGGAAAGAGACGGTTGATCTTGTTTCTTAAGTAGCATTTCCATAAAAGTCTTTGGAAGCTTCGTTGTCTGCATTTACATCCTACTTGTTAGCTGCTCTAAAGCAACGTAGGAAATGCCTTCGTGTGCGCCTGCCCCGCCTGGGTGGGGTGGGGGTCAGGTAGCCTGAGGTGTGATGCGTTTGGCTGGGTGTTGGGCAGTGGAGGGTCCTCACTCAGCACACAGCCTGGAAAGGACCAGGCAGGGTGTGCTGCTGGCCCCAGCTCTGGGAGTACATTTGCGTGGGTGTGGGGTGGGGCTGGGAAGCAGATAGCGTGGTTGGGGCTTCCCCTTGGAGTGCCCCAGGGAAGCTGTGCGGGCTGGGCAGGGCCGAGGCTCTGTGCCCCAGCCCACTCTGAAGTGCCCGGCCCAGTGCCGCTGTCCTGAGCCCCAGGAACATCCGTCCCACTGATACTGAAAACGGAGTACAGAAGCAGCCCGCAGTGGATGCTGCAGCAGTGGTCGGGGCTAGGGCTAGGCTCAGGAGCTGCTGTCAGCGCTGGATGCCTTCAACTCCAATGACAGCCGGTGCCACGCCCTGCAGGAGGGCCTGAGGAGCGCCCCAGGAGCTGGGGGTGACAGCTTGTCCTGGCTGCCCCCACCTGCGGCGGAGGTGTCCTTGTCACCGGCCCCACACAGCCTGCGAGCGCGGCCACAAGGTGGCCCTGGCAGGCCGTGAGTGCCCAGCAGAGAGCAGGCAGGGCCGCAGGGAGCGCAGACGGGGCTGAGCTGGACATGCGTCCACCCGTGCAGGACCAGCCCCCAGCGCCGCCTCTGGGTTTCTGCTTTTGCCCTGCCCGAGTGTGGGTGATGGTGACTGAGCCAGTGGAGCACTGCCCGCCCGCTGCTGGGTCAGGGTGAGGTCACCAGCAGTCACGGGCACGTGCGCGGGCAGTGGGAAGTGGGGGTTCCCAGACCTGCTGGAGGGTCTGAGCCAGAGCAGGCGCTGCGAGGCAGCCGTCAGCAAGGCAGGCAGTTTTCAGACGCCCGGGTCTCTGCGCTGCCCTGACTGGCGGGGCAGGGCGGACACCAGGTCAGCATTTAGAATGGCTTCTGGGGAGGCTGTTTCTCTGGGAGCTGAGGTGTCCCCAAGGAGCGTGTCTTACCCCATGACCAATTGCTCATCATCATTGGAAAGTGGGGGGTGCAAGGCAGCTGCAGGGGCAGGTTGTCTGCCACCCCAGCACCCCAGACCCGTCTCAGGGTGAGTGAGCGCCCGGCTTTCTCCTCGGAGGCTCCCAGCACCGGGGAACCTCTTCCAGGGCGTCCCTCTGCCCTAAAGTCCTCTTGCTGATCTCTGTCTCAGCCCTCCACCTAGCCCTACCTCGTGGGGTACAGGTTGGCCACCCCAACTTCCCTAGGAGCCCCCAAATCTCCCTTTTATTAGCCACTGCCTGGGGCTGGGTGGGTGGGTCAGCCCCGCACCCTCGCACGTCAGCCAGCACCCAGTCTGGGTGGGCCACGGGTTTGGGGGAGCAGAGTGGCATAGGCCACAGTGAGAAACGGGGCGGCCTGCTTCCTGGTCCGTGGGTGCCCCCTGCCACCCTGGCCTCCAGCACAGGGGCCCTCGGCTGAGCGGCCCCAGCACTGCAGGCCGGGACGGCAAACACCTCGAAGTCATCGCAAAAATTTGTCTTAATTGCGGTGAAAGCGCCTAAAGAGGGCCCGCTGGCTCCACCGTCGTCACCGCCGCTCAGTGGCCTGAGGCCGCCGGGCTGTGAGCTCCTGTGCCCCCGCCGCCACGAGAGCCTGTCCACCTCGAAAACAAGCCTTCGCCAGACAGCCCCCGCCCCGGCCGAGCTTGGCTGCGGGGCTCCCCTCTGCACCGCCCTTCCCGCCTGGGGTGCGCCAGCCGGACCCCTGCCGCTCGCTCCTCCGCCCCCAGAAGTGGGAGGGCTCGTTTCCGGGAGCCCCGCTGGCTCCGGGGGCACCTCTCGGGCGCCGCAGCCACCGCCCTGTGCCTGCCCCGTGGGCGCCCGCTCAGGGCCGCAGTCGGCGTCCATTGGGAGGCCGCGCTCCGTGGACCGGCGGCACCGGGGCAGGGAGGTGGGCGGGGCGGGCAGGAAGCCGCCTCCCACCCCTGGGACGGGGCCCTGGGCCTGCTCCTGCTGTCCCCCGCAGCCGGTGGCCGAGCCCCCCTCTCTTCTCCTAGTTGCCCCATTCGGCGTTTTTCCGGGCCGGACAGATGAGCAACGTGGAGCTGGACGACGAGCTTCTGGACCCGGTGGGTGGCCGAGGCCTGCCCTGCGCAGCTGCGGCGGGGAGGTGGACAGAGCCGCTGCGGGGGGTGCAGGGCGTGGGCAGGCGCGGGCGGGGACACACCTGCGGCCGCTGGGCTGTTGGCTCGTCTCAGAGCCCCGGCCCCAGACCGCGTTCCCCCACCCGGCTCTGCGCCCTGCTCCCTGCTCCCCGCGGCCCGCGCACTGCCCCCTGCGCCCGACCCGCGTCTCTCCGCGCCAGCGCCAGCGCCCGCAGCTGTGGGGCGCTCTGCCCCGCCGCAGTCTTCTCCAGGCCGTGCCTGCCACGCCCGCCGCGGTGCCCGCCCGCCCTGCAGCGCCTCGGCCACGGAAGCCCCGCGTTCTGCTGGCGCCACCGCTCCGCCCTCAGCCGGCCCTCCCGGGCCTCTGTGCCTCAGCCCTGAGCAGCGGCCCTGGCTGTGCGCGGGCCTGAGGCGAGGAGCCCAGTTCGCTTGCCTGGGGGTGCCCGGCCCAGCCCGGCTCTCCCTCCCCATGCTGGCCCGGCCCACTGTGGTCGCGGCGGCTGGCAGAACCGCAGGCTGTTTTCTGGGCTCCAGGTTCCCTCCCGGCTGGCCTGTGCCGGGCCCGCCACTCTGGGGTGTCTCACCCTGGCAGCCCCCCCTTCACACCCCCCGCCCCAGCTCTGCTCGTCATCAGGGCTCCGGCTACCCCTTCTCACCTGGCCTGGCCTGGCCCACCCCGCAGGGGCCCCCCATCTCCTGGAAGGGCTCCTGGGCTCGGGGACAGTGCAGCTCCTCGCAGCGCCCCTCGGGGGTTCACCCCCGGCTGTCCCAGACCTCTCTGTGGGCCCCTGGGGTCCCGTTCTATGGTCGGGAGGGCGGTGAGCTCAGCTCCACCCCGCGCCCTGCACGGCCGAGCCTTCAGCCTTGCAGTCGCGCCCTCGTCCTCCCGGCGGCTCGTGCCCCGCAGCCGCGGAGGCCAGCCCGATCCTCGGCTCACGAGAGGCGCCCCCGCTCCAGAGAGCCGGGGTCCGGGGCGGAGCCTGCACAGAGGCCGGGCCCGGCTGCTGTCCCGTGACGGCCACCCCGCCCCTGCGTCCTCTGGCGCGGCCGCGGAGGGGCTGCTGGCCTGCGGCCTGGCGACCACGCTGTGCCCGCGTCCATCGGGAGCGCGGGTCTGTCCTGCCTCGTGTCCTGGCCTCCCTCCACTCCGCGCTTGGGTCTGAGGGGCGCTGCTGGTCAGGGTGCTCCACCTCTTTCTCCCGCAGGAGACGGACCCCCCGCCCCCCTTCCCCAAGGAGATCCCGCACAACGAGAAGCTGCTGTCCCTCAAGTATGAGGTGGGCCCCCCCCGCCCACCCCCCTCTCCCCAGCCCAGCGCCCCGCCCCCCGGCACTCACGGCTGTCTCTGCGCCGCCCCAGAGCCTGGACTATGACAACAGCGAGAACCAGCTGTTCCTGGAGGAGGAGCGGCGCATCAACCACACGGTGAGCCCCGCCGCCCCGCCTGCTGCTCGCGGGGGGGCCGGCGGCGACGCCCTGACGCCCCGCCCCCCCCCCCACCGCAGGCCTTCCGCACGGTGGAGATCAAGCGCTGGGTCATCTGCGCCATGATCGGCATCCTCACGGGCCTCGTGGCCTGCTTCATCGACATCGTGGTGGAGCTCCTGGCCGGCCTCAAGTACCGCGTGGTCAAGGACCGTATCCTCGGCCGGCCGCGCGGGGCGGGGCGGGGCAGGGGCGGGCCGGGGCCGGGGCCGCTGCTGGCCGGGGTCCTTGACGAGCCAGACATCGACAGCGTCACGGACAAGGAGGGCCTGTCCTCCTCCCTGCTGCTCTGGGCCGCCCTCAACGCCGCCTTCGTGCTGGTCGGCTCCGTCATCGTGGCCTTCGTAGAGGTGTGGCTGGACGCGGGCAGCAGGACCCACCGGCGGGGCTGGGCGTGGCGCCCCGCGCGGGTGCTGAGCCGGCCCAGTGGGAGCCCCGCTGCCCCTAGCACAGGCGCCCCAGAGGGGAGCTCCTGAGGTGCGGCCTCCCCGGCCGGCCCTGCCCACAGGCGCAGGGGTTGGGGGAGGGGCAGGTCCAGAAGCTGCTCTGGGGTGCGGAGCAGCGCCCAGGTGTGGGAGTCCCGGTCCCTCTGCGGGCGCGTGTCCTGTGCCCCCTCCGGGCGCTGGGCCGGGCCCCTGGAGGCCTTGCTGCATGGGTGGGAGCAGCAGAGCCCACACCAGCCGAGCCTGGGTCCGGCCACTGTGCCCGCCCAGCGTGGTGCCCTGTCCTTCCAGCCGGTTGCTGCTGGCAGTGGGATCCCCCAGATCAAGTGCTTCCTCAATGGGGTGAAGATCCCCCATGTAGTCCGGCTCAAGGTGAGGCCTGGGCCCCCTCGTGGGGGTGCTCACGGCGGGTGGGACGTGGAAGCCCCATGAGCGGGGTGGGCCCCGGGATGCTCTGGCCGACAGCACCCAGGCTGGGCTGAGGGGCCTGAGCGCATGGGGCGCCCCTTTCCTCACCCCTGCACCTGCCTGGTCTTCTCCTGGTCCAGCCAGCCCCAGAGCCAGCGGCACCCCTCCCCGGGGCGGGGCCGCAGCTGAGGGTGGGAGCCGCCACGCTGAGCTGCCTCTGCCGCCCTGTGTCGCCGCATGGCGAGGGCCAGGGCAGGCCCCTCGGGGGCTCTGGGAGGACCCCGCGTGGCGGCGCGGCCGTGTCCGGCAGAAGGTGATGCCGAGTCTGGGGCAGAGCAGGACACGGCCCTGGGCTGGGGGCCATGTCCCGCGCGGCACCTCAGGAGCCGCTCCCGCGTTGCAGACCCTGGTGATCAAGGTGTCCGGTGTGATCCTGTCCGTGGTGGGTGGACTGGCCGTGGGAAAGGTAAAGGTGCCGTCCAGCCACCCCCCACCCCCACCCCCGCGTCGCCCGAGGCCCGACCCTCCCCCTGATGACCACGTTGTCCCGCGCCCACAGGAGGGTCCGATGATCCACTCGGGCTCTGTCATCGCAGCCGGGGTCTCCCAGGGGAGGTCGACGTCGCTGAAGCGCGACTTCAAGGTCAGCCCCGCTGGTGCCGCCGGGCAGAGCCTCGCGGGGGGTGGCGCGACCTGGGACGGAAGCCTCCGGGCTGGGCGGGCAGTGCCGGGGCTGTGCGGGTTCCGACCGTTCGCGGCAGTTCAGAGCCGCGTCCCCGCGTGCCGTGGCCGCGCCTCGTCCTCTGCGCCGGCCTGTCCGCTGGGCGTGGGCTCCGACCCTGCTCCCGCCCGGGCCCAGGGGAGGAGCGTCTGCCTCGGGCCAGCTGCCAGGAGCCCCGAGCCCCTGGTTTTCCAACCCAGCTCCAGTTCCGCGCCACACGCCCCACCCCGCGTCCATCTCAGCCCCGGGCCCTCCCCGCGCTCCCCACCCCCAGCTTGGCTGCATCCCCCCCGCCTGAGGCCTGGCCTGCGGGCCCTGACCCCCTCTGCACTGCAGATCTTCGAGTACTTCCGCAGAGACACGGAGAAGCGGGACTTCGTCTCAGCGGGCGCCGCGGCCGGCGTGTCTGCAGCCTTTGGCGCCCCCGTGGGTGAGGCTGCCCCCCGGGCGTGCCGGGGCCTCGCCCCACTGCCCTCCCCTCGCGTGTGGGAGACTGCGCGGTGCTGGCCGGGGAGGCGCGTGGGCAGCCCTGGGCCCGGACCCGCGGGCGTTCAGGGCTGGCCTCTTCCAGGCGGGGTCCTGTTCAGCCTGGAGGAAGGCGCCTCTTTCTGGAACCAGTTCCTGACCTGGAGGATCGTAAGTCTGCGGTCACAGCTGCGGTCCCGTCAGCAGAGCCTGGCCTTGGGCGTCCGGCGGGCTCCAGGCTGCGGGCCCTGCTGGGTTGTGTGCTGGGGCGGGCCCGGCCCCTGCCTGCCCTGGCTGCCCTGCCCTTTGGCCGCTGCTGGGCTGTGGGGGTGCTGGGCTCACCCACGCTCCGCCCACAGTTCTTCGCTTCCATGATCTCCACCTTCACCCTCAACTTCGTCCTGAGCATCTACCACGGGAACGCCTGGGACCTGTCCAGCCCCGGCCTCATCAACTTCGGGAGGTTTGACTCGGAGGTGACTGCGTCGTCCTGGGGCGGCCGGGCCTTGGGGTGCCGGCTACGCCCATGGGCGCGGGGCAGGCAGCGCGGGCAGGCGGGGCTCCTCAGATGACACTCTCCCCGCAGACCATGGTGTACACCATCCACGAGATCCCCATCTTCATCGCCATGGGTGTGGTGGGTAAGGGCCGCGCCGGGCGCCGCCGAGCTTTTCCCCTGCATGTGGCCGGGGCTGGGGCAGGCGCGGATGGCTTGAGAAGGGGGCTGGGCAGCGGTCCCCAGTCTGAGTGAGCCTGTCACCTGCGGTGTGGGGACAAGCAGCAGTGGCCCTACCCCACCCCTGCGTCCCTGCTTCCCCCTCTACACCGTAGCCTCACCCCTGCATGCCAGGCCTCACCCCTGCGTCCTCAGCCTCCCTCTGCACCCCAGCCTCCCCCCGCACCCAGGCCTCTATCCCAGGTCCCTCGTGTTCCTTTCATCGCAGGTGGCATCCTCGGGGCCGTGTTCAACGCCTTGAATTACTGGCTGACCATGTTCCGGATCAGGTGAGGAACCTCTGGTCTGTGCCCCAAGTGGACAGGTGGGGCCACAAGGCCTCGGATGTGGGTGCATGCTGGGCTCTGCCCATGGGCATGTGGAAGCCCCCCCACAGCCTGACTATCCTGCTGCTGGCCAGGTACATCCACCGGCCCTGCCTCCAGGTGATCGAGGCCATGCTGGTGGCCGCCGTCACGGCCACGGTCGCCTTTGTGCTGATCTACTCGTCGCGGGACTGCCAGCCCCTGCAGGGGAGCTCCGTGTCCTACCCGCTCCAGGTAGGGGCCCTGGCCTGGGTGTCCCGGGGCCGGGCAGCTGTCCGCAGCGTCCTGTTGACCGGCCACCCACCCCGTGCCCACACCCAACCTCCCTGCCGCCTCCTCCCACCTCGCAGCTCTTCTGTGCGGACGGCGAGTACAACTCGATGGCCGCCGCCTTCTTCAACACCCCAGAGAAGAGCGTGGTCAGCCTCTTCCACGACCCCCCAGGTGCACGCCCCGGTCCAGACCCCACAGCACCGGGCCCAGGCCAGGTTCTGGGTTGCGGTGAGCTTGGCCTCGAGTCTGGGTTCTGATCACTATTTGATCTGTCTGCATGGCGTGGGCCACGGGCCCCCCCTACGCCAGTGACCTGCCCCCGGGCCACCGGGCACACCTGCCCTCGGTGCTGCCTCTGGGCGGCTGGCCCTCCTGCCTCCCAGGCCCGCCCGGCCTGGCCACGTGGAGCCTCGGGGCAGATGGAACTGGCGGGTGGGTGCCTGGGAGATGGCGGAGGCCTGGCAACTTTTCTGTCTCCAGGCTCCTACAACCCCATGACCCTCGGCCTCTTCACGCTGGTCTACTTCTTCTTGGCTTGCTGGACATACGGACTGACAGTGTCTGCCGGCGTCTTCATCCCGTCCCTGCTAATCGGCGCTGCCTGGGGCCGGCTTTTCGGCATCTCCCTGTCCTATGTCACTGGGGCCGCGGTGAGTGGGGCTGGGCGGGTGGGGGAGGCTAAGCCTGCCGCCGGGGCGACGTGGGCAGTGACTGGCCCCAGCCCCTCCAGGCTCGCCCTCCCAGGATGGGTGAGGGTGTCTGGGGTGGACCCCCTCACGGGGTACAGGCAGGCATATCGTGAGCCGCCAGAGCTGAGGCTAGCGCCTACGCCTGCTGTGGACGTCCTCACCGGCAGATGTCTGCCTCCCGGCACCCTCCCCACCCCGCCTGCAGCCACCCACCCCTCTCCCGGAGGGAGCATCGGGCACCTTGGCAGGTTTGGGATCTGCCCCTCAGTGCCACCTCTGGTCGTCCCTGCAGATCTGGGCTGACCCTGGCAAGTACGCCCTGATGGGAGCGGCTGCCCAGCTCGGTGAGTCCCGGCTGCAGGTGGTGCGTGGATGGTGGTCAGGGGCCATGGGGCCCAGGCAGGGACTCACCTACCTTCCCTCCCACAGGCGGGATTGTGAGGATGACGCTGAGCCTGACAGTCATCATGATGGAGGCCACCAGCAACGTGACCTACGGCTTCCCCATCATGCTGGTCCTCATGACAGCCAAGATCGTGGGGGACGTCTTCATAGAGGTGCAGCAGAGCCACAGCCTGGGCCCTCCCTCCCTCTGCACCCTAGTCCCTGCTTCTAGCCTGAGAGGGTGGGGTGGGGTAGGTGGGGGGCTCCCTGGTGCTCACCTGCCCGCCCCCCAGGGCCTGTACGACATGCACATCCAGCTGCAGAGTGTGCCCTTCCTGCACTGGGAGGCCCCGGTCACCTCGCACTCGCTCACCGCCAGGTAGGTGCGGGCAGGCGGGCGGCTGTCTGGGCGGCGCCCTGCGCAGCGCCGGCTAACAGCACGTGCCCGCAGGGAGGTGATGAGCACACCGGTCACCTGCCTGCGCCGGCGGGAGAAGGTGGGCGTCATCGTGGACGTGCTGAGCGACGTGGCGTCCAACCACAACGGCTTCCCTGTGGTCGAGCCTGCGGACGACACCAGGTGCCCGCTGCTGCCCCCCCCCCCCCCCCCCGCACCAGGTCCCAGGGCCGCCCCGCCAGAGGGCCTCAGCCAAAGTCTGTGGGGCCTGGCCCGGAGCTGGGGCCCGGGCTCTTGCTGTCCCCGCTGACCCAGCCCCTCCCTCCGCAGCCGGCCAGGCTCCGGGGCCTCATCCTGCGCTCCCAGCTCATTGTCCTGCTGAAGCACAAGGTGGGCGGGCCGGCCGGGGCGGGGCCATCGGGGCCGGGCGGGGGCGGGGCCGGGCCGGCCGGGCTCCTCGACGGCGCGCCCGCAGGTCTTCGTGGAGCGGTCCAGCAGAGGCCTGGTGCGGCGGCGGCTGCGGCTGAAGGACTTCCGGGACGCCTACCCGCGCTTCCCCCCGATCCAGTCCATCCACGTGTCGCAGGACGAGCGGGAGTGCACCATGGACCTCTCCGAGTTCATGAACCCTCCCCCTACACCGTGCCCCAGGTGCCTGCGGGAGCGCCCGGGCAGGCCCCGTGGCCTGGGCGGGCGCGGCTGGTGCCCGGTTCTCCCCTCCCGTGGGCGCGGCAACTGACGCCCGCTCCCCGCAGGACGCGTCTCTGCCGCGGGTGTTCAAGCTGTTCCGGGCCCTGGCCTGCGGCACCTGGTGGTGGTGGACAACCTCAA